AGCCCTAAGCCCTAAGCCCTAAGCCCTAAGCCCTAAGCCCTAAAGCCCTAAGCCCTAATAGATGGATAGAGCTTGGATTGGGTCCTGGACACTCAGGGGGTACTGTAAAGTGGTTGGATCGTACGAGATACCTTCCCATGTTCCTATGGTCGCTGCAGTCTCCTGGGCGTGGCGTAGAGAAAGCCGATGAGGATCGTGGGTAAGATGGTAGGCGATCTGCTTTGGTCGTACGGCTACCTGACAGGACTGACAAACCACTAGAGGAAATCGGGGTAGGAGTGAGATGAATTGTGGACCTATGGGGCTGGTCTCGGCCATCGCAAGAGTGATAGCCAAGGATAGGCTCCAAAGGCTGTCCCTTATACAAAATCGTACGAAAGACAAAATCCACTTGTGAGTGGGGTATTCATCAGTCTAAAGCTTTAGCCTTTTTTTTTTTTTTTGGCACTAGAAAGGGGGAATAGCCAGAAGTTCACGTGGAGGACCCACAATAAAATATATATCTCCCATTGGTTTAAACTCGGAAGGATTGTACAGAGTCTATATGGAATCGGTGAATAAAGTTCATATTCGTACGATGCCTTGACTCTATAACTCTTGAATCCCAAGCCCTGAACTTCCTACTTTGACTACCTAGTGTATTGTCCCTATCCCCTCACCCAAGCTGCCAATACCACCAATATACCTGTCGTACGATCCCAATCTATACTGCTGCAGCAGTACCACTAGCACCAGCACCAGCACCACCAGCACCATTGTCGTCATTGGCTTCGTCCGAGTCGGTCAGCTCCTCGACCCGGCTTGGGGGTGGAAGAGGAGCAGACGCCTGCGGGATATATCGCGGCTCGTTGGGGTTTCGTACATTGCACTGCGCTGTCTGTTCCTTCCACTTGCAATTGGCACAGCATCCCTCCCAGGTACCAGGCAATCGTACGACATTTTTACCAAATGGGTGGCCTTGGCGAGACCGATGGCATATCCCTTGGAAACGAACTCCACGAGAAGCGATCAAGAGTCCATTGACGTACGACGGCCGTGCACTGCGGATCTGTCCAGATCGAGAATTAGTAGCTGGTATCAACCCAAAGAAATATCAACGTACTTGATCAGCCGAGATAACGGGAGTTCGGTCCTTCTTCATCTTCACAAGAAACTCGTACGACGGCCATGACCAGACCTCGCGCTGCTCTGGGGTACGGCAGAGCTCTCGGAGCGCCGCATTCCCATAGGCGGTCAGTCGGACAATATAGTACTCGGCACCCCCTTCTCCTGCAGTCGCCCTTCGTACAAGGTTGAAGAGATTCGAAGCCCTAGGAGTAACCTGGGAAGGGTCACTTGGCGTACGAACAAGCGATCCGGGAGGGGGAGGAGGTCCTCCAGGAGGACCAGCACTAGCTGTAGAAGCCATAATGAGATAACCAAGAATATATAAGAAAGGCTGGATTGGCTAGAAGTTGTTTCTAGCCAGAGTAGCTGGGCAAAGCTCAGGTTTAAATGTAGTATGGTGAATATAAGCCTAAACCTAGAAAAATGCAAAACCCCTCGCTGACCAGAATAAAAAGCCCATGCCCTCGTACGAAGGCCCAGGTTCAAAACAAAGACTGGATAACATAAGAACGAAGCCATAGAAAATGCGAAACTCTCCACTGACCAGAATAGAAATCCCACATTCGTACGAAGGCCCAGGTTCAAAACAAAGACTGGACAATATGAGAACGAAGCCACAGAAAATGCAAAACTCTCTACTGACCAGAATAGAAATCCACATCATCAGATAAAGGTCCCTCGTACAAAGTCCCAGGTGCAAAACAAAGACTGGACAATATGAGAACGAAGCCACAGAAAATGCGAAACTCTCCACTGACCAGAATAGAAATCCCATATTCGTACGAAGTCCCAGGTTCAAAACAAAGACTGGAGAACATGAGAACGAAGCCATAGAAAATGCGAAACTCTCCACTGACCAGAATAGAAATCCCACATTCGTACGAAGGCCCAGGTTCAAAACAAAGACTGGATAACATGAGAATATCGCCATAGAAAATGCGAAACTCTCCACTGACCAGAATAGAAATCCCACATTCGTACGAAGGCCCAGGTTCAAAACAAAGACTGGATAACATAAGAACGAAGCCACAGAAAATGCAAAACTCTCTACTGACCAGAATAGAAATCCACATCATCAGATAAAGGTCCCTCGTACAAAGTCCCAGGTTCAAAACAAAGACTGGAGAACATGAGAATATCGCCATAGAAAATGCGAAACTCTCCACTGACCAGAATAGAAATCCCATATTCGTACGAAGTCCCAGGTTCAAAACAAAGACTTGGAGAACATGAGAATATCGCCATAGAAAATGCGAAACTCTCCACTGACCAGAATAGAAATCCCATATTCGTACGAAGTCCCAGGTTCAAAACAAAGACTGGAGAACATGAGAATATCGCCATAGAAAATGCGAAACTCTCCACTGACCAGAATAGAAATCCCATATTCGTACGAAGTCCCAGGTTCAAAACAAAGACTTGGAGAACATGAGAACGAAGCCATAGAAAATGCGAAACTCTCCACTGACCAGAATAGAAATCCCACATTCGTACGAAGGCCCAGGTTCAAAACAAAGACTGGATAACATAAGAACGAAGCCACAGAAAATGCAAAACTCTCCACTGACATAAAGAGAAATCCCACATTCGTACGAAGGCCCAGGTTCAAAACAAAGACTGGACAACATAAGAACGAAGCCACAGAAAATGCGAAACTCTCCACTAACCAGAATAGAAATCCACATCATCAGATAAAGGTCCCTCGTACGAAGTCCCAGGTTCAAAACAAAGACTAGAGAACGTGAGAACGAAGCCACAGAAAATGCGAAACTCTCTACTGACCAGAATAGAAATCCACATCATCAGATAAAGGTCCCTCGTACAAAGGCCCAGGTGCAAAACAAAGACTGGACAACATGAGAACGAAGCCATAGAAAATGCGAAACTCTCCACTGACATAAAGAGAAATCTACGCCGTTCAATAAACAGTAGTCGTACGAAGTCCCACGTTCTAAGTAAAGTGTAAAGATCATAAGAAAGTAACTTGTATTTATTGTAACTTGCTTGGTTTCACCATAAAGGCTACTTATCCTGAACACCACGTAAAGGTGCAAGTTTGCTCAGGTGTCGCACACAGGCCCCGTACGACTGGGTAGGGCATAGGGGAATAAAAAGAAAAGGTATCCTTACTCAGTCAATGATGATGACGTCGTCGTCATCATCCAGGTCGACGGGATTGGCGGCTGTCCCAATGGCCAACTGAGACTGTGGAAGGGGGCTCCGAGCTGGGGGAGCGGCCGCTCTTCGTGTCCTGTTCCGGTTGCCAGTGCCGTCTCGTACGGAGCAGCGGAATCCATGATCCTGGAACTTGCAGTTGCCGCATGCTCCGTCGAAATGCCCCGGTGCACGGGAGCAGATCGGGAATGGGGAGGGGCTCCCTGTACGACGGCGCTTATCAGCACACTCATCGCACTCGGTAATAAGCTCCCATCCACGAGATTGTATCAGCAAAGCATTCACGTACGACGGGCGCATACTCGCAATCTGGGCGCCCCGAATACGGCCAACCATAAACGGGACGTCATGGCCGGTCAAGGCAAGCAAGGCGCGGCCTTCGTCGCTATATACGAAACGGGCAAAAAGAGGGCTTCCCACTGGAAATGGTGTCTGTGAAACACCACCTCGAGGACCAGCATACCGTACGAGAGAGTTATTCCCTCCAGTACCTGGGGAGGTGACAGGCCATCCAAATTCAGCTCCAGTCTGGATATACCCCTCACAGAACTCAATCAGCCATTGTAGGGTAGTAGGCCACCCACCGACCGGGTTAATATTGCCATTAACTAACCCCCACAACCTGGTAAACGTAGCCTGAGCTTCGTGTGTGTGAGCTCGTGCCCGAGTATGAGGACCAAGGGGGAGGTTAGGACGGGGGGGGCGGGAGCCAGTAGGGCGAGGCCTGGATCGTACGAAGTGAAGTATTAGTGAATATTCTGATTCAAAAAAAGGTCTCACTAGAAGCAGGAAGGAGGATATTGATGCATGATGATATAGGATATAGCTGTAGGATGAATCGGTTTCGTATAGAGAAGGCATCTTGATGAAAATCAAAATAAAAGTGAAATTTGAGATGAAGAGAGAGAGAGAGAGAAAGAGAGAAGTGGGGGGAAAACTGAGAATTAAATATCTGCTAGACAATAATAGAGGTAATGCCTTCCTTAATAGGATAAGCCTTCCTTAATGGGACAAGCCTTTATCAATGGGACAAGCCATGAATATGCCATGGACCTAACAATTATGACAGTCCTGCCTGGAGCTTGAATCGTACGAGATATCATCAATGGACGATACATGAATAATGGGACAAGGTATCAACAATGGGATGAGCCTTTAACAATGGGACAAGCCATAAATATCATATATGATAGTCCTGCCTAGAGCTTGAATCGTACGAGACATCACTCATGGATGATACATGAATAATGGGACAAGCCTTTATCAATGGGACAAGCCTTCATCAACGGGACAAGCCTTCCTCAATGGGATAAGCCGTCATCAATAGGACAAGCCTTCATCAATAGGATAAGCCATGAATATGCCATGGACCCAACAACTCTGATAGTCCTGCCTGGAGCTTGAATCGTACGAGATATCACTAATGGACGATACATGAATAATGGGACAAGGTATCAACAATAGGATGAGCCTTCAACAATGGGATAAGCTATGAATATCATATGTGACAGTCCTACCTAGAGCTTAAATCGTACGAGATATCACTAATGGATGATACATGAATAATAGGACAAGCCTTCATCAATGGGACAAGCCTTCATCAATAGGACAAGCCTTCATCAATGGGACAAGCCTTCATCAATAGGACAAGCCTTCATCAATGGGACAAGCCTTCATCAATAGGACAAGCCTTCCTTAATAGGACAAGCCTTCATCAATGGGACAAGCCTTCATCAATAGGACAAGCCTTCATCAATAGGACAAGCCTTCATCAATGGGACAAGCTATGAATATGCTATAGACCTAACAATTATGACAGTCCTGCCTAGAGCTTGAATCGTACGAGACATCACTAATAGATAATACATGAATACATGAATAATGGGACAAGGCATAAATATCCCATGGACCAAACAATCTTGACAGTCCTACCTAGAGCTTAAATTGTACGAAAAAATCAATAATGGGACAACATATAAATATACCATGGATTAGAATATGAATCTATAAGTAATTCTAACTTGAAATATATATTTTAAAATAAAGTTGAAGAGTGCTGGCCCTTCGTACGGTCGCACCCCATCAAAAATAATTCCGATTTTCAATCAGCCACCACACCTTTATAACTTGGTCAATTACTCTAAAATTCGGTGACCATAATCTTTATAGTCTAGAATAGAACTTTACAAATTTTGAGCTTCATCCTCGTACGAGAAGCTTTTCCAGTCTACTCACGAAAAGTATTCCAGTCTACTCATGGCCCCACTTTTATCCACCATACTTAAGGCAAAGTCCTAATTCCAGTCTACTAGACTGCAACAACCCCCATGGGATAGGGCTTACGCCGGTTACTACGGAGACTTGTTATGGGGCCGTCGTACTTCGTACGAAGCCCTATGGAAGATGCTTGCTTATGCTGCGCGGAATCTGCCAAACGTTACCGCCTTCGACGGAATATGTACACATTTGTTAGCTCAGGAGAACTCCTCTCCTCAACGAAACCTTCTTGTTCTTAAAACCCGTCTAAGTTGCACAACTAGGCTAGTTCCGTAACAAGACTCGTCTATTTAACGTAAGTTCGGCTATTAGGAGTAGGCGTTTCTAGTCGTTCTGTTTAAATCGTACGAAGAGGCGTAGGTATACTTCTAACGTGCTATTGTGTCGTTCGGTCTATCTATCGGTCTCGGGGTGGTAGGCCGTCGATAGCTATCGTATAACCTTACATAGCTAGTAGATCCGTTCCTATAGGAGGCTTATAAATTAGGTTCCTCGGTCCGAGACGATCGAGTTTAGGAATCCGTGTTATTGTACGAGGCTATCAATGATTGCCTATGCGGAGTCTTCGGCCGAAATTGACTTTATCGGCCTTAGGATCACTCCCTTTGTCAGCCGATCTATGATTACTAAGATATTCGTATAGCTATCGCTTGGTGGTAAATCGGTGATGAAGTCGAGGGCCACGTCTCGCTATAGTTGTTCTAGCACCGGGAGCGGCTTTAGGAGGCCTCGCTTTAGCTCTCGCTATGGTTTCGCCCCGTTATATAGGTCATAGTTCCGTACGAATCTCCGGATATCGATCGATATATTCGGCTAGAAGTACTCACGGCTAACCACTATATAGGTCTCCTCCCTCCCTAGGTGTCCGGTGAGTCGAGAGTTATGTACGGTCTAAATGATTTTCGTACGAAGGGGCTTAGAGTTAGGGACCTATAACCTTCCGCGGAAGCGAAGTTTCTAGGCTTGGTCGATTGTGTATTCGGAAGTTAAGACTTTTAGCTTTAGTTCTGGTGGGAACTTCCGTAGGCCCTGTTATAGTGTCTGTATAGCGCCCTAGTACTCGTTATCCCTATCTCTCGCTAGCTCCTAGTCTTAGTCGTTAGGGGTTTGCTATGCGGTCGTGGCATAGATATTTATAGTAGCCTTATCGTCTCTCTTGGTATAATAGTATATTATAGTAGAGTATAATGGTGTGAAGGATATCATATATAAATTACTGGTAACTATTACTATATCTAAGGATATACTAATAGTGGTAAACTATATTATGATTCACTTCTAAATCGCCATAAATCGTGAGATAATATGATATCTTATATTATCTTATATTTGCCTCCTAAAATGTCTATAAAAAGGGTGACAGTCTACTCTCTAATAGAATAATAATATACTTCTTAATATATTCTCCTCCATATACATATATCTTTATCTCCTATTTAGGATAAGTATAACCTTCAATACTATATCTTATATAATCATATTATATAAGATATTACTTCCTCTATAAAATATTATAACCTACTATTAGGCTATAATATTCTATCTGCTAAATTACTCACAGTAAAATTTATTGAGAAGGAGGGGTTTCTTCTTATTCTCTATTACTAAGATCTATACGTAGGCTTACTAGCTCGCAATGCCTTCTAGCCTACTAAACGCGTAGTAGGTCTTTATTTCCTCGGAGTGAAAGTAGTGGGCATCTATTAAGAACTTGATTTTTAAGTTCGTACGAAAGGCTACGTACTCCTTAGGGTCCTATCTATTATAGGTTCGTATATCGGGGTAAGTTAGCCGGGTCGGCCCCCTTTCTATCCTATCGTTCTCTCGTGGTAGGGGGAAGATCTCTCCTATCGCTTATTGTGCCGGTAGTGCGTCTGGTAGGTTGTCGTGATCAAAGGTATTATGTCGTCGTGGTTGGTAAGACATCTTGTCTCTCACTCTGTACTAGTAGGAACTCCTTACTAAGCGTCGATAAAGGTGACGAACGAAACCTAATGTTACGGAACTAGCCTAGTTGTGCAACTTAGACGGGTTTTAAGAACAAGAAGGTTTCGTTAAGGAGAGGAGTTCTCCTGAGCTAACAAATGTGTACATATTCCGTCGAAGGCGGTAACGTTTAGCAGATTCCGCGCAGCATAAGCAAGCATCTTCCATAGGGCTTCGTACGAAGTACGACGGCCCTATAACATGAGCTAACAAATGTGTACATATTCCGTCGAAGGCGGTAACGTTTGGCAGATTCCGCGCAGCATAAGCAAGCATCTTCCATAGGGCTTCGTACGAAGTACGACGGCCCCATAACAGGGCCCCGTTGATTGGTGACGGGTAGGTCCGTAACAACTACTAGGTCTATAAGGGAGAGTAAGTGATCTAAACTTATAATAGGTAACTTACGACCGTATAAAACGGGGGGAACTAGTAAAAGGGGTGCTTTATATAGATCTAATAGATCTTAAATTAAGTGTAGACCCACTACATATTATAAGCTAATTGGCTATAAGTGTCTTTATCTATAGGCGTGCCTACGGGTATAGTGGGCATACCCGGGATAGGTATGCCTATAGGCCTTAGGCGTTATAGACGGGCACTCGAAAATCCAAATAGCCCACCGCCCACCGTGGACGGGCGATGTCGCAGTCTATATGGGACCAAATGGTGGGACTTGGCAAGGTCTAGATCAAACTATCTATTTGGTGTTAATTCCCCTTATTGAACCATCCAATTGACTCGGTCGTGCAAATTTTGTCTAGTAGGCAGCGTTATGGCAATATTCCAAATGTTCCTACTTTGGGTTTACTCCAAAGCCCAAGACTAACAAAAATATCTTTCCCACTAAGTTACTCTATTCTTAACACACACCAATGCAAAGCCATGCGCTTTTACGTTCTAAACCACTGGTAAACAACCCGCTAGTTTTTGTCTTGACTCTTTCCTTGACTTGCCATCTTGAATCGTGCCGACACTTTTCTTAGGCCAATCGCTACCTCACGAATGATTGATGAAAGAGGAATTTCATCTGCTAGTGCAAATGTGGTTCGTGCAAGGCTTGAACATTGCTGCTGTAGAGCATATCTCCTGATAGGCCTCTAGTCATCTCTCTGTAACTGGCCACTTTCTTTCCGGGCCCTTACAGCCATTCTCGAAAGCGGCTTGACCAATACACTGAGCAATTCTTCCCAAGCCCCACTGGGACTAATTGTGGGGATCCCACATAGCATCCGGAAGAGCAAGTGCCAGTGGATCTGGAGCCATCGGCTGACTTGCTACTGGCATTTCACTACTCAATTGGTTAGTTCCTTTGTTATTGGTTTTTCCACTCCACTTCCAATAACATCCGGATTTTCCGACTCAAAAACTGTAGGGCTCCGGATGGTATCATACTACATATCTGCATCTATCGAAACCTGGCTGCACTACTTGGTGGACATGAGAATCCCACAGCAAGAGAAATACAGGGTATAATGAACCAGAGGAGACACTTCGAACTAAGATCATGCAAAATAAAATGGAATGACTGCGAGGGGAACGCAAACCTCTGCATAATTTATGGGCTTGGTACGGAATCCTGAAGGTCGGAAAATCCGAGCTATGCGGCTTCGGTTTAGGTCAGCCCGAGAGGAATGCAAACCTCTGACTAATTTATGGGCTTGGTACGGAATCCTGGAGGTCGGAAAATCCGAGCGATGCGGCCTCAGTTTAGCTCAGCCCGATGTCAAGCAAACACAGAGGTCGGGAATTCCACTGTCATTGCGATGAGCAGCCACTTAGATACTGCCCAGTGGGCTTTGTGGGCCCATGTGGAAGTCTAACATGGATAGGCCCATGAGCTCGGTAGTAGGTGAACGTGGAGGCCTGGGAGATATAAAATCTAGATCCCGTACGAAAGTTTTGTGAACAACCAAAGTCAAGAAGAGCATCATTCTTCTTTATCTGCTGCCACGCCTTCATCATGCTCTGGAAGACAGTTTATCTTGTGTCTCTTTTTGTTTCTCGTGCCTGGGGCAAACCAAACCGACAAGTGGAGAACTCCGATTATGTCAATTGGCAGACCTTCAAAGCAAACGGCGTGAACCTTGGAGGTTGGCTCATACAGGAACCCAACATTGACCCTACTTGGTGGAATACATATTCTGGAGGGGCCGCCGACGAGTGGGACCTTTGCAGGAACCTGGGCTCTCAATGTGGGCCAGTCTTGGAGAAGCGTTACGCAACGTGGATCACCACATTGGATATTGATAAGGCGGCCCGTTCAGGAGTTACATTGTTACGAATTCCTACAACCTATTCGGCCTGGATCCAGTTTCCAGGATCTCATCTTTATTCGGGTAACCAGACTTCATACTTGAATGACATCGCCACCTACGCGATTGAAAAGCACGGGATGCATATTATTATCGATGTGCATGCTCTTCCTGGTGGTGTCAATGGATTGACCATTGGCGAGGCTGTTGGTCATTGGGACTGGTTTTTCAATCAGACTCATTTCGATTACTCGATGCGAGTCATAGATGCCGTTATATCGTTCATCCAAAACTCCGGTCACCCGGAGTCTTATACACTCGAACCTCTGAACGAACCTGCCGATAACCACAACCTGTCGGTTTTCGGAACCCCCGCTGCCCTTTCTGACGAGGGCGCTGAGTGGGTTTTGAGATATATCCACGCTGTGCTTGATCGTGTGGCCAGTGTGAATGGCCAAATTCCGGTTATGTTCCAGGGCAGTTTCAAGAACGAGAAGTATTGGTCCGGCAATTTCACTGGTAATGAGAATCTGGTTTTCGACGTGCATAATTACTACTTTGCCGGCCGAAACACCACATCCCTGAATCTTCCATCATTTCTTCGTTCGGATGCCAAGACGATGACTGGTGATGGAAAGTTCCCGGTATTTGTCGGAGAATGGTCTATTCAGGCTTTTCAAAAGAATTCTTACTCACGACGTGCGCAAAATGTGAACTTTGGATTGGAGACTTTCCACAATTATGGCCAGGGCTCATCCTACTGGACTTGGAAGTTTACCGGAAATGAAACAGTTGATGGGCAGGGGGCTCAACGTGACTATTGGAATTATGAGCATTTCGTCGACAATGGCTACTTTCAAACGTGTTCTAACTAAATACTGGCGATTTCTGTCGACATTCACCGCCTGTCTGATAGGACTGTTTGGTAGCTAGCTCGCTCGATCTCTCACCTCATTCTTCTAGCTATACTCATGCACGTGACTTCATGGCCGAATGGGAAAGACGGTATGGTGAACGTGATGCTGATTGGCCAGTGAGACTTTTGTTGAGTCTATTAGCTAGATGCGCTCCCTCTTTTTTTATCTTTTAGTCTTCCGATGAACAAACTTATCTTATCATAACTAATTGCCGAGTAACACTTCTCTCTGTCCGGTCTAGACTTCGGCATAACCGGATTTGGGTCGCAGGTTCTGAACCCAGAGCCCATCCCGGACCCAGTATAACCCAACCTCGGCCCAACTCAACCCACTTTTTGCATAATTGGAATCATAAAACTGCTCTGTCATCAAAATAACATACTGTCTTGTACATCACTTCGGGGTTATATTTTGAACCGCTATTGCTTTTCGAGTATACCCCTTCGAAAAATTAAGAGTGATCTGAAATATTCCTTCTTTGTTGTTGTGAATTACTTATTTAAATGCCAATTTTGAAGTGATAAAAGTGCTGTTTTTTGGTTTGGTTAAAGCTCGCTTGAAAAAATTGTAGATATATTTTCAGTGACGCAGCAAAGACTTCAACACCCCCCTGATAATCTACTTATTATAAGTAATATATTGTCACTTTTTAAAACTTATGTCGTCTGAAAGATGCATTGGTCGGTCGACTTCATTCAGCATTTTCGGTCGGCTAGAACAAGGCCTTGAAACGCCGGAACCTTGTTTTCACTCTTTATTGATAGTACATACTAAATCACAATTAGAGACACGTTTATATAACCTCATTGAACGGCTGAGAGCGCGAGAGCCACGTGCCATAGATCAGACTAGTTTAGTGTGTTTTTAGCTAGGCAGGGGACCATTTGGTGCTTCAAGCTGGTCACTGATTGGTTTGCAAGTGATACATCTTCGTTGTGTAAGCTGCAATAGTGACTGTCTTGCGTCAAAGCCTTCACCACCATATAGCTCTGCGGAAATGGACGACCCATATTCCCTCTGCTATTTGTCGTCTGTGCCCAGCAAATCAGGGTCACCATAATCGTATTTGACTCGGACGAGGGCGATAGGCCCAAGAGCTGGGGCCATATCGATTTGTCCTACTGGCTCCCCAATCAATTGGCCCAATTTGAATGAAAAAGAGGGGATGTCGCCAGAGAATTTATGTTGCGCGCCTCGCTGTGTAATGCAGCTTGCGCACGAAAATCAATAATGCAATATAGCGCGCGGCATCTTCTACCTTATGTACGCCGAGACACGTAATACGAAGCCTGAAATCTCTATAAGGATGATCAGACCCATGCGGTGCTTGATCTTTCTGCTTAACAAATGATGAGGGACTCGTATTAGCACGATATCGTCATCTTATTTTTGTCCAATTTGTTCAATACCACAACGTCATTAGTCTCTAACCAGATATCGTTCAGTGTTTACACGTCGACTATCTTAGTGGGCTCGGTTGACACTCGGCGGCTAACAGTTGTATCCTGGTACACTACTTTACCGTTGTGGAGACTGGCTTTCAAAAAGGGCATCTTCAAGCGGTATAATGAGGTAAGCCCGTCAAACCGAATTGGAACGCGGCTGAAGCTCTAACGAAGCTCTAGGCATTCACATTTCTTTCAGGGATTCCTACCCACAAATGGTGCATGGTTATGGTTTTCAAAGTCAGTTCATCCACAGAATTCAATCCACTCCATGAACCCGAAAATTTCCAACCTCGTTGGGCCACAGTCGCCGATCTTCGGTTCCTAGGCCTACGCCTAGACTCCAGGTTTTTACATGCATATCACAAGAAAGACCTTGCGGCACTGATCCAAAGTACAAGGATCTGCTATAAACAGAGTGATTTAATTCCTGTCCACTCTTTCGCCCTCGTATCACCTATGACTGTCGTCCTATCATAGAAACAGAACTTTGGTACCATTTTTAGAATCTGTTGCAAGTGCCTGAGCGTGTATCAGAGCATACCCTCTCCAACATTGCTTCATAGAAGGAGCTGGTATAGATGGACCTAGAATAATGGGAAAGAACGTGCGCGAGCATAAACAGCTTCTGCAAAAGAAATGCCGCCCCCGCCTAGATATTGTAATATATGCCTGGCCATCTCTGTATTTTTGACGGTAGACTTTACCCCATTGCTCTCACCTTCTAATCTGTTCTCTCGACTGAGTCAGATTCTTTCCCATTCCAAAATACTCGGATTCAAGAGCTGACACTTTCAAATGCAATTGCTCAATTTGGTTCTCTAACGAATTTACCAAGAGCCTCCTCCCAAGCTTGTATGACACGTCCACGGCGAAACAACCTCCTTCTGACATCAATTTGCCGAGTTGATCACCTAAAATTACTGTACACTTAAGGGCTACAAATTGTGACAACAGGGTTTCCGCGCGGTCTGTGTGAGAATCAGGTATCTTCGAATAAATAAGTTGAATTGCCTATTTAGCCTTCGATGTGCTCTGTCGTCTTCTCCGCCACTTTCACCTCCGTAACTTGATCAATCTTATCAGTCGGGACAACTGCATCACCAAACTTTCCTGCAACTTCTTCCAAGGAGACGTTGTTTGTTTCCACCAGGAAGAGTGCATACACGGCACCTAATGCGAGAAGAGAACCAACAAAGACAAAGTAGTACTTCCAACTAATCGCATCAAACGCGTAGGGGGTGACCTGACCCATCCAAATGCCGGACACACCCTGACAAAGTGCTGCAACACCAGTGCCGTAACCGCGCAGATGCTGTGGGAAGATCTCTGCAGCAATCGTGTATAAGGTTGAGTTGAAGAACACAGAATATAGTGCTGAGTAGATGAAGATAAATGCGACGCCAGCGCGAGCACCGGCGATATTCTGACCGCTGCCATATTCCTTTGAAAGGGCTGCTAGGATAGACAACACTGCAGCAAGAACGATACATCCAACCCCTAAAGATCAATGTCAATACTTATTCATACAATCAAGTCTCGTGCATAGCGAGATGGGTTCAGAAACGTACACATAGTTCGGACGCGAGGCCAGCGGTCAGAAACACCAGCAAGGTTAATCAATTGCCCAATGACTCCCATGAAACCATAGCAGCCACTGATAAGAAGGACCTCTCTGCCGCTGAATCCAAGAGCCTCATACATAAGGGACTGGTAATTCTGAATCGCAAGAGAGCCGCTGAGGATTCCCACTTGCATAACGGCAATGGCAAGGGCTGTCCGTTTGATAAATTTGTTGCTGAACAACTCGATCAGTGCGTGACCGACAGTGGAGTTTGTGCGCTCAGCTGCCTCGATGGCAAGTTGGCTCTGAACCTCGAGTTGCAACCCGACGATGAATTCTTCCGATTCCGACTCATAGATACGGCGAATGACGGCTTCGAACTCTTCCAATCGGCCTTTTTGAGCCACTGCAACAAAGTCCTGTCAGATACGATGCCATAACGAAAGAGAAGCGGTAACACATACACCAACGAGGGGACTCAGGAAGAAAAATGGACAGAACGAGCAGTACAACCGCGATAGGGAACTGCATGGCTAACTCAAGACGCCAGACATGAGATGTTTTGGCGAAAGAACACGCGAAGCCAATCCAGTTTGCAACGCAGAATCCCAAGGCCATAATCAGGCCAAAGACACCAATGAACCTCGCTCGTTCCTGTGGACGAGCTAGTTCGGAGATGTAGACAGAGATAGAAGGGCTGAGAATACCCAGTGCGATACCACAAACCAACCTGCCGACAATCATCATTGCTACCCCATTAGCAGCTGTCTGGAGCAACGCCCCAACAATGGTAAACAAAGTCGAGATCATGATCGTCCACTTGCGACCCAACTTCTCGAGTGTTAGACCGCAAATCAAGGAGCCTATTGCTGAGCCCGTAGAAGACATGGCAACAACGGCTCCTAAGAGGCTCGAGGCATTCACAGTCCCGGGGGAAACATAAAATCATTGAAGGATTTTTGCGCAATCACCGTGGCGATGATGCCGGTGTCAATACCGATCACAGCACCTCCGAGGGAGATAGAAGCTACGCAAAGTAGCATGCGAAGACGGGACTGCATTGGAGAAAGCTAGTTGGTAATATAATATAGTAGGTGAGTATGGGAAGAATGTGATCAAAGAAACTGGATTGATATCGACGTTTTATGTGAGCAAATCCGGGGATGAAACTCTAAATGCCAAGATATATTGCCAATGGAATGATTATGGGGAGACCAAAGAAATGAGGGGGAACACAAACGGAGCTTTCCGGAGAAAATCTCACCGACGCCGATAGAAAGGTGAGGACTTGACCAGTGTCTTTTGTCACATTTAATTGGCTAGAAGGTAGGGAGCCTGTGGAGAAGGACGTGGAGAAAGATCTGGGGTTAGAGCATGTAATGGGAGGGATTTAATTCGGGCAAACAACGGCCGAATACGAGACAGTTAATATGAAGTTTGCTCTTTGAGGTATGCAAGCGAGAGATGCGAAGTGTGCTTTCACAAATTGGTGAAGAGGAGATGTAGTTCGGATTTTCCGGTGTGGATACGATATGGAGACATCTGCGGCGAACTTTTCATTTTATAGGACAGTACCCGCTAGGGCCTTTGGCATACCCAAAAATGATCGGCCGAACCAAGTGAATCCCTTCGGGGTATATGATTCCGAATTACGCCGCAAACCACGCCAAATGCTTCAAAAGTCGAAGGCAACACGTCTTGCTTTACTTTCACTCAATTATGATATGCAAATTAAAGTGATATCCCTCCTTTGTTTGGATCCGATCACCCCAAAGAGAAGCACTGGACGCCCTCTACGGTTGACTCAACCGCTTCAAGATGCCAGGAATCACCGATATCCGTTTCGAACATCATCACCCAAGGGACATCGGGATAGGAGAATCTTGCCCCCGTATCTCATGGAGTTACACAGGAGAAGATCGAGACTGGGTGCAAGAGTTCTATACCATCGAAGTTTCGCGTCACGGGGTCACCAAAAGCTATTCCATTCGCTCAAGCCAATGCTTGTTTGTTCCTTGGCCTTCAGCGCCATTGTCTTCTATGGAAGTTAGTCTTATTCGAGTTCGCGCATCGGATGATGAAGGCAACCTGACCGAATGGTCCGATATTGCAACTGTCGAAGTTGGCCTGCTTCATCGAGAAGACTGGAAGTGCCAGTTGATTCACGCAGATCATGTGGAGCGGCCTGAATACAATCATCGCCCGATAGTTTTCAAACGGGAATTTTCTCTTCAGCAACACATCCGTCGTGCACGTCTTTATATCACTGCCCACGGCATCTACTCCGCCAAACTAAATGGCAAGCCGATCAGTGATCATGTGCTATCACCGGGGTGGACCGATTACAACAACCGACTTGTATATCAGACATCTGATATTACCTCTCTTCTGGAGTTTGACCATAACATGCTACACGTCACTGTTGCCCCGGGGTGGCATTGTGGGCGACTTGGTTGGGGCTCTGGGAAAACCAATATATACAGCTCAGATCTTGGAGTCATTGCTTTGCTCCGAGTTGACTACGAGAATGGCGACATCTCTATGCTAGGCACAGACAGAAAATGGCAATGGGGATATGGACCAACTATCTCTGCAGAACTGTACGACGGTGAAGTCTTCGACGCAAGTCAATCTCTGTCTCCGCTCACCCAGTGGGGGAGTGTCGATTGCAAACCAATTGGCGATCGGCTTGAAGCACCGGATGGTCCGCCGATCAAACGGACTCAAGAGGTCCATCCGATTGCAATTCTAACGAGCCCATCGGGGCAGAGAATCATCGACATGGGGCAAAACATGGTCGGTTGGCTTCGTATAAAAGTCATTGGAGGTGCCACAGGACATCGAATCCAACTCCAATTTGCTGAAGCCCTTGAAGACGGCGAATGTGCTCTCCGCACACTGCGGAACGCCAAAGCGCGAGATACAGTGATCATGACCGAGCAGGGAACTCTCGAATGGGAGCCAGAATTCACATATCATGGTTTCCGCTATGTCGGAGTGGACGGCTGGCCTGGTGTGCTGACAATCGATTCCGTCAAAGGAATAGTGGTTCATACGGACATGAAGAGAACGGGGAGCTTCTCATGCTCAAACCCTCTGCTTAACAAGCTTCATGAAAATATTGTCTGGTCGATGCGAGGAAATTTTGTTGGAATACCCACCGACTGTCCGCAGCGTGATGAACGGCTAGGCTGGACCGGCGACATAAATGTCTTTGCTGATGCAGGGAATTTTCTCTACCGCATTGGAGGAACCCTGAAGACTTGGCTTGACGACCTGAAGTATGAGCAGCAGGAAGCGAAAGGAATTGTACCATTAGTGATTCCCAACGTGATTGATGGCTTCGACCAGGATGCGCATGCTATATGGGGGGATGTCGCCGTGATGCTGCCATGGTCTTTGTATCGAGCTACCGGCGATACTCAGATGCTAGCTCGGCAGTATTCAAGTATGAAGGCTTGGTTGGATGTTATCCCCCGTCGTGAAAATCAGTTATGGGACTATATCTCTGACTGGAAGCTTGGAGATTGGCTCGATCCTGCTGCTCCTGCTGACGACTGTGGAAAAGCAACCACCAATCCGAGTTTTGTTTCGGATGCATTTCTCGCTCATGTGACCACATTAATGAAGAACATCAGTGAGATCTTGAAGGAACCCCAGGATGCGCAGAAATACTCAAAGGATTCGGAGGAGATCCACTCCGCCTTCGCTCATGAGTACATTACACCAGCTGGCCTTGTGGCCAATTCTACCCAAACTGCGTTTGCGCTTGCAATACAGTTCAATCTACTCCCGTCTGAAAAGCAACAGTCACATGCTGCTCAATACTTATCCAAAATTATCCGTGAAGTCTACCGATACAAAATTGGAACTGGATTTGCAGGCACCCCATATATCGGCCACGCTTTGTCCAAAGTCGGTTTATCAGACATCTTCTACCGCATGCTTCTCTGCAGGAAAAACCCAAGTTGGTTATATCCCGTGACCATGGGCGCTACCACTGTGTGGGAGCGTTGGGATAGTATGTTACCCGATGGCTCAATCAACTCCGGAGACATGACCAGTTTCAATCACTACGCCTTAGGATCAGTGGCAAGCTGGATGCACAGCGTGATACTTGGATTCCGAATCGAGGAGGCTGGTTGGAAAAAGATCAAAATCGAGCCCATTCCGGGGGGTGGTTTGAGATGGGCCAGTGGTGAATACCTAAGCGGATTTGGATTGTATAGAGTCAGGTGGCTGGTGGTAGAGGGTCCTGAAAAGCAGCATGAGAGACTCTGGGTTGAGGTTCAGGTTCCCCCCAATACCTCGGCAGATGTGAAGTTGCCCAACTCTGAAGAGTGGAATCATATTGGGTCAGGATCGTATAGCTGGACAGTCCCATTCCAGTCAACCCAGTGGCCACCAGACCCTATGGTTTTACCATTCGGTCAACAGGAGGCGTTCCCAGTGGACGAGTCTCTCCCTTGCCCCTGGGATATGAAAGTGTAGTAGATATTGAACTGCGTCGTTAGAAAAATTCATGTGCATTGCACTCTCAATGGAAGCATTGGGACTGTTCAATTCAACCCTCATTATTTGATATAGTTCATCGATATTTACCTCTTGCTGTGTGTACTCGGCAAAAGAACGACATTACAAAGTTGTTCATCTTGCGATTAGTGCGCATCCAAAAAAGCTCAGGGTACGACGGTGTATAGGCTCAAGAGACATGTCTTTAGCAGGTGTGCCGATAGCAAAGAATTAGGTTTTGGGGGTGTATGTATCTAAGTCTCATGATCTCGTATACTTGATCGTAGATTCTAATAAGTCTCTTTCATTGTAAGCCGTTGTAATTCCCTGAAACCAGGCATGATGACGACCCTGCAAATCAGGCATCCCACTTCGCAACCTAATCAGGTTAGACCTCAGGCTAGACCTCTGTAGCGTTGACCGAATAATACCCCGCATCTGACACGTGAGATGAGGCTCTGGACTCAGGGGGTGCAGATATTTCTAATTCACTTTCTACATTTCTTCTCGGTTTGCAGTTAACACTATGCACCCATCGAAAGAGTGACCCTTCCAAATCCTTCACACACGTTCGGAACTAACATATATAGTACTACTATCGATGATGAATGTCATGATGCGATCAAAAAATTCTTTGAAGAGCTTTCTGCCGATGAAACTGCTTTGTTCGAGGCTACGACCCGATCGCAACAGCTGATTGATGACCTTCAAAATATCGATAAGAAACAAAAGAACAAAATTTCGAGAAAAATCGCCCCAAAGCTCAAGGCCTTCGTTGCGGGTGTGGAGCAGTATGGCGGGGCTTTGGATGTTGTGGCAGGTTCAGTCTCGCTGATGAGTCCTATTTGGGCATCCGTGAGAGTTGTTGTCAAGGTAAGTTCTTGTATCTGATTTATGTTTTTCATCGAACCCTTGGAGATTTACGAACGAAATCCTGATGTGGGCAGATCGCGGGCGAGTATAGCGAATACTTTGAGAAGATCTCGGACATGTTGGAGGAAATTGGATACATTCTTTCCTGTCTCCGTCGGTATCCACGTCTATACGGGGATAACCAAGTCCTTCGTGATTCGATGGTAGATATTTTCCAGTCAATCATGCAGTTCTGTTCCCGAGCTCGAGATCTCTTTCACCAAGGAAGGAAGTATCAGACTGGCGTGAGAGCATTGAATCCAGTGGGCCTACACGCGGCCTGGAGACTTATCTGGAAACCATACAAGATTCAATTCGGTGATATCATCGAACGTATCAGATCCTCTATGGTTAGAATAGACCATGAAGCCGATGTTGCGGAAAAAGAGCTTGCCAGCAAAGAGCGTTCGAAGGCCGAGCATGAACGCCAGTTGCAGACATCTCGCTGGGATGCTCTAGAATCGCAGCAAAAATCCGTCGCTCGGTTCATCGACCAGCAACGAATTGACTACGTGACTCAGTGGCTTTCACCCGTCAACGCAGCTTCTAACCATACCTCGGCTACCAAATTGCGCCACCAGGGAACAGGACATTGGTTCTTAGATGGTCCGAGATTCCGGGAGTGGGCGTTGACAGACAATTCCTTCTTGTGGCTGCACGCGATTCCCGGCGCGGGGAAAACAATCTTGGCCTCCACTGTGATCGAATGGTTACGCGATAAGAAACAGAGTAGCGATGTTGCACTGGCCTACTTCTACTGTGATTACAAGGACAAGCAGAAACAATCGCCAACCCGGATCGTCAGCACCTTACTTTCCATGCTCGCATCAAGGAATGACGATGTCTTTGAGAGAATCCAGGCCTTTTTCCAACGGCAGTATAAAGAAAACCCTGTATATGCACCGGATTTTGACGAGCTTTTGAACAATTTCAGTCATTTCATGGGTGATAGCTTCAAGCAAATCTTTATCGTGGTTGACGCTTTAGATGAAAGTGAAGACAGAGAATGTGTGGCATACTCTCTGAAGAAAGTCTACGAGACCTGCCAATTCACAAATATCTTTGTCACTAGTCGTCACGAGATCGATATTGCCCGGACTTACGATGGGCTTCCGAGCATAACCATTGAGGCGACAGATGTTGCCGGGGATATTGATCTATATGTGAAGGCCGAGGTGGCGGCGAAGCTCAAGGCCCGAAAGTTGAAACTAAGGGACTTGACCCTGGCCGATGTCATTTGCGATACGCTCATCGCAGGAGCGCAGGGTATGTTCCAATGGGTCAAATGCCAGATTGACCAGCTGTGCAAACTCCGCAACGATAAGGCCGTACGCAATGCTCTGAATGATCTTCCGAAGACATTGCATGATACATACATCCGCATCCTACAGAAAGTGGAGTCTAACAACGCGGAAGACGTTGAAATGGTGCAACGCCTGCTGAAATGGTTGGTTCTTGGAGTTCGAAACCTCACTCTGGGTGAGTTGGCCGAGTGTGTAAGTGTTGATCTCGCCAATCCTGAGGACTCCTTCGACTTTGATGCAGTCTTTACCGACGCGGAAGATGTTGTCGAGCTTTGTGGAAGTCTGATCACCCTTTCATCTGATGGTTATGTGGCCTTGGCCCATTACACAGTCAAGGAGTTTCTTGTGTCAGACTTTATCAGGGATACGATGCCACAGTTCTGGATTGGGTATAGCGATACTCATGCTGAGCTGGCGAGTGTCTGCCTGACCTATTTAGCATATGACGACTTCTCGGAGACCAAAGAAAGGTCCGGAAAAGCCTTACTGCAAAACTTTGACCAGTACAAGTTTCTTGCATATGCCGCGCAAGCATGAGGCACCCACGCGCACCTTAGCGACATTAGTGACGATGTCTTCGATCTGATCATGAGATTACTTGAATCTGGTGCCCACTCTGGTGGCAATTACCACATGTGGTGTCATATATTCTTCCATCTGCAAAAGTCCAGTGGCCAGCGACTCAAGACCTCGAATAATTCCCCTCTTTACTTTGCAAGTTTGTTCGGTTTACACCGGGCCGTCTCAGCTTTGCTGGAAAGCAACGCTGACGTCCACCCGGAGGAGCCCATGAAAGCGAGTGCGAGTTCTGGGCACGAGTCGGTGATCAAAGTATTTCTTGACCAGTCTCAATCGATAGACACGGCTGTGGTTGAGAAATGCCTTTACCTAGCCGCCGGTCAAGGGCATGAGTCCGTGGTTAAGCTGCTACTGGAGAGAGGGGCGAATGTCAATACTCGCTCCGGAAGAAATGGCACCCCTCTCCAGGTCGCTACCCTAAATGGTCGCCATCAGGTTGTTTCACTTCTTCTTGTCAACAGAGCAGAATTGAACGTTTCCTGCCAGCGGTACGGTGTTCCTCTTGCAGCAGCCGCTGAGAAGGGACACTTTCAAACATTTCAAGTTCTCCTCGACCATGGCGCAAACGTGAATGGCCGTGGTGGCTGGTACGCGTATCCTCTAGTGTCCGCAATTGTTGGAAGGAACATGCAGATGGTCGATGCCCTCATTCAGCGGGGAGCCAATGTAAACGCATTGGGTGGTCGACACGGATGCGCATTGATGGCAGCCTCGTCTATGGGGATGCTAAACCTGATCCGCTCACTGGTTTCCAAAGGTGCCAAGGTCAATGACGAGAATGACAAGGGGACTGACAGTTTATATGCGGCGTGCATGGCGGGCAATCTGGATTCTGTGAAGCTTCTCCTGGAGCTTGGGGCAGATGTCAATGCCAAAGGAGGCAAGCATCGAAATGCCCTTAACGCAGCGAGTGCGGGGGTCACGTCAACATCGTTCAATGTCTTCTCGATGCCGGTGCCGATGTCGAATTCTTCGACGAGCACTATGGCAATAGTGTGCAGATGGCTGCGTTTGCGGGACACGCAGACGTACTACGTGTACTGGCGGAGGTGGGAGTGGATGTCAACGCCACTAGCGCAGATCGGGGAACGGCGCTCGTGTCAGCCGCTCAGAATGGCCAAACGGAGATTGTTCGGATACTGTTTGAGCTGGGGGTTCCAACCGGGGATACCTACGAGATGAGCAACGCCATTATGGTGGCCGCAAACAATGGACACCTTGAGGTTGTCAAGCTCCTCATTGAAAAGGGTGCAGTTACAGATGATTGCAGCACCATTTCAACATATCCCTGTTGCACACCCTTGGAGGCTGCAGCCGTCAAGGGAAATCTGGATATGGTTCATTTGCTACTTGATCTGGGTGCTGATGTGAACTTCACAAATGATAAGAAGTATGGAACCCCCTAATTGCGGCCTGTCGTGGCCAAAAATCAAGTATTCTTGTTGCAGAGTTGTTGCTTGAATCTGGGGCGGACATCAATGCCTCAGCGGAAGCTGATGATAGTGTTTTCTGCGCACTTGGGGCTGCATTGAAATGCGAGAACTATGACCTTTGTGTTGTTCTCCTCGACCGAGGTGCGGACGTGAATGCCGTTAATTATTGGTATCCAACCCCTCTTCACATGGCAGTAGTTCTGGAGGATGACAGGTTTATCAATCTGCTTTTCGATCATGGCGCAGACGTCAATCTCGCTACTGATCCTTGGGGAAATGACGACGACGATGAGGATACTCCTGGCAATTTCATCACCGCACTGCAGTGTGCGGTAGAGGAGGGATCTAATGAGAGAGTTCAAAACTTGCTTCAAAGAGGCGCTCATCTTTCAGTGACCATTGAAAACGCAATGTTCTGCTCCGCACTACAAGCTGCATCATTTGTTGGTGATGTGGATAAAATTCGTATCTTAATCGACGCGGGGAGTGATGTTAATCAGGTCGGTGGTTTATATGGCACAAGCCTACAGGCCGCTGCATCCCAAGGAAACCAGGAAGCCTTCGAGATGTTGATTGAAGCTGGTGGTGATATCCATGCATGTGAAGTTGGCAAATATGGTAGTGCATTGATGGCAGCGATTAAAGGTGGCTACGATGAAGTTATCCGTGTCCTAGTCAACCGAGGAATTGACGTCAATTGCCCTGTTGGGCCACCCTTTCAATATCCGCTCACGGCAGCTGCCACTCATGATCGGGACAGCACTATCCAGATTTTGCTTAATGCTGGCTCCAACGTGAATAGCCAAGGGGGTCTCTATGCCACTGCTCTACAAGCAGCTGCTGCTAAAGGCCATGATGAAATTGTTCGTCTGTTGCTTGAGCATGGAGCGGACCCTAATATTGTTGGTGGCAGGTTCGGCACCGCGCTACAGGCTGCGTATGGAAAGGGATACTATCTTGTCATATTTGATCTCCTGAACGCTGGCGCATCAGTTCACCTTGAGGGTGGACATTATGGAACGGCTTTGGGCGCTGCGCTTGGAAATTCTTGTTCAACCTTGGTTTCAAACCTCCTTCGACATCAAGGTGCTGATCCAAATGCCCCAGTTCGAAAGTATGGGACACCACTTCAACAATGCCTAAGGTTTAGAACAGATGATTCCGTTTTCGAAATCTTGCTTGATGTGGGAGCAGATGTGAATGCACAAGGTGGAATTTATGGTAATGCGCTCATATGCGCGATTTTGCATGAAGAGGATGCAGTCTCGGCGTTGTTGGATGCTGGTGCCGACGTCAACCTGGAAGGAAACGTGGTATATCCTACCGCAGTTCATGCAGCAGCAGAATGGGGGCGGTTGTCGACTCTTCGACTCTTAGTAAAAAAGGGGGCTGACCTAAAAAGGTCGAATGGATTATCTGGCTCACCCGTGGAATACGCTTCATCCACCCGCAATAATTTCTCGGTATTTTCCTACCTACTCAGGCGAGGGGCATCAATCGAGCCTACTGGTAAAGAAAAGCACCACAACGCACTGCAGGCCGCTAGTCTCAGTGGAAATAAGGCGATCGTGAAGGCTCTTCTTCGTCGCGGGTTTGACATCAACACGACCGGTGGAAAGTTCGGCACGGCATTGACAGCTGCTATTGTGTCAGGCAATCTTGATATTGCAAGATTCCTTCTGAAGAAAGGAATTAATCCCAATGCTCCAGGTGGTATATATTCTGGTGCATTACAGGCGGCAGCTGCCAGTGGATCCATTGGTGGCGTTCGCCTTCTACTCAGATATGGTGCCAATATCCACATAACTGGGGGGAAATACTTCACGGTTTTACAGGCGGCTGCCGTGTCTGAAAACTCTGAAGTGCTTGTACTTCTTCTTGAACAAGGCGCTGAGGTGAATTCTGTTGGTGGATACTGTCACTCTGCCCTGCATGCAGCCGCATTGTATGGCCGAGCCGTGTCCTGTGAGCTCCTGATGAAGAAAGGGGCACACTGGAGTCTAGTGGACCGGAAGTCTAGTCATTTGGCTGAGTGGAGACTGGATCATGCTTGCGAGATTCTACAAAACTGCCGGGAGCGACAAGAGCGCGGTTGGCCGAAGGAAGATTCGGAAGGTGAGGACTCAGATGTGGAAGGCGATGAAATCGATGAAGATGAGGACGTGGACGATAGTGATGAAGATGAGGATGAGGAAGATAGTGATGAGGAGCAGGAAAAGGAAGATGCCGGTGATGACGATGACGATGACGATGATGACGATAATGCATGGAAGGCAAATGTGGAGGATATTCCTATGTTCGATCTCCCTTATCGCCCCATTGCAAGTTCTTAGAGGTTGTCCAACTGGAGGTGCGAGTGAATATTCAGGTAAAATGTGTCATCATGATAGACCTTACATTATTCTCTTAACAAGTCAAAGTTTGTAACTTTAGTAGTACTCTCGAAGACCATGCCACATCATCAATATGATGTTCACTTTTGCTAGTACTCCTCTTGCTGAATTGCTGCTCTGCGCTTGATAGGGGATATTTATATCGCTTAGGGCTCTGCTCTATATGTCAGCGTATATGCTGCAACAGTTGTTATCATCACATTTCCCACTGGCCAATGAAGCAAACCCCCGTTTTTTCAAGCAGACCGAAAAGCGGCCAGAAGCACTAAACTGGAAAGGGGAAAGGCTTCGAGTGCCAGGCATTAAAGAGCCGTAGTGAGCGATGAAAGTTGAAATCAGCTATGCGAACACTCAAGGTCTCGTCGCAATTATCGCGCAGCCTCGTCACTCGGCAATTGCTAACAATACGAAGAGTGCACTGACTCCACTACAGCCGGGGCGCCTTAGTTCCTGGAAGTTCTCGGATAATGGTCTCACTATGTACACTATTTTTATACCCGTGTTTCTTTACTCTTGTTTTTATTTTTTGAGACAAAGACCAAGGCGTCCAATTACGCCGTTTCCTTGACGGATACTCGATACTTGTGGAAGAAACGTTCTGAGCTGACCTGAACCCTTTGTCTCACTTTCAAGCTAGCAGAAATCGCCCCACTAACACTCCGTCACACGTATGTGGAAGAGCAAGAATCTTTTTCAGATCATTATTCCAGAATACACAATACCTCGTACGGAGTAATTCGGCTACAGACCCGTCGCAGTAAGACCTGCTACAGTATAAAACCCCAGTTTGGCCCGGACTCAGGTTGTTGGGATCACAGGACCTCTTACAGTCTTCACAAACCCTTTGCTTCTTTCGCTTTGTACACAGTGAGCTCAAAACATCGCCAAAATGGATCTTCTCCACGTTATCGCTCTATTCTCTTTCTTCTTCACTGCTGTCGTGGCATTCCCCCAGCAGACTGCCGTGATTACAACAACCGCGACTCCAGCGACGATTACCAAGGCTGCCTCGCTCAGCTGCTCGGACGGGAAGACTGCGGTCTACACGACAGATTGTACTATGGGAACTCCCACGTCGTACTGCGCTAGCCCAGAGCCCCCAATACAGTGCTCGGAGGGGTACTTCCCCTCGGTTTGGCACCCAGGTCATTGCATGGAGCAGTCAACCTGTTTCCCGCTCGATGCGTCCTGGATCACGACCGAGTGCTCGCATGGGGCGGTTCCTTGGACAACCTCGACCTTGTATGAGGGTACCTTGGCAGGAGGACAGTCGACTATTATCAGTGGTCAGTCCTTCCATCTTCCTTTTCCCTGTTCAATACGCCCCTTAGTATACGCCTTACCAAAGTATGTCCAGCATTTAGAAAATAAGGCTAACATACTTTATTTTTTTTTTGAAGCTGTTTCCTGCTCCTGTGCCAAAAACCAATGGTACAGCATGACTATGCTCCCAGGCGCATCAACTGTGGATACTTTCTGTATGCCCTCAAGTTCTTGCCCAGCTGGCATGACAACCTCGGTCTCAACCAATACGTACTGCGCAACGGCGCCGGCAAGCGTGTGCTCAGATATTCCCCTCGAAACAAACTACTGCAAGTGCGAATCTGCAGCGCAGACACCTGTATATCCCGACTCTGTTGGGGCGGCTCCAACCGGATGTAAATTGTGATCCAAAGGAAAATGGCTCTTTAAATACGCTCTTTTAGTCAAGGCCAGTTGGATTCCCAGATTGCTGTGACATCAAGACCAATGTGTAAAAGTGTAGCTGACATGGATGGGATGGGGGAGATGTGTGACCACCCAGGTACCTAAGGCCTGTATTTTCCGTCTTTTTCATGACCTACTCCTAAAGTGGCTGCATGGATCTTCTATATTTCTTCTTTAGTCATTTAATAAAGATCATTTCTGCCGTGACTTCGCCATCAAGTTGACCTGGTGTGATCCAATCCTGCCCCATAATCCAATGTATATATATCTATTCAATCTCTCAATAAAACCAACGGAAATTATCGCAGGCAGGTCCATCCTTGAGATATTCCGTAGGAATATCCGTTGCCTTCAGGTGAACACCTTGCAGTCGGTCTCTTTTCCTATTATCGTCCATCATCCAAAGCCCAAGACAAAGTGTCAAAATAATACCAACCCCACCAAATGACGCTGTAGTGATTAAAGCTGGAAGATAATTAGGTGCGTCTTGCTTCCGAAAGATATTCGAGCTCACAACCCCCATCAAGTTCGCCAATGGGACCGCAATACTCGTTAATACCACACGACGCCCTTCATTTGCGGTGTTGTTGTTATACCAAGCATCGAGAAGAACGGAAGGCGCAGAGGTGCCCCTAAATAATATCAGCTCAGTGTCTCTCGAGGTTGAATGAAGATTAACCGACCAAGTCATCAGAAATGAAGCGAAATAAGCCACATTTAGATCCTGCTGCACGTCGATAGTCGCATAAATCACGAACCCCACGAAGGTGAATAAGAAGCCGAGTGCAATGAATGGGAATCTCCATCTCGTCCAATCACTGCTAAACGCCAGGATAAGGAGAACCGCAGCGCCTGAGATATTGGGGGCGACAGTGAATAGGTTGGTCTTCACGGTACTATATCCAAGGCGCTGGATAATCACTGGTAGAAAAAGCTGAACAGCTTGCAGCGGAACGCCCAGGCAAACCTGGATAGCTAGAATCACCCAACTAGTTCCATGTTTGAATACTCGGAACGCATCCCGGATGTCGAGCTTTTCGTTGACCACAGAAGAGCTATCAATCTGCAAACGAAGATATGCGAGTTCTTTCTCTTCGGGTGTTAAAAAGGTTGCCTCGGATGCCGACCGAGGCAGATACCAGAGTGCAAATAGTGCAAAGAGAACGGTCCCTGCGCCTTCGATCAAGAACAGGTACCGCCAAGGAGCCAATGGGCCAGTCTTGATACGGAAGATTCCAAATGCCAGCAAGCCAGAGAAGGCCGAGGCAATGGTTTGAGCAGCGTAGAAGATCGCTAGTCGGCGGGCTAGCTCACCCCGACGGTAGAAACTGGGTCTGAATTAGCGGGTATTCGATATATCAAAAGGTTGAAGGGGGTGGAGATACGTTGTCTGGTAGTAGATCACCAATGGAAAAAAGGCGCTCTCAGCCATACCCAAAAACCATCTGATAGCTAAAAGGCCGCCGAAGTTGAACACAGCGACAACAAGAATTGTACAAATGCCGAAGGCAAGCATCATGCAGGGCAGCACAATGTTTGGACCATATTTTTTCCCTAGAAGACCGAGGAAAGGTGCAGTCAAAACGTATGGGATGAAGAAAATGCTCAGAAGCAGATTATACTGATTGCCCTTGAGTGAGAGTGATTCTGTTGTAATTGTTAATGTGGCACTCTTCACTGATGAATCCTGTTGACTCACCTTCAAGTCCAGCTGTCTTAGCATTGCCTAAATTGGACTTATCCAAGCTGTTGAAGAGATACATGATCGCTAACACAGGAAGTAGTCGAAGATCAAATTTCCAGACCAATGCACGCTCCGCTTGAGGGTCAATTTCCACACTTGAGATAGTGACTGGTACATTTTGTTTTGAAGGTAGGTGACTCGATTCGAATTCAGTCGACATGGTTACAATGGAATGCAATACTTCCAAAGGATTTCTAATTTATTCAAGAGCGTTGGGGATATATATCCCCCATACTATATGACACAAAAGATAAGAAATAAACACTAAGAAGTATTGGCTGATAAGGCTTCAAGTACGGGGACGGGCCCCGAAGTCTTGAGGCCCATTCCCCTATCTGAGACTTGAAATAATGTAGAATACTTTGATAACAATTAAGATATCTCACGCACAGCTTCATTATAGGTGGAAGATATTCGCCAATTTAAGAATTGAGGGTAGAAGGTAATGATGGTGAGCACATTACTCCTTACTAGGTACTTGCGACCGGTCTGAGCGCAATCCTTCTACGATAACTACGTATTTATATTGCTAAGATAGATAACCCGAAGTCTAAAGAGCGGGAGATATCTTATTTTGCTGAACCCTTTAAAGCCATTATTGTATGAAATTTAAGCGGAAATCTGCTGGCTTTTACCCGTTTCCCCAGATTTATAAATGAAACATTCTAGAAATTACTATATTGCCCGTATTAACCTATATTGTTACTCCTATGTCTTAAGGGGGTGTCAGAATGGGTATTTTCCAATGAAACAACCACGTCATCAGGTGAAGATCAATGGAATACGAATAATACGATGTAGATGTATTCCGTACTCAACCTCCATTTTCGGCCCAGACTAGATTCAGGAAAGTACTATATTGTATAGGTAAATAGTATAAATAGACGAGAGCATATACCAATATCATCAATTCTATCTATTAGGCCAGGAAAACACCTACTATATGATCAGCCTCTTCGTTTTTCTACATCTTAATTCTCCAAAAACTGACGTGAGACTTCAAATCCCAAAACTCGTTTTTACCACATGTTTATGGTACTTACGACCGAGGACCCGAGGCTTCCCCTATGAAATATTGGAACCTGGGGAGCTGGCTACTTGGTTCATGTCATGGCGATCATTGCGATCGACAAAAACCTCATAGAGAGGGGCAACCCTGTTCCCCAGTTTCTGGGAACCGAGGCAGAGTCTATGATATGAGGGGTTCCATGTCGATCTGCGATGATCATCGACTGGATTTATATGCCTTCCACACTTGATGCGCTTTGGATCTTTTGGGATGTTTTTTAAGACCAAGGAATACCCTCGATTTAGACGATATATTCAACCTCAACATTGGCCCATTTCTTACACGTCCGAGTTTGAGAAAAATGGCTTCTAATGGTCCAAACCCCGGCTTCTTGGGCAACATCAACAAGGGTCAGGAGGCCAAATTACAAAAACTTTGGTCCCTTCTGCTTAAGGCAGGCGAAACATCATTAAGCAACGATCCATCCAATGACTGCGAGGAGCATTTTAGTCCAACTCATCCCCAGAGACGGCTGTCCCTGCTTGGCCGCACACAGAGCAATGTCTCGGAAAAAGCGATCTCCACCCCGAACACACCATACTACCAAAATATTACGAAATTTCTTGAAGAAATGGGAGCTGGGGTAACTGAATCCAACACAATCAAAAAGACCCTCTCGGAGATCACACCTACTGAGCTTCGTACGGGAGTACTTGACACTCTCAAACACGACCACCCCGACGCCGTGCTTTTACGCTTCCTCCGCGCTCGCAAATGGGATGTTCCCAAGTCATTTGCAATGATGATGGAAGCAGTCGTTTGGCGAGTCAAGGAGATGCACGTTGATGAAGATGTGATGGCAAAGGGAGAGCTTCATGCCCTTAAGCAGACCCAAAACAAATCCAGCGCAACTGAACGGAAAGCCGGAAACGACTTCCTGTCTCAAATGCGCATGGGAAAGAGTTATGTGCATGGCGTCGATAGGGCTGGTCGCCCGATCGTGGTGGTTAGAGTCCGCCTGCACAAGCCTGGGGATCAGAGTGAAGAATCTTTGGAGCGATATATTGTCCATGTAATTGAATCAGTGCGGCTTACATTGACTCCTTCGGTTGAGACTGCAGTAAGTATCCTTCTTGGAGGGCGGCGAGGTGAAACCGGCGTCACTGACTCCAGACTAGGCTGTTCTATTTGATATGACAGGATTTGGGCTGTCTAATATGGTATGTCACTGTCTTCTGGCCATGTAGTATCGCTGTCATTAGTTGCATAGCTGACCCTTTTCCTTTGGATAGGAATATCCACCTGTGAAATTTATTCTCAGGTGTTTTGAAGCGAACTATCCTGAATGTTTGGGAATAATGCTTATCCATAATGCCCCGTGGGTGTTTTCAGGTCAGTTAATCGTTGTGATTATAGCCAAAAAGACCTAGGCCTGTCTCTTCTTATACCTTTTTGGACTCACTGTTGCAATGTAGGCATTTGGCGACTCATTCGAGGCTGGATGGATCCTGAAATTGCTGCGAAGGTTGAGTTCACAAATAGTGTCGCCGACCTCGAGAAGTTCATCCCCCGGAATCAGATCGTGGAAGAGGTGGGCGGCGACGAGAAGTGGTCATACAAATACTTTGAGCCCAGTTTCATTGAGAACTCAAAGATGGATGATACTACAACACGGGACGCCTTGAGAGGCGAGCGGCAAGCTATTGGTGAACAGTTCTTGGCTGCGACATCTACGTGGATCAGTGCGACGAAATCAAAGGACGCGACGAAATCAAAGGACGCGACGAAATCAAAGGACGCGACGAAATCAAAGGACGCGACGAAATCAAAGGACGCGACGAAACTCCGTTCCAGCGAAAGCGAAAGAGCGTATCTAGCTGAGCGACTGCGTGTTAACTACTGGAAACTGGATCCCTATGTTCGGGCGCGGCTTCTCCTGGACCGAACTCAGGTCATTCAGGATGGTGGCAAGGTTGATTTTTATCCCAAGGTTCCTGTGGAGAGTGACATTGATATAACCAAGGCATTGGAGGTGGAACATTTAGAGCAGATTGATAATACCGCACTATCCAGGTTTTCGTAGATATTGATGAATTCTGGGTGTTATTTGTTTGAGATTATAGGTAATGAAATTGTTAAGTGATTATCAACTGAGCGGCCCTTGACCTTAAATCATGAGGGGGGCTTTGATCAAATGGCCCCAGGAAGTGTTCTTTAAGATAAAAGAATCTAGGCGGTTTCACGGCGAATGTGGATTCTACCTAAATAGTGTAGCTACATGAAGAATATATGCAAGATATACTCCTATACATCGTACCCTGCCCCCGACCTTTAGTCATCCAACTCCGAGCTCCGAGGACCGAACCCCGACAACTACCTACATAGGTTGCCTTTCGACTGCCATCCCCTGATCATACCAGATGTTCATACAATGGCAACTCCCCGCCGGAATGGTCAGTTAGCCTCTTGTGAGTCATGTCGTACCTCAAAGTTGCGATGCGATCATTCAACTCCTATTTGTGGGCGCTGTGAGCGCCGTGGTCTTCATTGTACCTATCACCCGGCACCGCTGACGCAGCCCCTCACTGGAATACGCCCCAAAAGGAAACGTCGCGTTGTATGCGAGTCAAACTCCCCCAGTCACATCAGTGGATTGCAGAATGAGAACGAGGTCTGGACGCGGAAAAAAGCATCAGTCTCCGCCCCGGGATTTCTAGGGCAAACTAGTTACTCCGATGCGTTCACAGATACCAGAAATGAACTCCTTGTCGGATTTCCGTGCCTCACAAGTCATGATAACTTTCCGATTGACCAAAAGCGGATCAATCTCGGTGCTCGGGTGTTGGCGCTTCTGGAGAACCTCCCATTTTATAGAGATGTGGTCACCGCTCGATTCAAGGTATGGAAGGGATGGAGTCTTGGCTGGCCAGTCACGAACATGATTTTCACTACCGTTGAGAAGATGTGGAAATCCTTAGAAAATGAGGGTATGGATACAAACCAACGCGCTTTGTTCTTGTCTAAGAGACTCTTTGAAACGCACGGCCGGGCGCTTGAGGTATACCCTTCAATGACCTGGGCGGAGTTCCAGTCTGCGGCTGCCGGAAGATGGGAGTTGATTGGATTGCTCTTTACTCTGGTAGGCCTAGCCACTGACTGGGTTCCTCATGATAATCCCATCTTCATGCGTCAGAATACGATGGATCCGAAGAGTCTAGCTATAACAGCGACAGCTGTAGGAGACATATGTCTTCAGTTCTGCGATAGCACTGGAATTGTGAACGATATTGTAGGCTGGCTGCTGTTGCACCATGTCACACTTTTAGCAATAGTCTATGGTGAAAGTGGTCTGTTATCCCGTTCTTTGTCTGCCATCATTGTCTAACGGAGCTCCTAGACTTTCGGCCATGGAGAAAGTTAGGAGATTTATCGACGACTGTGTTTGCGCTCGGGCTTCATCAAGATTCTAGCACCAAGGCCCCATTCTTTCTTTCTGAGATGCGAAAAAGAACTATGGTCGCGGCCTATTCAATGGACAAAGTGCTTGCCACCTTCCTAGGTCGCCCGCCGCTCATCAGCTGGCGCTACTGTGATATCCAAATGCCACTTGACTTGAGCGTTGAGGAAATATTCGCCGATTCAGTCGTTCGTAATGCGGCAATCGCTCGACTGGATGAGAAGACTGGATGGAATCTAGAATCAAGCTTGACAAAGGGCACGTGGCCACGAATTGCCTTGATCACTAGCGTACTCCGTGAGAAGGTCTTGGAAATTTCACTAAGTTGCCAGCTCGAGAATCTCAGTGAAAGAGTCGAGTACGCCGATAGTTCAATTCCCCCCCAAATATAGGGCGAGGCTGACGTTCTCAGACAGCTTTCACGCGAATCCCGCCAATTACGACAGGGACTGCCAGAATTCCTTCATTGGAAACCTGATACTGATGGGGCGGTTCTGTCCAGAGTAGAATACGATCTCCTTTTCGAGATTCATGTAGAGTTTCTCCACAACGATTTCCTGCTTTACCGAACCCTCGGTAAACGCACCCAGACACAGCCTGAGGCAATTATTGGCATCGCTCGAGATATACTCAAAGCATTGGTCACTATGATTTCCGAGAAGACTCGCTCTAGACAGCCCATCAAAGACATTGCGTTTAATGTAAGTTGACCATATTTTTCATTGTGGCAGAAGGTTGGAATGCTGAAATGTAAAATACATACTAGGTGTGCTTACCGGGACTACCTTCTGCCGGTGTTCTCTGTGCAGAATTACTGCGTCGATCCCGATCGACAGCGACAAGCTCTTTTCTGGGCTTTCCTCGCTCAGAGATCATTCAAAATTTGACCCTTTTCGCAGCATATCTGGACACCATCATTAACCCTAATGATGGTAACTACCGTGTCGCACAGCAAGGCCAGAAGGCAATCCGCCATGTCTTAGACCAAGTCCTCTCCGTCGAAGGACTAGCCTCTGTCGTAGAAGACACTGGAACGAGTGACAAATTGATCGATGATGCGAGCTTGCTTGGCGGAGTAAATTTCGACGATCATGACTTATTTCTTGGTTGGCTTGATGGCAATATCCAACACATGTCCGACTCTTGGCTGGGATGGGTTAATTTCACCTGAATATGTCAATCCTGTGAAATTAGGCATAAATACCAGCGATATTAACTGCGTCGGCATTTCAAGAACTTGATGTTCTGGGAAAACTGTACTTCAATGTACATCGTAGATAAGGCGGCCTTGGCCACCGGAAGTAGAGCCGGCCCAGTAACATCTTAGGTAAGCATGGCACACTTCCAAGGTTTCAAGGTTCTCATGTAAGACATGGTCACGTGGAGACCTGCGCTTCCGGTCACACTAGTCTCCTGTAACTCTCGTAGGAGATCTCGGATGGAATCCCGAGCTTTCCATGTCCCTTCGTTTCCGAACTTCCTACAATTGTCATCATGGACCACTTAGCATCTGAGGCCTCCCCTAAAACAAAACGTCGAAAGATTGCTGTTGCCTGTGATGACTGTCGAGCAAGAAAAGTTCGCTGTGATGGGATACAACCGGGTATGTCTTTAATATGGGGTGCAAACGGAATGCCACCCGTACTGACTCAATGAAGTGTGTGGGCCATGTAGCAAGAGGACCGACCAGGGGCTCCGATGTGTCTATACTGGAGAGTTGGAGAAAAGGCGAGCAAGGCAAACGTAAACGCTAACAATCCTACAGCTATATCAGCTTCCGTTTGCTAATCTCTGTTCCGGTAGTTATATATCCAGGTTAGAGAGTCGGATCCAACAACTTGAAAGCCCACAATACTCCGAGAAGGGTCATGGATCAGAACGTACACCGGTTAGTACGTCATCACACTTTGGCTCCGCTATCTAATGAATCCATTTATAGCAGGCAAATCTGCTATCGCCGACACCTGGTAATATCCAGCCTGAAACGCCTGAAAACTATACACGGAACACCCATAGTCAGGGTGATATCACCACACCTACAGGCCAGCGAGACGGGGTGAACGCGATGATGGGTGCTGTAGAGGAAGAACGTCCTAGTCAAGGTTTCTTCGGAAGCTCTAGCGCAGCAGGGTTCATGCGCCAAATCAGAACCGCGGTCGACAGGAGAGTGGCATCACCTCACCGAAGATCCTCAGTTCCTCGTCTGGCTGTTCCTTCAAGCCTGTTGCCGGCGCGAAGCGATAGGCCCCAGTCTTCGGTGCCCAACTATGTGCTCCCCCCGCGAAAAATGGCAGATAGCCTCATGGAAGTGTACTGGGAATGTGTCTTCCCGTTATATCCGTTTCTTGTCCCGGCGGAGATGAAAACTGAATATACGAAAATATGGACTGGTGACAGCTTGGAGTATGATGAAAACATGCTGATGTGCACACTGAATGTCATATTCGCCTTGGCAAGTCAATTAGCCGATTTTGTCCCCCCTCAAGAGCGAGAAGCATCAGCAGATGCTTTTTTTCCCGGGCGAAAGGCCTGTTTCAATTCAACCTTTGGGATACTGGATCCGCAGGTTTGATTCAATGCTTACTTCTCATGGCCCAGTATCTGCAAAGTACGGATTCTGCGCATCAATGTTGGATTGTGACTGGACTCGCGATCCGTAATGCTCAAAGTTTGGGACTCCATCTTCCCCAAAACATTGCCCGCCTTCGGAGTTTTCAAGAGCAACAGCTGGCGCGGAAAATATGGCACGGCTGTATATTGATGGATCGGTATGTTCAAGGAAACGCCCTGGCTAATCTCTGGCATGATTCTGATTTCAGTATTCTCCAAGGGTCATATCTATGACATTTGGTCGGCCTGCCATGATCTCAAAGGCATCCAGTGGGGCCGTTCCTCTGCCAGCCGCCGTTGATGATGAATATATCCCATCTGGGTCTAGCAAAGAGGCCTGCCAGCCTCCCGATCGGCCTTCGATGATGGCATTTTACGCTAAATCATTAGAACTTTACGAGGTCATGAACGATGTGCTTCTTAGTCTTTACAAACCAATCTCGGACGATAATGCGGAAGATATCCATGACTTTTATTTCGATAATGCTGCAAGCGAGGGAGAGCGGACTATCTTTGAGCTCGACCGCTCCCTCACTCGATGGACACGCAGTCTTCCTCCGCACCTACGTGGAGATTCTTCAGCAGTATCCACAAATCCTATATTTTGCCGGCAAAGCATTGTCTTGCGTGCGAGGTTAGTGGTTTATACTACTGTGTCTTGGTTAACTTGCATTTACTAATCAATATGTTCCTGTAGGTTTCTACACGTGCGGATGCTTTTGTTTCGGCCAACTCTTTCTAAATACTGCGCTGTTCGGGATAATACGACAGCATACCCATTGGTCTCGACGAACGACTCCTTCACCCACCGTGTTGCGCTGCAGTGCTCTATCATATGTGTCAAAGCTGCCCAAGAGTCTATCGAATTAATCTACAATAATGTCCCTACTGATGGTACCGGTGGTCCCCTGCCAGCCTGGTGGTATAACATCCTTTGTTCGTATATCCTTTCCCCGGGTTTCTACTTCGATATTCTGACTTATCCAGACGTCTATACCTCTGCAACGGTCTTGATAGCTGGCCGTTTGTGCGCTGCGATCCTTGCTGAGGTCACAGAAATCTCGGTTGTTCAATCCTGGAACTATGCACTGGAGGTTCTTCGAAAATACCAAAGTTACAGCACATCCGCTCGTCGCTGTGTGGCCGCCCTTGAAATCCTTTATGAACAAGTTGCCTCTGAAGGTCTGCTGCCCATGGGCCATGTGCCTAGTCATGAGACAAGGGCCAACCTAAGTGCAGGGAATGATATGTCCTTTGGCGAAGGAATGAATGCTGCTATCTTGGATAGCTTCGAGTTTCCTGATTTTCAAGATATGTCATGGTTAAACAGTGTTCCAAGCAACTTTTTCTAGGTACCTAAAGCCTTGGGCTTACAATGTTGACACTAATTAAGACAAGATTCGGAAATACTCGCGCCTATTCAGGACAATGTCTATTCCGATGACTAATTTTTCGTACTTTTACAGTCCGTGGTACATAGTAGTTGATTATGACAGAGAGTATTATTTCGAAGCAATAATCCGAAAGGCGGCAACTGCTACTGGCGCTTCTCCGCACAAGTCGAAACGAATTGGACTGCAATGATTGGCAACAAGGCACATCCCCCAATAATCGCAACCATCACACCGGCGGCTCCACCAAAGCCCAAGGCAGCGAACATATCCGGGAAGTAAAAAGGTCCAGCCTATAAATATTTGTTAGTAATGGAACGCATCAACCGAGGTATGATCTTACAAATCCATAAATCTGTCGGCATAGGTTGACAAAGATACCTACCTGAGTGGCCCATTCTTGTCTGCTCTCCACGGCAAATGTTATGAGGATCGACCGGCAAAGATTGTGGCAAAGGCAATATACGACAACCAAAGACGATCAGCCGGGGACGACTTGCCACTAGATTTGCGAATGCGCTCTAAGAACCAATCGCTCATAGGTCCACTGACCTGTTCACCTAGCACACAACCGATGATAATAGCAATGAATTGGAGTCCAATTCGTTGAGCATCGAAATGAAACTTTTGGCCAAACGCGAGAGGCATCTCAACAATCACGGCAATGTTCCCATAGCAGAAGGTGATAGCATGAGCGCATGCTATAATCAGGATACGTGGATACTTTGCCAGAGAAAACGGTGTAACAAAATCCCGAAGTTTGAGAGAATGAGAGCTGATCTTCCGTGGGATCAGCTTATCCCAGAATCCAGTTTCTTTGCGCTCGTTGTCGGGATTATAGATGGTCTCATCGCCAATTGCAAGATAAAACACACATTGGCAAAAGTTGAGGATAGCAAAGATCCAGAAGATCCACTGAACACCAATATGCTTGACCACGAATCCCATAAAGAATGGGCCTGCTGGAGTGCCAATGGTGGCCATCAGGGTCCACCACCCCATTTTTTTCCCTCGATGTTCAGGTTCAGATAACTCTGTTACTCCACCGCTCCCATTTCCAATGGGTGGTGAGATCAGAAAGGCTGTGAGAACTCTGGTAGCCATTTGTCCACCATAAGAAGTACACCTCGCGCCGGCAATGTTGCAAACCATGCTTCCCAGAACTGAGAGGAGCGTGACATGGTATCGGCCACAGATAGCGGTGACGGGGCTCCATATCAGGGGGGTATGCCGAAAATGAGGATCTAAATGATGTTTATGAGCAGGTGCGTCAAAGCAAAGCCAAGAGCTCAATGGGCAGCGCACATACCTGGGATGAGGTCAAATAACTGGCATCTGGGACTGTGACATTATATTTCTCCGCGAAGGCATCATAAGCGGGGATGATACCAGCTTCCATGAAGGTCCCCATCATTGAATGAAACGCGACCAACAGAATCTGCGCATTCTTCTTCCAACGGGGCCAGTTGCGTGGATTTTGTGGTGATTTGTTCTCCCAGCCGTTGTCTGAGACCTTGCAATCTGGAGAAGTGGATATCACATTCTCTAAGTGGACTGAGATCTCAGAGCTGGTACTTTTCATGTTGTGGCTTGCTTTGGTTGTGCCAGGGGCCATGTCTGCAATATCATCTGTCATCTTGGGATAGACTAGGAGAGTAAAGGTCACAGTCAAGTGAAGAGAGAAGAATGTCAAGAAAGAAAGAGTTGTTGAAGAGGGAAATCAATCAACGTGGTGAACGGCATAAATATCAATTTGCTTGGATTCTTAAGACCTCATGAGGGTTGTCGACGGGGTATTTGGCAACAGAGTGACGCACCGATTCTCGCCCATTTGTATGATCTGGAGGTCTCATTGAAGTAACAGTTAACTGGGCCTTCATAGCAATGAATCAACTCAATTTTGCGATATTGCCAATCCATCGGCAACCCGATGTATACCATCAGACCTTGACCCGGAAAGTCTTCGGGATGTGACCCGAACCCCCCATATATCTCCCGAATGCCCCTGATTCTTATTGTATGTAGTTATTCTAAGTGTTTATTATTTTATTTTATCTGGCAAATGTATTTAGTGTCCGCTGCTAATTGTTGCTTATTTCAAGATGAATCCCCCTTGCCTGATAGTTCAGGCATTCTACACATCTCTCTTCTGACCTTTTCTGTTCTTCGTTTCTTTCTTTCCCATCATTCCTATTTCTCTCTTTTTCAATATTGACCAGATACTTCCACAAAAGTATCCCCTAACAATCTCGGGCGAGCAATGACCGAGCAATTTCTCCGTTCTCCGTCAAATCCCCGCATCCCCAGACTTCCCCGTATAATCCCCGGTGGGATGCGTTCATGTTGGGTTTTCTGCAGTTCAAGCTTGGAAATTTTTGATATTCATGGATTCCTAATTGGCGGATCTCAAAATCCGTGTTCAAAAATGGAACTGAAATGAAAATGCTATCTACTTCCATAGGCAGTCGGCTGATTCGGGGCATTGATTTCCCGACATATTGGGATCATTTATAAAGACATAGCCATTCATGATGAATTTGTCAAAAAAGAAAAAAGAATTAATTCCGAAAGCCCAACATGCGGGCTTCGTTGTTGACAGCCTTCACAGGGCTGGCTGCTGCTGCAACGGCGCTACACGTTGCAGAAAACCAGACCTACATCACACTCGCCAATGATCGCCTCACAGCTGTTCTTCAGAAGAGTGTTGGTCAGATCGTCGACCTCACTCTAGATGGCCAGGACTTATTGGGCGCCCAGTCGGGATCCACGGGAATAGGCCCGTATCTTGACTGTTACTGTATCCCTTCGGGGTTCTACACAGCTGGGGCCACATCCCCGACCATGGAAGTGGTCCAGGGCACAGATTCAACTGGAACCAAATATGGAGGCATGATTCTGAGCGACACATACACTCCAACTGGTCAGCAATTCCAACAGTACTGGTTCCTGCGCGATGGCGAGACTGGGTTGCATATGTTCAGCCGATTGGCCTACCATAATGAGACCACACCTCACCTTCGCAATTTACAGGAGCTCCGAACCTTGTTTCGCCCAAATAGTGATCTCTGGACACATCTGACGTCTAGTGAGATTCAGACCGCACCCCTACCAAGCAAGGACGCCATTGCGAAGCAGATTGTTGTCCAAGATGCAACATGGACATTCAACAACACACCAAGCGATGCGTACTACACCCAATTCTCTGAGTACTTTACTAAATATTCATTCTCAAACCGTATGATCAATTTCTATCGTCTTCGGCTACTGGTTGTATTGACTAATGGTGCATTCTTTTAGAATGGAGAAATAATAGTGTTCATGGTCTCTATGCCGATGGCAGCACATCTAATGGGGCAACGTATGGTGCATGGCTAGTGATGAATACCAAGGTTGGTCATATTGCTCCAATTGCCTCTAAGATTGAATCATATCTAACGCGTTTATCCCAGGATACATATTATGGTGTAAGCGATATTTGAGCGCAGTGAAATGCAGCGGCTTACATCTCCTAGGGTCCACTCCATTCTGACTTAACAGTGGACGGTATCGTATATAACTATATCGTATCAAACCATCATGGGGAGGGTACGCCAAATATCACAAATGGATTTGATCGAACTTTTGGTCCGCAGTTTTACCTTTTCAATGGCGGGAAGGGCTCGGCATCTCTCGAGGAATTGAGATCGGAGGCAGAAGAAATAGCGAATCCTCAGTGGAACGCTGCGTTCTATGATTCCATTGCAAAGCATGTCATTGGATATGCTCCCTCGAGCCAGCGAGGTAGTGTCAAGGGGACCGTGAAGCTTCCCAAGGGCGCTGTTCGCCCAATTGCTGTTCTCACTGTGGACGGTCAATACTTCCAAGATAATAGCGCCGTTCCAAGCTCCTATCAGTACTGGACCGATATCAATCGAGATGGAAGCTTCAGCATTGATCGTGTTAAAGAAGGGAAATACCGACTCACTGTCTACGCAGAGGGCATTTTTGGTGACTTTGTGCGCGACGGAATCATCATTCGTGCGGGAAGGCAGACAGCGCTGCGTGAGACTTGGAAGCAAGAGTCGGCAGGAACGGAGGTCTGGCGAATTGGGATTCCCGACAAGTCGTCAGGGGAGTTTCGACGTGGCAATGCGAGAGATTCAATTCATCCGCTCCATCCTCCCGAGTATCTTATCTATTGGGGAGCTTATGACTGGCGTGCTGATTTCCCTGATGGTATTAACTACACTATGGGTACCAGCGACCCTGCGACTGATCTTAACACTGCCCATTGGTCGGTCTTCGGGCCAACAGCAAAGGATTCACACGTCGAGTACGACACAACGTACGACTGGAACATCCATTTCACACTCAACTCCAAGCAATTGCGCAAGCGCAAAACAGCCACACTGACCTTACAACTGGCCGCCGCAAAGACCGCAGCAGGTAACACAGATGTGTGGAATTCCGTCGAGCCATACAATAATTTGTCACTGGAAAGCTACATCAACAATCAGGCAGATCCTCTGACCCTCGTAATTGGGTTCAATCAGTCAAGCAGCTGTATTGTGCGGTCTGCTGTAAGCTGCTACCAGGTTGGATCAAGAATGGAGTTCCCTGCGGATTGGTTACATGTCGGAGACAATGTGTTGCGATTGCATTTACCTTTCAACGCAACGGATACAGAGACTGCCATCCTCCCCGCCACCGTTTATGTGCAATACGATGCTATCCGGCTTGAGCTGCTGTAATTTGGCTCCTCCATGGCATGTGTTGCGCTTCTGAAACTAGCAAAATTAAACTCATATCCGTTCTTCCACATTGGCCATGATAGTTAGGTATTTGGATTTGGAGTCTGGCCCAGATCACTGAGCGAATAAAACCAATATCGGGGTCTTTTTAGTTGAGATGGCCGCAGTCTACCTGATATATGAGTAGAATAACGACGACCCCGGGGAGATGAGTGGATCACATCAGGAGCACTGCCCTGGGAGGCAATTGAAGATGAAAATGCTCTACTGGGAAAATATCAAAGCAAGGACCTGCTATTTTCAATAGAAATAAATACATAAGGTTAAAAGCCCCAGAGACTGGTGACAAACGAAAGACAAATGAATGACAAGATCGGCTCGCGATGACAGCAATCCCATAAGTTTGAGAAGGCTAGCCCAGCAAGATCAGATAAAAGAGGTCCTTGATGATAGGTTTTCCAAGCGTACATATATGTACTCCGCACTGATATCCATTTTTTTTCTCCTTTCCCGCAGAGCATGCCACAATTGACACGATCGGTGGCGCTCGTTGATATTTCCATGGCGGAAAAGGCTGCATTTGAAGAAATGCAATTTACAGAAGGCTGCCGAAGCTGACACAGGGGGCGGCGACACCGACGAGGTTGCCAGTCTATAAAAATCAGTAAGTCTATTCATTTCACATGTTCTTGGGGGAGCACATACAGCCTGGGAGTTGGAGTTCTGGCAGCAGGCAATGTTCTGCTGGCAGTTCTTCTTGAGGAAGTCGGACAGGCCAACGGCGCTCAGGACTAAAATCAGGTCAGTCTCGATCTTCAAGCGACTAGAGTGGATAGTTTACTTACCAGAGATGGGGATGTCAATCTGAGTGCAGCCCTGACCAATGCCGAGACCCTCGCTGCCGATGGCACCGAGAACGTTGGAGAGAACACCAACGTTGTTCTGGCTGATACCCTCGTTGTGGTTGATCTTGTTGCAGCAAGACATCTTCGCACCATTGCCACACTGGTTCACAGCGTTCTTGACCTTGTTCTCGGACTCAGGAGTAACGCCAGCAGCAGGGCCGGAGCCAGGCAGGGCCATGGCGGTAGCAGCGAAAAGGAAGGCAGGGACGAAGAACTTCATTTTGATGGAGATATTGAAGAAAGCGTAAAGCGATTGAAGAAGATTGAGAGTGATTGAAAGTCTTGGAGGATGAGAGAGTTGGATGATGGATAGAAAACAATCTGTGGCCGGAGAGATTGTGCCTTTTATAACTTTTCTGATTCTCAGTCTGCTCTCTTGTTTTATTTTTCTTCATGCTTCAGAGGCAAGAAGCCCCTGATTCTGATTGGTCTTCGGGTATTCCAGCATCTAAGCTCCTAGCTCTGCAGGAGAGTGGATGGCTTTGAGTGACCCGGTCGTGAATTATTGCTTTTGCCCAGCAGAGTAGGGCTTGGCGAACATAAACTATCGGCTTTCGAGCGATCCTTGCTCAGCCATAGGCTTGAACATGCATGAATGTGTCCAAGTTTTTCCCTGTTTTCCCCTGCCGATCAACCCCTGCGGGTTCCCCAGACGCCGGCGGAAAGAAATGCGGTATATGTGCGTATGGAGGTCAATGCAACCTAAAAGTTGGGGTTTCCAACATTGATCTTCGGCATTTCGAGTCACACTATTTGTTTTTCTTTTGCTTTTGAATATGCGTGTGACGTCTCGGTTCCTCCGGGGGAGTGGATTTCTCAGTTGATGAATCTGATCTATCACTTCCCATCACACAGATCTTCTTCCTTTTGGGTGAATTGTTTGTTGTGCAATTTCCCATGTTTCTCTGTTTAGGCGCCTAAAATGCCGATTCAGAATTGTTGATTCCCGATTTGCAATAGTCGCATGCGTGAGGAGGCTCCTGCATCGTGCATGATGCACCCCTGTCAGCCACCAACAACCACATCTCCATCCCCATGTTAGGAGGTTGGATCACAATTTATTCCTCTCAAATTCGAAGAAACCCATTGCGAGCAAGTTAAACCCGTAAGATACGTGTCGGAACTTGCACATACAATTGTATGGGCGAAATATTCTGCGCCTATCTATTCCGTAACAAACAAAAGGTCAAGGTCTAGATTTGAAAGTATCTCCAAATTTTTCATCAGTATATGCATGGCATCGTATATTCATCACAAATTTCTCACATAGCCCCTTGCCTACCACGTAAAAGATTCCTCCACAAATTTAATAGAGCGGTGGCCTTGTCGCATCGCAAGATGTGTAGCGGCGCGTGCTTCATCCGCCATTCTGGGTGGGCCACATACGAGAATCGCGAGGCTACTACCGGCTGAGCATGCATCGGAGGCCCGACTCATGATCAGGGATTGAAGGTGGGGTCGACCTGACTGGATATCGATTCCAAAATCGGTAGGATCTTCAGATGATGTGGTGGAATCACGCGTGGCGTAGAAAGAGGCACGGAAATCCTCTCGTTCGAGGGCGCCTTTCAGTTCCCGGACAGAAACATCTCGGATGAAATCTGCCTGTTTAGTGGTCCAAACAAGCTCCATGTCTCTGACTCGTGTTTTCTCATTTTCGGGGCGTTCGTCCCAGTCTTCAACCGAGCGGCGGAGATGATCCTGAATATAAGGCACAGCTGACGCTATTCCTGTCCCACCGACGATAATCAAGACTGATTCATACCTCCACAGTGGAAATGTTTCTCCATAGGGGCCTTCAAGAAGAATGGTTGTTTCGCTTGTCTTGCTTTGTGAGCTCAGGCATTGCTGGCGCAACTGTTTGGTCCAACCGTCATACGGTCGGACCCAGAATGTCAATTTCAACCTCAGCGATGCTGCTTGACCCGATGAGCCACTTTCTGGGTTGCCTTGGTAATCCTGGTCGGAGGCACCACCTGCAAGGAGTGGTACATGCGAAACATCGTGCGATTTGATCGACTTTCCCTTGGATGTCGGGGCCAACAAGTTACGGTCCCCTATTTCGTAAGACCAAGCTCCAATGGTAAAAGGATGGCTCTCCCAGCCGGTAAGCCGAAAGGGTTGGTATAAATAATAATACTGTCCTGGTGAAGGTTGAAGGGAGGGTGTTCCTGGTGTGACCTCCAACCGCACCACGTCGGTCGCTTCATCGTAAACCATGCGGCTCATAGAGACCTTCACAATTCTCCCGTTTGCAATACTCACGTGAAGGTTACAGTAACACAGTCGCACGATTCGAAGGAAGCGATCAACGACCCATAAAATCACCGAGGGCCACAGGTACTTCCAGTATTCATTCCCTTCGAACACAATCGTGTGGCTGCCAATCGTTAGAAATATATGTAGAAGTTGGATTAGGCTGGATTACTTACTAAAAGCACCCGACAAGTGCGATGATCGAAAGCACGACATGAGCAATCAAGAAGAGCTCATATGTCGCAATGCGAATCCGATCCAGTGAGGTGATCAACAGCAGAATCATCACAAATGTGCCCTAATGTGACATGAGTATTAGAGGTGGAATAACTTGAGATCAGCCAAATTGGCGGCCTACCAAAATACCCCACAAAACATATGTCTTCGACAGACCTCTCCAAGCTTTGCCGGCTGCGATTTTCAAGTGTCAGTTTTCCAACCTGCATTTGAAATCAAGTGCTCGATACTTACTTTGAATAAACATGACGACGTAAAGAATAGAGTGCACTGTTGCCTGTACAGTAGCCACCCGGGCCACATGACGATGGAATATATTGAACGATGCAAAGCTCCACCCGGTGGCCCATAGGAAGATATTATTTCGTCCCCCAAAGAGCCATAAAAGGGGCAAATTCGCAAATGACATGATCCCAGTACGGTCTGCAGAATAACGCAGAATCTGGCTTGGAATATCAGGCCAGCTTGACTATCTGTCAGCATTTATCACGCCTCACTCCCACGGGTTCTGTACGTACTAAATGTTTCCGGAGAAAGTCCGATAGCCCACGATACTCAATACGATGCTGAGCGTCCAAAATCCCATGACTATAAGCGCCTCAACTCTGGTAGAGAACGTGAAGCCTAGGAGGTGTCGACCATGTGTTGCTGCCAAAGGCGCTGGAATCATGAGATGAGTCTGGATCCAGTGAAGGCATGTCCCCACCAGCGGGATATGTTCTAACAACCTTATGAGAGGATACAGATTGGATTCAAGTGCACGCTCTGCATGGCGTTGTCGGCGGTGGAATAACCAATCACTCAAGCGATAGACCATCCCCAGTGACAGTATGCCACCCCAATATGCATAACCAACATAACTGGTTGGTCAATATATGGATGTTTTCATACCACCTTGAACAGACTTACCTAAATGCATGATGTGACCAAGTTTCAAATTCCCAAGAATCCTAGGATGTCGATAAGCTTTAGGCCTGTCATATTCCATGAAGGCGGAAATGGTCTCACAATCGTATTGAACATTAGGTCAAAGTAAGACGCAGAAAGAAGGATGGGGCCATCCACTGGTTCACCTCGGGACAACTCTTGATAGTCGACCGTTTTCATATTCTTTATCGCATCCTCTGTTAGATTTTCGGCGACGGCTTCTCTCGACAGCAGCTCTAAGTTCCCAAATTCTTGGCACTGGTCAGCCAGCTGAGTCAACCCTATCGCCCGTTCCCGCTCATTACAATATATCTCGGATGCGGCGTATATCGATGTGACTTTGAGCGGATTCCGGCATTGCGATTCCCATCTGTCTTTCCCTTTTGTGGGAACGCCAGAAAATGATATGTAGTTGTATGCCGTGTAGACAGCTGTCACACACCGCCCGTCCTCGGGTTTGGCCCAGACACCATGGGCGAGTGCGATTATCAGCACACAGAGCAACATAATGAGTCGCCAGATCGCAGGCCGGTCTGGGGTGAGTGCAGAGACAGTTGAAGAGGAAAAGCGGAGCACCGGCAGTAAACCGATAATCGCACTGATCAGGTGGACCCATATGGATCGGCGAAGTCTCTGAGCTGTGGCGATTTGCGACCGTTAGATCTCGTCGGACCAAAACTTTTGACTGGAATTATAAGAAGAAAATACTTGGATTCTAACCGAAGATTTCCAGGAGAACTTGAAAGGGAAAAAAAAGAGGAACAAAGGAACCAGGTTAATTGTGGGAAACTCCCGAGGTCGGAATCCTCTCGGACCCGTGGACCTATACAGGTCTTATCTGATCTGATTGATTAGACAACAGCCACGTGACACCATGATTGGCTTAGCTCATTTCAGGTCCCAATTTCAAGTGAGTTGTATATTTACTCTGTTAATATATATTTAGGTATGCTAGATATCTACTCTACTTGTGTAGGCCCATTGCCGTTTTCTGTGGTATAAAATTGTAAATCCTACGACAACGCTGGCGATATATATATATGATAACTGTGTCAGCACTTGTAAGATCAGCCAACAGTTCCCACTAAAGGTTACTGTAGTCGAACTTCCCTGATGATTGACTCACTTACACTAGTGTCCTAAATCTGGAATTCATTGAAACATTATTGAGAAAAGTTGACTGTGAAAACCGATGTGATTTTCGTCGCGATACCTGGACACCTAAGGCATAAATTAATGCCTGCCAAGACCACCTTGAATCCACGATGTCAACATATCCGACCACTATGACATGAATGGCTACGAGATAGTCAAGAGATTGAAATTGTTCATGTTTCAAAAGGGTAATAAATTAGCATCAAAATCTTGAACAAATAATGTACTTGAAAGCTATAGCACACCGTTGCCCGGCAGAATAGCGGGCGGTCGAGAATAATGATGTCACTTTTTTTTCTCCCAGAGTTTACCTGCGGAGATTCCATGTCTAACGTACACCTGAGCAACCTCAGTCACCATAATGGGAGGAGGAGACCGAATCCCAGAAATGAATATGCAAAAGGTCTTATCTGATCCGGGCCAGAATGTTTACCTTCATGCGGTGGTTGATTTAGGCAGGTAGGCAGACCAAATCCAACTGCCCTTTGATGTGCCTAGGTGACTGTTCGCTGACTTGATATATTGCAGTAATGGCATTCGTTGTTCGATCTCAGATCTCTCACCCCCAAGTACCCGTGTCATCCCTACTGTACATTTTCATCGGGTCAACGTATCACTCTACGAGGCCCAAGTGGATCCCGACTCAGGCAAGCGAATCCCAATTCCACAGCATGTCATCGACCGAATCGTCAGTGCTATAGTTCGTTTCCAGCTTGTTTGCGTGGAGATTGGAGTTCCTGATCAGAACATTCGGATTATCGCCACTGAAGCAACTCGAACAGCTATCAATGCTTCTGCGTTCATGGACGCCATCCGCCACAAAACTGGAATCTCGGTGAAAGCATTACGAAAGGAGGAGGAGGGAGTCATTGGAGCATGGGGAATTGCCAGCAGCTTTTCAGATGTGGAGGGACTCGCACTTGATTTGGGGGTGGGAGCATGCAGATGACTTGGATCACATCGCATGCGGGGAACGTGCATATGAGTTCCCAAGGATCAGTCAGCTTTCCCTACGGTGCAGCTGCATTGACCCAGAAGCTGGCAGACCTGAAACGGGGAAAAAGTAAGGAGGAGGCGCATAAAGCACGGGAACAATTCCGCGGGGAGATGGCCCACAACTTTCGCGCCGCTTTCAATACCCTAAGTGTCCCTGAACATCTCGTTCAGAAGGCTAGAAAGCAAGGAGGCTTTCCCCTTTACCTCTCCGGGGGAGGATTTCGGGGATGGGGCTATCTTCTGTTATATCTGCACCAGACAAAGGGCCAAAGTTACCCCATTTCGATTATCAATGGGTATTCCGCACCCAAGAAAGACTTCGAGGACACTGAAACTCTTAAAGAGGTAGCTCGAACGGCACACGAAATTTTTCGGGTCTCCGACCGGCGACGCAGGCAGGTGCCCTCGGTGGCGTTCTTAGTCAAGACACTCGCGGAATCATTACCCCATGGAATCAAAGACGTCCATTTCTGCCAAGGTGGAGTACGGGAAGGAGTGCTGTTCCGTGAGATGCTCCCGATTGTCCGCCAACAGGACCCACTAGAGGTTGCCACAGCCCGTTATGCGCCCTCGTCGGCCCAGGCCCTGGCCGCTCTATTGTTGGCCGCCCTCCCTCGACCATCTGCCAACCGATCGTTCCCATCTTCCATCAGTCTTCACCTTGTCCAGGCTTTTGCTAATGCCCTCTATTACCATGCCACAATGTCCAAAGAACTGTCCTCTAGTGCCGCGCTATATAGCACTAGCACTGGGATCCTAGCCTCCACGCATGGGATTCCACATGCCCACCGTGCACTCCTAGCCCTAATGCTCCAGGAGCGTTACGGCGGAGAATTACCACCCCGAGACATGGATTTTAAGACCCACCTTCAGGGAATATTGACACCAGAGGAGGTTTGGTGGACACGTTATCTTGGAAAACTCGGCCTCGTCCTAAGCTGGCTGTACCCAACCGGGTCTATCGACACCTCCAAGCCTCGAATTATTCCCTCGGCACAATGGAAGAATGGATTAGGGAAGAAGGGCAACAAAGAAGGCCTGGACTTGACAATTGCCATTCAGAAAGTTGCATATGACCCGTCTCACCTGAAGGAAGAGCTCGAACATGACGTACAGAAAATCCAGAAGGTCGGAAAGCGGAAGAATTGGATTGGTGGGCGAAATGGCTGGGGCATCAAAGTGCGTGTCTCAGTAGTAGAAGAGGATTTATTGGTCCGGTGAGTGGAGCAACGCAGGTTGTGGAGTTGGCCTATTATGTTCTACACACCGGCAGGATATAGATTTGCATCCCTGCGATCATTGAATTGGTCCATAAGACCCTAGATACATACTCACAGGAGAATATGCCATAGGAACGAGTGACGATGCCGGGCTCTGTTTGAACAACCGTTGACCAGATCCATCGTTCCCCTGTGTCGGGAAAAGTCGCAGCTAGATCCACTCTCCTTGTGCCTGTCGGCTTCTCAGCCTGGTCATGCAAATGAGATATAAGTCCCTGCAAAGCTTCTTTTCGGAATTCCATGGCAAAGCTCAATGTGGAAACTTGAGGATATAATTTCTATGTATCACTAACATCAACCTAGATGTATATTGAAAATAAACAAAACATTCTTGGAACTTCTTGGAACTTCTAGACACGAAAGAGACAAAAATCAGTTATAAAGTCCGCCATAATCCCATGATTCGGACCTAAACAGAGAATGGAGCCTGTTTGCCGTCAGCCTTATAGGGCTGAGAACCACGGTGGAGATGTGTATTCCCACGGATTCAGTCCGATGTTGCATCCGAATTACACGTTCTTTCTGTTATCTGATTTTGCCTATTTTTATCTGATCCTTTTCCTGCGATCCTTTTCCTCCGAATCTTTCTTCTTCCTCGTGCCCATCATGGAAGCTAACAAGGACAAAGACATTAACCTCCTAGAGCAATCCATTCGGGAAAAGGAAGTCCAGGATGGAAACAATACTGATTCCGGTAATTCCGTTGTTGCCTTTTTCTGTGGTACTCTTGCTGGCATATCCCCTGGGGAAGCTTTGGGAGAAAGTCATCCCGAACTGGACCCTTACACTAGGGCGATTAGCATTTAATCCCAACCCCGGACCTTTTAATATAAAGGCAAGTTCCCTGGCAAATGTGACAGTGATAAATCTAACAAACATTGCTCTAGGAGCACGTTTTGATCTTTATAATGTCCAACCTCAGTATTTACGTTCGTCTCGGTGCCGATGTTCTCACAGAGCAGCAAATGTTTTACGGCTACAAGGCAGAATGGGGCTTCCAGATCCTCATTACTTTCTCCACATTTCTAATCGGGTTCTGCCTTGCCGGGCTATTTCGGGCGATTGTAGTCGTTCCCCCAGAGCTGATTTGGCCTGGGGTTCTGGGTGTTACTGCATTGACCACAACCCTGCACCATGTCAACCAGGAACAAGTGCAAGTGCGGTAAGCCCCCTAGCCTTGTTGCCTGGGTGTAATGGAACTGATGGATGGTAGTTACAATACTTGGAAAATGTCTCGCTATGCCTTCTTCACTATAGCATTTTGCGTCTCGTTCTGCTGGTATTGGTTTCCGGGGTTCATCTTCCCGGCGCTTAGCTATTTCAGCTTTCCGTGTTGGATCAAGCCTGAGAGCAAAGTAGTCAATCAGATCTTCGGAATGAGTTCCGGAATGGGACTGTTACCGATTACCTTTGATTGTAAGTGTCACAAGTTTGCAAGTCAACCACTGTGCTGACGGAAACCGCAGGGAGCCAAATATCTTACGTTGGGTCTCCCTTGCTCATTCCTTCGTGGGCGGTTCTCAACGTCTTCATTTCCCTGGTGTTCTGGATTTGGATTGTGGCTGTCGCTTGTTACTATACCAATGTGTGGAACACAGGATACCTTCCTTTTCAAAGCTCTCAAGGTACAGTTTATCCCTTCAAGCTCTGGGGATGACCATATCTGACTTGTGCAAACAGTCTTCGACAATACTGGAAATACTTACCAAGTCAAAAAGATTGTCAATGCGGCTTCAGGCTACAAGCTCGATGTTAAGAAGTACCTTGCCTATTCACCGGTATTGTTGCCTGTTCTATAAAATCGAAAATTTGACTTCTAGCTAAAGGGGAAATTAGGTCTATATGCCGGTTACCTACGCGTTGAACATGTTTGGGCTATCATTTACCACCCTAAGTCTTCTTGTTTGGGCTCTCCTTGAAAAACGTCAAGTCATGGTCGATGCAGCTAAAAGGGTGCCTCGGCTTGTCCTAGAGTCCCTTCCCGGGCGCTCCAGAGAGTATAGTGAGGACGAGAGGGGAGACCCAGATGTGCCTTTGTGGTGGTATTTGGTTGCATGTATCGTGGCGTTATTCATGGCAATGTTCGCTGTTCAGTGGTGGCAAGTTGAACTGAGATGGTACGGTGTTTTGCTGGCATGTGCTGTGGCAGTGGTATTCTATCCTGCGGTGAGTCTACCCAATATACCGATTTGCACTCTCAACACATCTCTCTGACTAACCATAGCTGGCTTTGGTCTATGCCACTTCTAACCTCAAGATCAACATCGATATTTTCTGCCGTATCGTGGCTGGTTTCGTCTTTGAGGGCAAAGTCCTGGCCAATATCTGGTTCTTTGATATCGGGTACATCACGACCATCAAGGGTCTTTACTTTGCCCAGGATGTGAAACTGGCTTACTATTGTCATGCAAGCGCTCTCCTTTCCGGCTATTGTTGGACTATGCTGATACCCCGAAGATCCCCCAACGAAAACTGTTCTTGGTTCAATGCGTTGGGATGCTTGTCGGCACCCTCTCCTCACTCGGTGTCCTCAACTGGGCCATGAATCACATCGCCGGTATCTGCACCAGCGCTGCTGTCAATGGTTTCAGTTGCCCTTACAGCAGCACTCACTTCAATACTTCTTTGATCTGGGGTGCAGTGGGCCCTCGTCGCTATTTCTCAAACCATATTGGCTATTCCGCTTTGCTTTATTTCTTCATAATCGGTGCCATTTTACCCATTCCTGTCTATGATATGGCCCGCAGATACCCCAAGTCGCTGTGGAAGAGGGTTCATGTTCCCCTATTCATTGGGGGGCTGAATTACCTTCCCCCTGCGATGGAAATGAACTACAGCAGTTGGGCAGTTGCCGGACTCACTTTTGGCTGGCTTATTCGAAAGCGTCTGCCGAGCTGGTGGAGTAAGTATAACTTTGTGCTTAGTTCTGCTATGGACTCGTCTGTGGGAATTGCTGGTGCGTTGATTTTCTTGACAATTTATTTCACCGGAGCCAGCAAACATCTCAACTGGTGGGGAACAGAGGTTCATAAGGTGTGTTTGGCTCCTTTACATTTAAATCACCCATGCTGACTAGTTGCAGAACACCTGTGACTGGAAAGGGTGTGCATATCTTTCTGTGCCAAAGGGCAGAAAGTTCGGCATGTAGGATCCCCTGTATGGATGTGCCGTCTACCTAACATGTATCCATATCTTGTGGTCAGTGCTTGGATGAGTATGCTAAAGATGGGCATTTTGCAACTGTTTATCTGTTGATCTGATCGTATGGGACATCTTTGTTTGGTTGACAAGCAATGATAGACGAGTCCACTCTTAACAGCCGGACACAGCCCAACGAGAGAATGAAGTTATAATACTAATAAAGCAACCATCAACATATCCGTAGAGCAATAGAAGCTCAACTAGAACATGCCTAGTAGTCAGCCCTGAATTGGATTATATACATACATGTAGTATGTACTATGTAGCCATCTTCCTTCAGGTTTCCTGTAACATTGAAAGTTTTTTAAGTTGGTATTTATGGTATTTGAAGTATTGGTATTTGAAGTGGGTCCCGGACCAGCACAAAGCCGATGTCGGGAATGATTGATTAGATCAGCCCGATTGATTAGATTTCCAAGGTTGTACATTCCCTTGCATGGTAGATGGGCTTTATTTTTGTGAAGCTTTAACAATGAGCATTAAATTATATCTATTATATAATGGAGTTTCTTGAGCTATAAGACAATCCGAGTTGCTGTCCGGACTGTCCTTCGTCTTTTAAAAGTGAAGTAATTTCGGAAGAGGCCTGCCAAGAGTGCCCCAAATCATCCACACTCGGAAGTATGCCCCGGGCTAAAATACTGTACGTACCTACATACATCATAGACCCCAACTGATTGATAAAACCCTAGCATGAAGTTCTGCAGACAGGTTATCTGATCCTGAGTGGGGTCTGGTGCCACGAGGTGATTCTTTTTTTTGTTAATGCCGGTCAGATTGCGCTCTGACAACCAATCCTGGACTAAACTAGGGGAAATTTACCAGACGATCCCGGTGGATATGAAAAGAAAATTCTACATACCATACTACGTAGATGTCTAAAAGATTCAGGTATCTAATACTATTCCCGGATATTCGCAATTTCCGGTGTCAGTCCACCCGCAAAGTTGTCATAAAATAGATTCTCACAGCCTTGAACGACCTAAAAGACATCAAAACAAAACTTGGAGCGTATGCCAAGGTTCGCTTGAAGAAGTGGAGTTGTATAGCCAAGCATAGAAGCCAAAATTCGTGAAATATTACCAAATACAAAAACTTCCGATGTGGAGCCCGGCCTATCTGATGGAATTTAATAAAAAAATGGATTTTATGTGCGAAATTTGTATTGTCGGGTACATCTATAAACCCCTGCCCGAGGCTTTTTCTTGATTTTCTTCTTCAACTTTCTAACCATGGCGGCCCCAAGAAGTGTACAGCGCTTGCAGCAGACGTTGTCGCATGTACAGCCTCCTATTAGTCCACAGCTGTCTCTTGTCGCAGGCCCGACAGAGCCACAACTGCTGGACATTACCTTGGGTGAACTGTTGACACTTCAAGCACTGCAGTATGGGAGAATTGAGTGTTTGGTCTTCCCCTGGACCGGTGCGCGATGGACGTACGGCCAGCTGAAAGATGAGACCGATCGTCTAGCTCGGGGAATGTTGGCTTCGGGTATTCAAAAAGGCGATCGCATTGGAATTATGGCGGGCAATTGTGAGCAATACATCTCGGTGTTCTTTGCAGCCGCACGAGTTGGGGCTATCTTGGTCGTCTTGAACAACACGTACACCCCCTCCGAGCTGTATTACGCTCTAAATCACAGTGGTGGGTGACATCCACTTCCCGTATTGCTGACTCCATACTAATCTCGGCTTTTTTTTTTTTTTTTTTCATTCAGAATGCCGAATGCTTTTCATGACACCACGCATTGGACGTCATAATCTCGAGGAGGTCCTTACCGAACTTGGCCCTAATCCTAAAAAGGCTGCGACTTCAGAATCATTGGAAGAGATCGTCATTCTCCGCGAGAGCTACAACAACTTCACCACCTATCATGATGTCATGGAACGCGGCCTGTCGCAGGCTGCACATGTGCTCCAGGACCGTGAGGCCGAGCTACGGCCGGATGATGTCTGCAATCTACAATTCACCAGCGGTTCAACAGGAAGTCCTAAAGCTGCCATGTTGACACACCAGTACGTGGATCATATATGTATAAAAATTCGTTCCTAACGCTAATCCCTCTATAGCAACTTGGTTAATAACTCGCGGTTTATCGGTGATCGCATGAACCTCACCTCTTTTGATGTTTTGTGCTGCCCGCCGCCCTTGTTCCACTGCTTTGGGCTGGTCCTGGGCATGCTCGCGGTTGTCACCCATGGATCCAAGATTGTTTTCCCTAGCGAAACTTTCGACCCCAAGGCGGTTCTACATGCCATCTCCGACGAGAAATGCACTGCTCTACATGGTGTTCCAACCATGTTTGAGGCAATCCTTGCCGTTCCCAAGCCCTCCAACTTTGACACCTCCAACCTCCGCACAGGCATCATTGCTGGGGCTCCAGTCCCGCGGCCACTCATGAAGCGACTCTTTGCGGAATTGAACATGACTGAATACACTAGTAGCTACGGTAATATCCCTCCCATTGACCTGCAGATCAAGTGCTAATCCAAGCTGTAGGTCTCACGGAGGCCTCGCCCACTTGCTTCAATGCTTTCACCACCGACAGCATCCACACAAGATTAACTACCGTCGGAAAGGTTATGCCCCATGCTCGTGCGAAGATTATCGATGCACAGGGAAACATTGTTCCCGTTGGTCAACGTGGTGAACTTTGCATGGCCGGCTATCAGCTCACCAAGGGATACTGGCATAACCCGGAGAAGACGGCAGAGACATTCACCACCGATGCCGAAGGTGTCAAATGGCTCAAGACTGGTGACGAAGCTTCTTTTAACGCAGAAGGGTACTGCACCATCACTGGTCGCTTCAAAGACATCATCATTCGTGGTAAGTTTGAGACCCCTGAATTGACATCGATCGCAATTTCTAATGGTATCTGATAGGTGGTGAGAACATATATCCTCTCGAGATCGAAGAACGATTGACCGCACATCCCTCGATTGAGTTGGCATCTGTGATTGGTATTCCCGACCCCAAATACGGCGAGGTCGTTGGAGCATTTATCGCAATCGCTTCGGGCGCCGGTCGTCCAACCGATGATGAATTGCGCACATGGACACGTGAGACATTGGGTCGACACAAAGCCCCGCAATATGTATTTGTATTTGGAGAAGAGGGGGCTTCAGGCACGGTTCCTGTAACGGGAAGCGGTAAAGTTCGTAAAGTGGAGCTACGGCAAATGGCGATGACGGTGCTGGCCGAGCGTCAGAAGGCATGAACTGGGGGAAAAAAAGTTAAAGAGCACAGATTGTATAGTTGTGTTTTAGTATAGAGCTACTAGGAGAGTCAATAATATACCCCAATCTCAAGTAAACTTCAATGCACAAACCTTGGAAACCCAACTGAATTTGAAACAAATTAAAAGAGGGACGTATCTTATCAGATTCTATTGTAATTCGCTCAATTCGACACTTGTATCGTCAGGTAATAATGAAAAGTGGATTTTGCAGCGAAATGCGCCATTTCCTTTTTTGTCGACATTTTCCCATAATCAGATTAGATGCTCATCTTGTCTGATCGATGATCGTTGCCACTTTGGGGTTGGTGGCTTGTATTGAACCGGAACTAAGAGCGTATTATATACCTAGGTACTGTACACGGATTACGGTCGGGTGAAGGAGTCCGTATCCATAAATTCTTCATTGTCACATTGTTGTGCATGTCCTTTCACCAGGGTTCTCCTCGTCAAGATTCTATTTTCATATTACAGCAATAAATTGACAGACTTGACGGATGCACAGACAGCCCGCTTTTGCGTGTGTATCAGCCACCATGTAGGTTCTACCGAAATATGACTTAGCACTAAATTGTGTATCCCAGAAAGACCGTCAGTAATCGGAGATCAACCTTGGAAGTCAATACAACCGAGGGATGTTTCACGCTTCGCGGCTGATATCGGATCTGATAATACGAGCCAAGAAGCCAAGAGAACAACCATGGATGCACTATATCCGATGTCGCTTTCAATCTGATAAGATCCGGACCCGCATAATCCGATGAGATGACGCTATATTTTCTTTTTTCTTTGGGTACATAGCTCAGGTTCTTGGCTTTTGTCTCGGTGTCTTTTTTTTCTTATTCTCCTTTTTCGCTTCCCTTTCGTCTTTCTCCAGTTATTGCTCGTGTCGCACCTCTCCTCATCAACTCATCATGCCTTCCAACGACTTTGTCCGAACTGTATCTCGCAACTTCCGAGTACTTGTGATCGGGGGCTCCTATGGCGGCTTAGCTGCTGCATTGGCTCTCATTGATCTCTCACAGGGTCGCCTGGCCCGTTTCAACTGCAATCCCGATGCCAAGGCCCCTACACATCGCATTCCAATACAGATAACTGTAGTTGATAAGCGAGATGGATATTGTAAGCTCCCCAGAAGATCAACAAGATCAAAAATTTCCTCATCCCCAGCTCACATATGTAGATCATCTGATCGGATCCCCAAAGGCCCTGGCCTGTGAAAAGTTCGCGTCCGAGGCATGGACTCGCTTCCAAGATATTCCCGGGCTCAAGTATCCAGATCTCAGTTTTATCCAGGGAAGCGTCAGTTCGGTTGATTTCAAGACCAAGGTCGCCCATATTGTCGATTCAGAGACCAAGAGCAGCCGCACGGAGCCCTATGACTACTTGATTGCGGGCTCAGGGCTGCGTCGGTCTTTCCCCACTGTTCCCCAATCCTTGCGGCGAGATGAGTTCCTTAAGGAAGCCAAAGAGCATATGACCGATGTGAAGCACGCCCATGATGGTATCGTTGTCGTTGGTGGAGGTAAGTCTTATCTGTCACTTTCTGCTGGTTTCGCCCCCGCTAACGTCTCTTTTTCGTGGATAGGTGCTGTGGGCGTGGAGATGGCTGCCGAATTAAAGATTCTTTACCCAGAGCAGAAGATCACCCTGGTCCACTCTCGAAAGCGCTTGCTATCTTCAGAGCCGCTGCCGGACGACTTTGCCGAGCGCGTAGATTCGATATTGCGCGAGACAGGCGTTGAGGTCATCCTCGGGCAACGCGTCATCGAGACAACCGCTGTAGACACGAAAAATGGGACACGGGCCTGGAACCTCATGCTCAGCAATGGCCAACAACTCAAAACTGGCCACGTTCTAAATGCCGTCTCTCAAAGCATTCCAACATCGACATATCTACCAAAAGAGGCATTGAATGAGGAAGGATACATCAAAGTGGACCGCTCGTAAGGCTGTTTCCTCCATGTTACTCGCAGAACATTTCTAATATCTCTGCAGACTACAATTCTCCGGTGCTATCCCTAACGCAGAGTATCATTGGGCAGTAGGGGACCTCACAGCGTGGGAAGGTATCAAGCGTTGTGGTGGTGCAATGCATATGGGCCATTACGCGGCGATGAACATTCATCAGCACATGATGGCAGAGTGTACTGGTGGAAAGCCAGACTATCAGACCCTGCAGCCGTTCCCGTCTGTGATGGGCCTATCTCTCGGTAAAACGGCTGTCAGTTATACCCCGGGTGAGGGCACACGTGAGGGTGAAGATCTGATGAAGAGCTTGTTTGGCAAAGACATGGGACATACAAGTGAGTCTTTGTCTAAAAATTGCAAATTGAGAAGCTAACCGAACTGCAGTTTGCTGGAACTATATGCGTCTCGGTGAGGCATGTTAGTGGCCTAGTAGGTGTGGTAGGTGTGGGATGGATGTGTTCCGATTGGATTTTGATTTTGTATAATATTAGACTGATATGCCGTGAGTTTTGTTCTTCTTTTGGTTCTGTATTTTGGACAATAATTGGGCTCCCGAAGGCAATAAGCTCAGGCCTCGGGATGTTTCAGCTTCGGAGAATAAAAAAAATGATCCAAGTATGTTACATTGAGGGCATTTGAGAGTATTTGGAACACACATAATCCCCTAATATTATGAATTCCATATTTCTATATATATATATTATATAAACTTATCAATCTCAAAACATCCCGGCAGCTGAAGCCCTACAAATCTGCTTAGAAATCCAGTTCCACATGATTCTGCCCCACTTAGCTTCATATAAAACCCCCCTTCTAACAAAGTACAAGGTACATACATTCTTTAACATCATTCATATCCACAATGGCACCATTCGGCACTATCTACTCCTATCAGCCCAGTCCTCGGGTCATGAAGGTAAGACCCCCATGATCCCTAATCCCTGCAACCCTGAAGCTAATCTCCCTAGGCCCTGGCTGTGGCCAACCTGAATGGCCTGGAGGTGGCGGTTCCGGAATTTGCCATGGGCAAGACCAACCGTACCCCAGACTTCCTATCCAAGTTCCCTTTGGGTAAGGTGCCCGCCTTTGAGGCTGCCGATGGAACAACTCTGTTCGAGTCGGACGCCATCACCCAATACATTGCCGAGAGTGGTCCAGCTGCCGATCAGCTCATTGGAGCTACCCCCGCCGAGCGTGCCACTATCCGCCAGTGGATCTGCTATGCACAGGGTGAGATTCTGGACCCTGTGACGCAGTTGGCGCTGTGGCGTCTCGGTATCCGGCCCTACGATGAGAAAGTCGAGGAGACCAACCTCGGGCGTCTGGAACGCTCGCTGGAATGTATGGAGACTCACCTCAAGGGTCGCACCTGGTTCGTGGGCAACGAAAAGCTCAGCTTGGCTGATATCACAATTGCCGCTGCCCTGGTCTGGGGTTTCTCCATGGCCATCGATGCTGAGATGCGCCAGAAGTTCCCCTCGGTGATCGCCTGGTACGAGCGGTTGCTCGAGGCTGAGGGCGTCAAGGAGGCCTTTGGTGAGAAAAACTACGTTGAGAAGCGTCAGGGTCCCAAGGCTTGATGCTCGACATGATAAAATGAACATAGCATTAGCACCCGAAAAATTAAGATATTATATTCGGCTTCACGAAGTACCTGGATCATATAAAACGAAAGAGCCTACAAAATCGTACTAGGGATATCATAATATAAACGACTTGGCTTTCAAGCGGGTCCAAGTGGAACAGTACATATGGACAGGAAGACAAGAGATATCCCACAGCCATCCCATCACAGACGAGCCATCACGCTACCCTCGCCTCGTACCGCTCCCATCGCCCGCGCGAGGTTTCGGCTAGCCCAATCGGCGATCGCCATGTTGGTGACCATCGGGTTCACGCCACTAGCACTAGGGAACACGGACGCATCCACGACATACAAGCCATCAGTGTCCCAGACTTGACAATCTGGGTCCACCACACCTGATTTAGGTGACTTGCTCATGCGGCAGGTACCCATCTGGTGTGCGCTAGCAAACAAAGCACGCTCCGGGTTCAAAGGGGACTTCTGACGAAGCTCGGCAATCCAACTCTGCAGGGCCGCATCGTTGGTGCCTTCGGGGGCCTCGGGGTCTGAAGCATCCGGTCGGATGAACGGGGGAAGGTCGCGGTAAACGGTATGGAACTCTGTGGCGCCTGTGATATACGCAATCTTGGCGCTGGCAATCGTGGCCTCCACAATGTGCTTTCGGTCAAAGGCAGAGACCGTGTAGTCAATTCGGCAGCGTCCATCAACGGGATCCGGGTAAACACGACCAGAATCGCGGTCTTTGGTTAAGGTGATGAAGCCAGTGCTGCGACGCAGCTTGGCCGCCCACAGCTTGTACTCCAAAGAGTCTCGCCAGGGGAACATGGGGATGAACAAGGACGGCATCATTGAGAGAGACTCAATCTTTACGCCATGTCCATCTCCATCAAGGTCCTCAAACTCATTGACAACTGTTGTGAGTGCAGAGCCTTCCCAGGGGCGGGTCTCCTCATCAAAGACAGCACCAGCTGCCATAACTGTATAACAAATAGTAAGTGCCTGTTTATTTATGTGCGCAGTCGGGGGAGGTGGAGAGGTCTTACCTGGGTGAAGATAAAGGTTTCGGCCGATTTGGGGATTCTTCAAGCCACTACGGAGTAGCAAAAGAGGACTTTGCAATGTGCCAGCTGATACAACTACTTTCTTGGCCTTGATGATCACCTTACGCTCCACGGTCCCAACACCACCGAGACCCAAGTATGAATCGCGCGACTTCCAAGTTCCTTGGACGCCAGAAGCAACCTTTCTGCCTTTGACGTTGGTGAATAGGACTCTTTCGGCGCAGAATCCTTCCATGAATCTCGCGCCGGCCTGGGCAGCGTCCACAAGAAATGACTCTGTTGGACCTTTCTTTCCACCTGAGGCGCATCCCAGCGTGCAATACCCACAGTAGTGCTTGCCGTGACCCGTGTTTTGGGGCACTGTTTTGGCGGCATAGCCCAGTTTCCTTGCGCCTTCAAGAATCACCCTATTCTGGCGGTTATGCTCAACATGCTCCTCGTTGACACCCATGCGATCACAGACACGGTCCAAACTTTTCTGGAAGTCGAGGGAGGTGAAGAAAGGTAAACCGGTATCCGCCCATTGCTGTCGAACATACCCCTGGGTCTGTAGAGATGCCGACCAGTTAACGGTACCACCACCGCCCCACGTTGAGCCCGCTAGAACTGCCATCGAGCCATCATCGGTGGAGATAGCACCCCCGTTCTCAAACATGTTGGTAAATCCCTCACTCGGGCCCATGGGGAAAGTGTCGGATGGATAGGAATAGGACTTTTCCACAACCAGCACTCGATGGCCCGCTTCGGCTAGATTCTTTGCAGCCACGCTACCGCCGCAGCCACTTCCCACGATCACGACGTCGGTTTCAATCGTTTCTGGCTGGTCCCCAGGAATAAATTGCAAAAACTCATATTGGAAACCGTCGACGGGCTGGCCATGAATAGGAATGCGTGGGAATCCTAGAACTGGGCCTATGGTTGGACTGGTGCTAGCCCAACATTTCTTAACGATGGCGGTGAGTCCTCGGTAGATGGCGCGGAGAGGGGGCAATCGAGAGGTGTCCCATCCACGTAAGACCTTTTCCCGGAATTCCACCGGTTGATCCTGGATCGGAGTGATTGAACCCGTCATAATCAGTGAGCCGGCACGGGTGTTGAGCGCTGTCATGATCAACCCAAACCCATTCCTTCCCTCATCATGCACATAGTTGCCCAGAAGTCGCTCCACTGTAGCCCGGAATTGCGGGTTCGACGAGACATTCTCTTGCAGATACTGGGTGGCAATGTTTACGGCGTCAGGTCCAGAAATGATCGTTGACAAGCTCGACACGGCAGAATCCCACTCTGCATTTGAAATCACTCGGTCGTTCGATGACTTCGCTGTTGCCGCAGTGTGGATTGAGGGTACAACTGCGTCAGCTAGCGCATAGAGGGTCTTCCACTGTAACTCCGAGAAGTAAGTGGCCGAAGGCGCTGGCGGAAGAGGAACATCTCTTGGGGTGTATGTGGACACAGCATGGGTTGCCATGTTTGCGAGAACCAGAACAAAGGTCTTGTAGATCAAGCTCCAATGGTAGAGAAATGGTGAGAATAAGAATAAGGAATGAAGTGGAGCAAAGAGAGAGGTCCTGGGGCACAGGCCATGGATTATAATGTTAGCTCGAGGTTCCCACTATGACAATGGTACATATTTCATCATATTCATCTCAATAGATGGGACTATGCGACTGTCATGCGCAGTCAGCCCCTGGCCCTCAAAAAGCACAAACCCAAAATCCGGGGGTTGAAGCCTCGGTTGAGTGGAGAGTTGATGAGCATGGCTTGGGGTCCCTTGTAACGGTGGAGTCATTTGAATGTGTCGGCCAATTAAGATCGTATAAATCTCCATTGCCTGACCATCTCAAGTAACTTCCCAAGTTCCCACTAGAGAAGAAGACCCCTCTTTCTCCGATATTAGGGGGCTCACGGACTCAAATTGTGGGGGGAGGAAATTGCCGAGTTCCAGTGCCATGTGAGAATTTCAGACTGAGGAAATAATATTGGAAAGTCAAAGGTCAAGTTCAAGGCTTCAAAGACTTCAAGAAGACTTCAAGATTGTTCGTATATGTTCAGTGTATATGTTCAGTGTCTATGGTGAGGTAGTTGTAGTTGTTGTATTGTGCCAGGCAAAATGTCATTTCTCCGCCTCCAACCTCCTTTCAAATCACATAATGGTGGACATGCGCATTTCCTCTAGCAAATGTAATCTGCCCACAGAGAAAGTCTTCTCTATTCAAATTGGGTCTGAGATCTTTCGTCTCTCGGGTGCTTCAATTGCCTCTGATGGTCGGTAAACACGCTTGTTCCTTCTAACTTGAACTGACTTACAACAGCTCCATCCTACTTCTCACGCTTCTTCGAAGATCAACTGCGTCAGAATCAAGATGCTGCTAACATCAGGACACTCTATATCGATCGCGATCCCACAACATTCCGCGAGATAGCTAGACATTTGCAGGGTATGAGAGTCCATGGACAACCACAACGTGACGGAGACTGATGGGCGCAGGCTACCATGTCCGGCCCCAGGATGGCGCGCAATTCGTGAAGCTATTCGCAGATGCGCAATTTTATACATGTGAGCATCCTCTGATTCTTACCCTTAGTGATTGCTGACCCAACAGTGCCCCGATTGATGTCCCAGCTGTTTGAGTCCGAATGTTTTATTCAAATCGGCGACCGTCACTTCCAGATCCCTCGCGATATCTTCTCAGCTCCCGGGGACGCTCCAAATTTCTTCACTCTTGGATTCGCCGCCTTCTTTGCTTCTCCGACTGAAGTGTTCCCGGGCTTAGACCGCCAGGGTCTCCTACGACCTCCGGCCATCATACCCCCAAGCGTTCCGAATCGATCTGCAGATGTCTTTGATGAGCTGCTACATCTGCTACGCGGGTATCCGCTACACATTAGAAACGAGGATCATCGGGCTTCGCTCCTGCGCGACTGCCGTTATTTCCACCTGCGCGGATTGGAACAAAAGTTGATCCCGCATCAGATAACGACGAATCCCTTCAGCCATCGTTTGGAAATCGTCATTCGTCTCGAGGATATGCGGCCATCTGGAATTCAGTTTGCCTTTGATACAGCTGCTGGGTCACCTGCAGCGGGTGGAAATGTCACATACATGCGCCCCTTTGTAGACGAGAACGCTGCCGACCTGGTGGTTGAGATCGGCGGCGAGTCTAGTCTGATCCATCGCGGGAACATGCGTGCTGACTTTCTCGGCCTTTCAAAACAAAAAATTGCCAGTCTGTTGCAGACAGTTGGCAAAAAGATGAGCCTGCCTGATTCACATCCATCATTGGGCCAAGTTCCAATCAAGGTCCGTGTCGACCGTGAAACTGATCTCACGGTGGATGGAGAACAAGACCCTCAGCATTTGATGATACTGAGAACCAAAGCTGAAACTAGCGATGATGGTGTGCCTCTAGCTAAACGTCCACGAGTCGATAGTACAAACGATGAGCCCTGGGTTGTTCGCACAGGACAATGGCGATTGCAGGTGCACAAAGGGGCTACCGGGGCATACGAGGTAGTCCTGGTTGCTGTCAAATTGGACGTATATACCAGTTCGCAGGTCCGAAACCGGTCACGGAAATTTCTTTAGTCGCCTGTATGTCTGTTCAAGTCCTAGATTGCATACGCCAGAAGACTTGAATGTATGATATCAAACAGATGCCCTCGGGAATTGTTGCAGGCTGGACAAACTTGCAGTAATATAATTTTATCTAATCAGAGAATCCTCCCCATTCTTCATCGTCTGCATCTTTTTCATCTTCGTCGCTCACATCGCTCTCGCCGTGCCCATCGTGCTCGTCATTTCCACGCTCCTTCGCCGGAGCGGCAATGACAGCAAGACTAGGGTCACGAATGAATCCAGCGACAAAAAATCCTCCCAGACCCTCTGCGTCACCTTGCCAGGACCGGATGCACGCTTCTAGTGCCTCGTCGGAGAGATCTACCGTGCCCGATGGCCCTGTCTCTCCCTCGGCTGGCAGCTCCTCGCGCACACCTCGTTTCTTCCATCGACGCAATCCATCGGGTTGCTCATCGCGCCGCAGGAGGCGCCAGCCGCGCTCCTTGGCGACCTGCGAATTCATAATGCGAGCCACGACGCCCTCATTCTCAATCAGGTGGATAGAACAAGTACTATACGTCACATGGGTAGCATTCGGGAAACGCAGCGCGTGTTCAACGATCCGTGCTTGGATGCTTGATAGTTTAGTCAGTCGCTCCGGGTCGATCGTCCCATCCGGGATATCATTCTCATCTGTGGGCTCTGCCTGCGGAGTTCCCATGGTGGCTTTCGACTGCTCGCCACCTGCTTCGTCGTCGTCCGGGCGCTTCCTCTTCTTTCCATGAGATTTGGGCGCCCTGTATGCCGCCGGTGCAGGGAGTGTAAATTGAGGAACATCGTCACGGCCGATGATTCCGCTACCAGAACAACTAGGATCCAACAGTAACCCAGTGACCTTCTCAAACTGTTCATCTTCCGGGTCAAGGGCGAGGAAATCCTGACCTTGCAGCACAGTGACCGAGTCAGCACCGGCCAAACCAACCATTTTCTGCAGCGTTCTGGACCGCATGGTAGAAGCATCCATAGAAAAGATTCTCTGGTTTCTATTCTTGCTACCCTTTTGTTGTTTGGCCAGAAGCGACGCCAAGTGCGTGGTCTTGTTCCCCGGGGCAGCACAGCCATCAACCAAATCGCCCTCCCATGCATCGTTAGGCCCACGGTCACCCAACAAGAGATATGCTGGGAAGCAGGACGCTTTATCCTGGAGAATGATTTCTCCATTTTTGTAAGCCGGTGAGGCAGTGAAGTCTGCGCCGAAAGGCACCGCCACCAAATCCGGGATGTTAGGATCAATGAACAATCTCGGCTCTGGCTTTCGGCTTTCCAGCTCGTCTTCTGGGGCCAATTCTGCAAGACTATCTACCCGACGGTAAGACTTGAACGTAGTGCTCAGTTGGTCTTCAAGGGTAGTGCGGATGTTATTGATGCGCACCCAGCGCGGGTAAACGAAATGGCTGGTTCCATCAGCCAGTCGTTTCTCACGAATAACAACAGCCTTGAATTGCTCGACGGAGGCGCACCCGCGACGGACCCGGGCCTTAGTGAACTCGGCCTTGAGCCTGGCCTTATGACGCTCCACAGTCTGGCGGAGTGTGTGGGTAACCGGCGCGGCAATGCCTTTTTTCGCGAGTAGATGATCATGAACGAGGAGAAGAGCGAGGAGTGGAGAGAGCTAAATGGAAATCACTTGGTCAGTCAGTAGGTATCTCCAGTGGTTTCTCTGGAGTCATCTCACCTTGCGCTCCAAAGCGAGAATGCCGGATTTGTCAATGACATCTGCCAGCACGGTGTCCCATTTAGCAGCCTCGGTGATCAGCGCATAGAGCTGTGCTGGGGATGCGCGCAGGTTCCGAGCACTGTAAATCCGGGACTTGAACGAGCCGCCCGAGGAGGGCGCGGTCAAAATAGCGACCGCATCAAAATAGAGGGACATTGGGAGAAGGGAATGTTGGTCGGAGAAATTGAAGATTTCCGCGATCGAATTGATTATTTTGACGTTGTTTGTTCCGTTTGCACTGCATTGTATACAGACTGGAAACATGAGACTATACAACGCTCACGGCTTATTATACTGCCTCTCAGATGTGATAGATTAGCTACGATAAGAATTTAGTTTCTTTGTCTTCAATTATATTCAAAATCAACGATGGGTAGCGTTCAATGTTTTGTGGCTGATCTCGACAGGATCTATATATCTGGACCCGCCCCTCTGCTATGACTTTTAACTCATTCCACTCCCCAAATCTTCACCATCATTACCATTGAAGATCCTCGACGATCAATATCTCATTACCAAGCAGAATGGCACCCAAGACAACCCTCATCACTTCAATACAGCCGCCACCAGGACCCAGCGCAAAGCTAATACTCCCATCCGAAGATACCAGCATCAACACCAACCCCACTATCTTCAACGATGCAATGATAATCCGCAAGTCTGTCTTCATCGACGAGCAGCACTGCACCGCCGACTCCGAGATCGACAGCGACGATGCCCGCAGCTGGCACTGGGTACTATATGACAACTCCACCGCGACCTCCACGCCTGTGGGGGTGATCCGCCTGGTACCACCGCCACAGGCGCCTCACGCCCATCTTACGGATCCAACGGTAGCGCAGGGAGCCCTCGAATACGACTGGGCGCACGAACCTTGTATCAAGCTGACGCGGGTGGCGATCATGCCGTCGTTCCGCGGTCTCGGACTTGGGCGACGATTGGTGGAGACGGCGCTGGAGTGGGCGGCTGTGCATGTGGCAGATATAGACGAGGCCGCGGCGCAGATCGCTGCGAGGGGGAAGTCACCTGGGACTCCGATTCCGTGGCGGGGGTTGGTCCTTGTGCATGCTCAGGTGGATGTGGAGGGGATGTATGCTGGGCTTGGATTTGAAACTGATCAGTCGCTGGGTCGGTGGGATGAGGAAGGGATTGAGCATGTGGGTATGTTTCGGCGGGTGGTTCTGCATAAATAAGGATCTACAGGGATATAAAATATGATACGGGTCAAACATAGTCTACGAGTGGAGAAAATCTCAAGGTACAATATCAATGGATTCTACTAGGTCGAGTAAATCGAACTAGATATCAACTGGGGGAATTGCAGAACTGCACATTCCCTCGAACATGGATCAGGGAGTAAAAGAAGAAACATCAAATGAGATGGCCGCGCAATAAAAAAACCGACGGGGTATCCTGATCAACGCGAAGCAAAACAGAAAGCAGAAAGCAACCGGGTCGCTAAGGACCGAATGAGAACCATTTAGACACGATGCAAGGCCGTAACATGGCTGCAGAAAACAAAGAGACAGGGCCCAGGGCCTGCCGAAAACGCCAAAGCCATGGTCGCCAATAAAAGAGAAAAATAAGTCACACGTGGGCATGCCTCGATCAAGGGAAAAGATTATGAAAAAAAAAAAGTAAGAGTGAAACGAGCTGCAGCAGTCCTGCTGGCCACAGTAAAGGGAAGCAGGGCAATGCGTTTAGAAAGTGCTCCAGTTCCAGTCACGAGGAACGGAGGCAGCGACCTCGCCGGTCTGGCCCACGGTGGACTCGGAAGCCTGGTCGGCATTCATACCCTCGGAATCGGGAACGGAGACGCCAATCTGCTGAGCATCGATGGTATTCTGGATCTTGTTCAGACGGTTGGAACGGCTCTCTTCCCAGCGCTGGTGGGCGCTCCAGCATAGATCGCAGGCACGGGAGGGGACACCATCGGGGTGGAAGCGAGCGTCCTGGTCAAGAGGAACGAGGTGAGGGGTGTGGGAGGCGCAGAAGACGTGGCCACAGTGACGGCAGTGGTGGCGACGCAGAAAGATGCCGAAGGAGGAACGGCAAGTGGGAGAATCGCAGTTGGAAGAGGCCGAGTCAGCCTGAGAGGGAATTTAGTTAGCAAAGGTTGTTATGTATAAGACAATGATCAATGCGATCAAAGGATATGTGGCTGGGATGTGATAGGGCTGTGGACTGTAGCACGCCATTTTCGAGAAATGACGAGCTCACACGACATTTGTTTGAACAAATGCACCATCCAAGTCGAATCTAATCCCTATAAAGGTACTGAAGGAAGGCAAAAAGGGCTGTGGTTGTTTTTTTTGTTTTTGTTTTCATGAGATACTCACTTTCCAGTGTGTACGGGTCGGAAGACCGGTCACAACACCCAGTTGTTCATTCTTCATCCACTCATGCTGTGCGCTCTGACTGATTTCACTCGACTGACTCTCCATGGTGGAGCGACGGCTGATAGGTTCGGAGTCATCGTTCAGGCTGTCCAGTGAGCCATGCACGCTGCGGGGTGGGGTAATGGGAGACGATTTCTGGGGTCGCTCGGTGGGTCGGAGAGCTGCAGGGACATAGAGAGGACCCTTGAGAGGACGTAGCTGGCGCGACTGCAGGGGCAGTTGGTGCAGGGACGCGGTTGCCATGCGAGGAGAGGTGGGGGAGTTATTGGAGGGAGTATTGGTGGCGGAGTTGGTTGGAGAGGGTTGACCATAAACCGAAATTTGGTTGGTAGTGGTCAAAACGTGAGTGGCCATGATGAAAGTGAATAGGGGAAATTGGAAAAAAAAAAGAAGTTGAAGAGTAGAGAGTTTTAAAGGGAAGTTCAATAAGAGTAATCAAATACCGGAGGGGCAAAAAGGAGTTCAAATAATAACTACACAGGGCCGGGGAAAGAGGCAAAGAAAAAAAGGTGGATTGTGAGTGGCCGAGGCTTAGTGGGGACTTTGTGTATGGAGACTTTGTACGGACATGAAGTGGATTTGAGTGGAGAGAAGGAGAGAAGGAGAGAAGGAGAGAAGAGAAGGAAAGAGAAGAACAGAAGAACATAAGAACAGAATATAAGAGACTATAAGATGAAAAGGAGGTGAAGGATGAAGCATACTACTCTGTGTGATAGTGTTACGTTGGTAAGTTGTATTATTCCTTCTACTTTTGGGTACTTGAAAGTGGCGGGTACATTTCCGCAGGGGCCAAGTAGCGTCAAGTACCTGTCTTTTCCGCGTATACGGAGTACATTAACATCTCGTACTTTGTTCATTTATATGAAATCATAATCTGGACTATAAACACTTTCTTTTGACCGCCATTTAGGATTCCGACTTTGAAGTGATTTCCTGGATCTCCACTTGGCACGGAGTACCTAGGTATAGTACTTATACAGTTTATGTTTGAGATATAACTCTTACTCGGTATAGACATCGATAGACATAGACTACCTATATATATACTATACTACCTAGGTATGTATTGTATATCATCGAAAATCCAAAAAAATATAACAAATAAAAAGAGAAATCCTTAGAGTTCATTAGTGCCAAGCTAATGACCAATCAGGCTGTTCGTGGCGTACTTTCTTATCATCGAGTCATGATTGGTTAGTTGAGATTGAGATTATCCTATTGGTCCGGGCCTTCTCTAGGTCCGGAGCCCCGCGGAAGTCTGAGACCGAGGGATCCAATCAACTCGTGGGGAATAGAAATAAAATAATAATAAAATATGAAATTGATATTAAATTCGAATATTCTCAAAAAAGTAATCATCCAGAAGGACTCTTGCCGAGGTGTTATTTTATACGGAGTACGGAATACTACGGAGTACTACGGAGTATGTAGTATGTTATGAGGTAAGAGACTGTTTCAGCCCTGGAGTATGTACAATTATTGTACTATGCGCATACTATTACTTAAATAGGTACCTATTGTAGGGAAGACTAATATAACCATACCTGCAAATGCGGGAGGTTACAGATCTGGGGAAACGGACCAAATTGGCCGCTTGCAGGTGTACAACCCAATGTCGTCATGACTTAACCATTCTCCCAACTCCCTTACACCTACGCCATGAAGTTGGCCGTATTTAGCGCCAAATCCTACGACCGTACCTATCTGGATCAGGTGCGGGATCAGCACTTTCCGCAACTATGCACCATCGAATTCCATGCCTTCGCCCTGTCTGAGGAGACCGTACCCCTAGCCCAGGGGTGCGACGCAGTCTGTGTCTTTGTCAACGACACCCTAGACGAGCCCGTACTGAGAGCTCTCCACGCCTATGGGATCCGCGCCATCCTGCTCCGCTGCGCGGGATTCAATCATGTCCATCTCGCAACTGCCGAAGAGCTAGGCCTCTTCGTGGCGAATGTCCCGGCATACTCCCCGGAAGCCGTAGCCGAGTTCGCCGTGGCCCTGATCCAAACCTTGAACCGCAAGACCCACCGTGCATATAATCGTGTGCGCGAGGGCAACTTCAACATCGAAGGTCTGCTCGGGAATACCCTACACGGCAAGACCGTGGGGATCGTCGGCGTGGGGCGCATCGGGCTTGCAGCCGCGCGCATCTTCCAAGGCTTCGGGTGCCGATTACTCGCGCACGACCCCTTTGCCGGTGAAGAGTTCCACCAGTACGGGACGCTAGTGGACCTCGACACCCTGCTGAAGGAGAGCCATATCGTGACTCTGCATTGCCCCCTCACGGAGAGCACGAAGCATCTCATCAATGAAGAGACATTGGCGCGTATGCGACCAGGTTCCTTGTTGGTCAATACCTCACGCGGTGCACTCATCGATACGACGGCGGCCATTCAGGCGCTGAAAACCAAACAACTGGGCGGGTTGGCATTGGATGTCTATGAAGCTGAAGGCGAGCTTTTCTACAACGATCACTCTGGGGAGATCATCGAGGACGACGTGTTGATGCGTCTGATGACCTTCCACAATGTCCTGATCTGTGGTCACCAGGGGTTCTTCACGCGCGAGGCCCTCGAGGAGATCGCCGAGGTCACACTCGGCAATCTGTCTGATTTTGTCTCCCGCCTCTCTTGCAAGAACTCCTTGGTCACCGAGGGAAATGTATTGGCTTGCCTTGATACAGAGCCGGTGAGACTATAAAGCCTAAGTATATCTGGATATGAAGCATTGATATTTTGACCAATCTACCAAAATCGAACACTTTCTACCAAGATATTATTCATTATTAAGTGTGTAGGTAGATGTTCAAGCATAGACCAGTAGCAAGATACATTTCAACCGCGCAATGGACGAGTGCCCTGGAATTGACCCTGAACAGCTAGCCCGGCCCGGGGAAGGAACCGATTTCCATGAACGATCAGTGGGACCACAGAGATCAACCACATGAAACAAACAACCCCCACAGCAAGCAGAAGACGGAGTTGCTCCAAGACCCATCCAATCGCCCAAGGTCGGATAACTTGCCGAGAACCCTGCGATTCCTGGTCGGTATATGATAATGCCTCAGCCATTTGCCACGCTGCCTGGCAGTTGATCTTCTCCCAGGTGGTATCATCCGCGTACTGACGTGCTGCCACCGCCAGTTTTGCTCGCCGTATGGGGTCGAGGCAAATCACCTTTACCGAATGGACAAAACACTCCATATTACGCGGCGGGACCAGATAACCAGTCTGTCCATGACGGATAATATCAGAGGGCCCGCCCTGATCCCGCGCGATGACGGGTACACCACTAGCCATAGCCTCGAGGACCACCAGCCCAAAAGTTTCCGTGATAGAACAATGCAGGAATAAATCAGCAGACGCATACGCACGAGACAATGCAGACCCAGTGAGAGCTCCAGTGAAGACAACGTGGTCTTGAACCCCGTCAAACAGGCGCTGGACTTGATTCTCAATAGCCAGATTGCGATTCCCGCCGATCACCAGCAGCTTGAAGGGCAGTTTGTCTGCGGCTAGTTGGTTCACGACCTGCGCGAGGAACTCAAATCCTTTCTCTGGGGCGATGCGGCAAACGCATATCAAGATGATTTCGCCATGAGGTGCGATATGACGGCGATATGACTCGTCGCGCTGTGTCGGCGAGAAGAGAAGCGTGTCGACACCGCGACCCAGCTGGACGAGTCGATCGACCGGTACACGCGCACGTTCTAAATATTCGCGGATCGCAGAACACGGATAAAAGATGGTGTGTATGGCGCGGGCGCGGAACAGAAACCCCTGAACTGACGCCAGGAGCCATACACCGAATTTGTCCAACGGAGTAGGCAACATGATTTTTGCATAGGCAGATAGGTCTGTCTGGAAGTTAAGCAAGACCGGCGGAGGAGACCGTAGTTGGCGGATTTGCAGCAGCATTTGGAAACCAAGGGAGGCTGGGCTGGCGAGGTAGATGATGTCTGGCTGGAAGCACTGACTGAAGAGATCATCCAGATGGAACGGATAGACGACCGTGAGATCTGGGTTATAGGGTAGCGCACATCCGGGCAGACGGCGCTCCCAGGTCTGCTTGGACGATTGACCTTTAAAGTTGGGCGCGACGAGAATCAGTTCCATGCCGTTGTCGAGTAGATACTCGACCAGACTGCGCGTTGTGCGACTAACTCCGTTCACAGGGCCCCATGATTCTGTAGTGATGAGGATCTTCTTGCCGCGCAGGGTACTGGGGAAGTCGAGATAGAAATCCTTGCCCTTCACGCCCTCCGATGAGAGGAGAGGCGTGGATTCGGCCATTGTGAGATATGAATCTAATATTTGAGTAGTCAGGGAATACAAACGTATTTTGAAGCTGAAGGTATTCTCTTTACAAGGGGTCTGATCTATATCTATGCACGTGCCCTAACCGCCCGCTGAGGATGGTTGGTGGCCAGTCGCAGTTCACGATGCACCGCGTGCACTAGATTGATCTTCTGGTACGAATTTGAATTTGGATGCGAGGGAAAAATGATTATGGGTCATGAGGTATTGAAAAGAGCTTCATATGGGATCTCTTCTCTCCAGACTTTGAATACTTTACCTGGAAGAGGCAAGCTTTATTTTCAAGTCCTAATAATTCTCTCTTCACAGGTTAAATTCCTTCGAGGCCTACGGTTCAAGTTTCATGTCTACTCTTCTTATTGGATTGAAATTTGATCTTGCGCTTCTCCAAAAGGAGCGTGCGCCCTACAGTCACTACGGGATATTAATACGTTGAAGTCGATGGAAAATAGCCTTGGGCTGTGATATGGAATACACGCAGTTCTACCACATCATGCTCCTTTATCTGTGAATATATAGTTTATATACCGTCGACGAGACCTCGGTAGTACCGTAGGGGAGACACATGTGCGTAAGCCGGAAAATATATAGGAGTGTATAGGGTACAACATAGTAAAGAAATGTCGGTCTAGTCCTAATTTGGTAATTTAGGTGATCATAGGAGATATCCAATGTACTTTATAGTAACATTGTCTTCCGGTATTATAGACATAACATATAAACCGATATAAACCGATAAAACCAATACGAAACTCAAAGTTAGCATATCTCGGCCCTTTTCCCTTTCTGGAGAAACTTGGAAGCCTCGGTCCAAGATTGACATCATCGGGTATTTATAAGTTTCCCAGGACTTGGATTTTGTTATTTCATATATTATATTACAACCTATAACACATAACACATTATGGACAACAATCAAGGTTGCAAGATTACTCTCTATTGGTAGACCCCCCCTCCCCTCCTCAGTCTCTTCAGTTTCATACTGACCATTCTAGGCTCGAGCAATCTCGGAGTCACCGAATCCTTTGGCTTCTGGAAGAACTGCAGTTGAAATATGAGCTCAAGACCTTCAAGCGTCGCGCCGACAAGCTCGCCCCTGCTGAGCTGAAGGAGGTCCACCCGCTGGGCAAATCGCCTCTGATCACCATCCAGGCACCCGGCGCCGCCAAACCGCTAGTATTGGCTGAGTCCGGTGCGATCGTGGAATACCTTTGTGACCACTTTAGTAGCGCGCGACCGACGCTAGTACCACAACGGTACACCCCCGGCAGCGAGGGCAAAGTGGGTGGAGAGACTGAGGAGTGGATGCGCTATCGCTACTTCATGCACTATGTGGAGGGTAGTCTCATGCCTTTCTTGGTGATGACTCTGGTCAACGACTGTAAGTCATCTGTTTTAGAGAAAAACCCAAGCACCGTTGACATTCTCGACAGCCATTCGGAATTCCCCTCCATTCTTTGTTCGGCCCATCACCAACATGGTTGCCTCCCAAGTGGAGAATCAATTCCTGACCCGCAACGTGGAGGGTAACCTTGCCTTCATCGAGGAACAGCTCCGCACAGCTCCCGAGGGTGGCGAGTTCATTTGTGGCAAGGAGCTGACAGCTGCCGATATCATGTTGAGTTTCCCAGTTATTGCTGTTACCATGCGATCACTGAAGGAGGAGAAAAACAAGGACAAATACCCTCTTCTTGTCGCGTATGCCAACCGCCTTGAGAGAAATGAGGGATACCAGCGTGCTACGAAGAAGGTCGAGGAGATTGAGGGAAAGTTCTCAGCCTCCATGTAATTCAGAGGTCAGGAGAAGGGCGCGATGGATTTTTGTAAACTATTAATGACCTCAGCTCTTATTTATACCCCGTTGCCTCAATGCTGAGATATGGAGGATATGTGGTTGGCGGATGATCTCGGGAATGCTTGCACACCTCTACAACCACAGACGTCGATATTGAGTGTATTTTGCAAGGATAAGAATGAATGACCTGCGATAGGAATACAATGATATGCATATTTTCATCTGTGCGAGTATAGGTAGTTGAATTTGGTATAAAATGGCGAGAGCTCCAGGAATGGCTGATTACGTCATTCAGCTGATTCATCATCATGTGACCTTCAACTTCAATCCCGAACGCTTGCAAGCGTTGTCGATTCTGTGTCTACGCTTCAACGCTTCCCGCAACAATGGCTGGTCCTAGCAAGTGTGAGTTGTGAGAGTCCCATGAGTGCAGTGACCTGAATTGCTAACCTATTGTCCAGCCCTGATCCTTGATCCGGCCCTCCAGAAATACTATGGTACATCCCCCCCAACCCCATCTCCCAAGATCTAAGATTCCGGATGAACTGCACATATTGCGCTGGGACAAGTATACACACAAGCTATTTGGAGCAGCTCTATTAAACTCAGCACCCCGCGACACGATATATCTACGATTGAACATTGACTGACGGACCCACAGAACTCAATGCCAACCGTTACAAGTACTGGCGCTGGACCCCGCGCCATGCCATGATTTCGTTCGTCTACATGGGTCTGATTCCCGGAATCCTGGGCTACGTTGCCTACAAGTACGAGGTATGGAATGACCCATTGTGGTTGGATTGCAATTGTCCAATCCCGCGGAGAAACACGCGCTAACAATATGCAGGGCAAGTTCGAGTTCCGTGGCAAGCGCCGGGGCGATCCGATCGCCGAGTGGTAGACGTTTAGCGATGGATTCTATAATTCAATTCCCGTTTTGTTATCAAACCCGTACCGAGCAGCGACTGTGACACGACGCTACATGGAGAACTACACACGGAGAGGTTGGAGATACTCGTGTGCTAAGGGGGTTTTGCCCGATGACTCTTTCCTTTTTGTGCCGGTGCCCGTTGCGTGGGCCGTGTACTTTATTACAAGCATATACCGCATGGATTTCCTTATTTTGTTGACTTTGCTCATCATGAAACTTGGCGTTTACTTCCAAGGCTAAACGTACAGCCCCGGAGTACCTAACCCAAAAGAGGGTATCGTCTATTCCAGTGGCTTATTGGTATAGGGGACTTATCATAGGTGTTTATTCGCCAGGTCGCCAGCTTAGGGTAATATCTGGTAAGCATTTACTAATAATTACTACCTACTACTCGACATTTGTAACTTGATATGCTCCCGTCTAGCAGAATATACGGATATCGGATAGAGCTACCAAAGGATAGGTATATATCAACATAACTATAGTACCAAGGCCGGTCACAACTAGCCATCCCCACGGAGATCGAAGAGGCTAAAGTCTTCAAAAATCCAACAAAGCAGGTTTCCTAGAGCATATACAGCTGAAATGCTGTATAATCGCATCTTCAGCTGTGGTAGAGCGCATCACTGGGATGCTGAGGTGGCATACTATGCCTCGTATTCTCTTGACAATACTGATTCCATTGGTCCTAAACTAGATAATCATACAATGACTCAACGTGGGTATTCATCGCCCTTTTGACATACTTGCTTTCGAACTGGACTTCTCTTCGTGCTCTTCAATATGGCGCCCATCCACGACGGCCTCCGCGTCCACCTTCAGGCAATCGCTCACCACGATGCCAATCACCTCGGGGCATATGGGGAGGTCCACCACCACCACCTCCTCCTCCACGAGGACCACCACGACCAGCCCCACGATTATAGCCATTATCCCGGAACGCGCGCATGCCACCTCCACCTCCACCTCTGGGTCCTAGGATCGGGCCTGACGCGCCATTGAGAGGAGGCGCAACAGATCCATCCTCAAGCGGTGCAAGAATTGCACATTCAATGTAGTCTCCAACGATGAACCGGGCATCCTGCAGAGGCCTGTCCGCCTCGGAACCCTGGAAACGGAGCGGGCCAGGGCGAGGTCGTTCCTCCTGCTTATCTTCGTCGTCATCCGCGCGCAATGGACTATCTCTCGGGCCAACAATAGCACTGCCTAAGTCCCTGCTCAAGTATCGGCCACGCGCATCGGGGCCGCCCATTGCCGCGCCGCGCGCGTCGGGGTAAATCAATCGGAAGCAGAGACGGGTGCCAACGGGCGGATCAGGGAGTAATGATGGAAGAGCAGAAGTGAGAAGCTGTGAGAGCTCGCGAAGTGTGCATGATTGCCATGTGTAGATCTCCAGATGTGGTGGGAGTGGTGTTGCAGATGCGACGGGCGATGTTGGACGAATGGCATTTGGTCCGCTGACCGGTCCTCCGCGGCGAGGTGGTACGGGGATGCTGTAATCGGAAAGAGGGTTGTAGTTGTTGACTCGGTAGAAGAGCTTCAAATGAAAAGGTGCAGTGGTTTGGCGGTTGATCGAGGGTTTTGGGCCCTCTCGCGACGGAGCGGCCATGATGGATGGTAGGGTGAAAACAGAGGTTGTAGTTCCGAGGACGGGGGAAAAAATGGAAGAGAATAGAAGATGCGATGACTTGAATGTAAATAAAAGCTCGGATAAAGGCCCTTGAAGGTAAATGCTCTGGGTATTTTGGGTTGAGGGGAGTTGACTGGAAGAGAACCCCAAATGCGGCGTCGAAAAGCTGCGGGTTCTTTTGACGTGCAAGAACATTCTTTTCCTTCTGCGACCACAACCCAATTCTCATCCTTTGACGCAACTATACCTTATTTATTGTTTCTTTTAACTTGAACTACAGTTGAATTATTCAAGCAGCGAGCTGCATCACCCCGCCACCATGGATTTCGCCGCGTTGATGTCCAAGGAGATCTCTAAGGCCAAGGGTAGCGATGCTTCCAAGCCATCCAAAGATACCGGAAAACCCTCCCCCGCAGCGCCAACCAAAAAATATCTGCGACGAGGCGATGTCGAAGCTGCCCGCATTGAAGCTTACAACGAAGAGCAAGAGCGGATTGCACGCGAACGTGAAGAGCGCATGGCGAATAAGCGCAAGCTCGAAGACGAAGAAGCGGATCGAAACCGAGAACGTGAGGAGAAGAAGCGAAGACTAGCCGAGGTGTCCAAGACGAGGAGAGAAGAAGAAGAAAGAGCCAAAGAAAGTGAACGGCGGCGAAGGCTCGGTCTGCCTGAGTTGCCTGAGAACCCCCAGCCGACGGTGACACGGAGGAAGATATTGAAGAGGAGGAGCTTATTGCAAAACTACGAGAGATGAATGCTCCAATACAATTGTTCGGAGAGGATTATCGAGCCCGTCTTCGACGATACCGTCGTCTGGTTCAACGGGCCGCTATTCCTAAGAAGAAGGTGACCGATGGACCTATCCCCACCACCTTGGAGCCCGTCCCCGGTGGACAGATGATCATCCCGGCCAAGATCCCGAAAGATCAAGAGAGCCGTCTGTTCCTTTTCCGGCAGTTGGGATCTTACTTCAACATGGTTTTGTCGGAATGGGAACTGGCACTAGCAAAGCGTGACGTCTCGGTGCGTGAAAGTTTCCAGGGAAAACAAGCATATAATGCGATGATCCAATCACGCGAAAACATGACGCCGTTGTTCCGCCTCTTCGAGAAGGCCGAGTTGGAGGACGGGCTGTTGGAACCGATCGTTGAGATTGTGCACAAGGCGCAGCAGCGGCGATACGTCGATGCAAACGATGCATACCTACGAGTAAGCATTGGTAAAGCGTATGTTGATCCTACCCCTTTGGTAAATTTGGAAATAACGCTAACATGTCTATAGAGCATGGCCCATTGGTGTGACCATGGTTGGTATTCACGAGCGATCTGCACGAGAAAAGCTGCATCAAAGTGACCAGCAGGCACACATTCTGAGTGACGAGATTACTCGCAAGTATCTACAGAGTATCAAGCGCTGCTTGAGCTTTGCGCAAGTCCGCTGGCCTCCGGAGGATCAATTGCAGATGATGGGTTAGCCGTGTTGAGAAGAGTGTTCGAATATACCCATAGCGTTTCGAGAAGAAAGACAAGTGCATTCACAGCCCGTAATATTCATTCCGCCATCAGTTTGAACTGGTCTCTTTCAACAACCCGGAGACCGTGACAACGCGATACCCTCTGCGATTCAACTCCGGCAACACCTTCTGTAACATAGGCACTGTCCACTCTCTCCGATCGTGACAGACAATAATACTTCCTGGCTTGACTATACTCAAAATATGACTCGCGTTCAATTTCCAAAATGGCACCTGTGGGTCATGCGGATACACATCGCCAAGCACGAGCCGATATCCCAGCTCCTTTACGAGATTTCTCATCCGGGTGCTGAAAAATCCCGAGCCAGGGCGAAAAAGCCAATTCTCAGGCTGGGATGTATTTCCAGCTGCGACATATGCCTCCTGGATTTTGACATGGACTGCTCGCATCTGCTCTGCCAAGACGTCGTTGCTGAGTGCACGCGATGGCTCATCATACATGGCATGGTTGGCGAGTTCGTTGCCAGCTCGTACGAGTTCAGCCAAGACAGATTCGTGTCCTGGGATTTGGGATCCTATCACGAAGAAAGTCGCAGCTGCATTGTGCGATTGCAATAGACGAAGAATTGCAGGTGTGTGTATAGAGGGGGCGTCGTCAATCGACAATGCGACCACTTTTTTGTTTGTGTCCACGCGGAAGAGCACGTCGGGCCAGCGACGTTGACAGTAACGAATGAGCAGAGATGGGGGTTTGTATATGCAATAAAATGGTATGAGGAGAAAGAAGGTGGCGAGGATAGCTTGAAGCATGTTTGGTTTCTATGAAGGATTTCAAGGTGTTTTGTTGAAGTTCGCGGGAGATATCTAGCTTGGGCTACACCCATCTCTATACCAACTGGACAATTTTCCTACTTTTGAGAATCAAATGCGACTATGCTCATTTCATTGTGATTGTTAATTCCTCTTCGTTTTCGATGTTTATTTCCGGCGTCTAGAAGCTCTAGGAGCTCCATATCAGCCATCAATCACACATAGGCAACCAGTCGGAATCCTCGAGATGCCATCATTCATAGGGTGCCATCAGAGTATTTCCTAGCACCTTGCTACGAAATTCTTCCTCTCCAAGTGTCGTTGTGTGTGCCCAAGGTTTGAGTCGATTCTCTTCATGGATGGTACCAGCGAAGCACGAACTCCATTCCAGACGAGGGAAATGGTTGGAAACATCTTGAATAGTTGAGGGATGAATGAGATTGGCATAGGAGCCAGTGTTGTCTGTTTCCAACGAGTTAGAGCTATCCTTTGCCCAGACAAGTGGATAGGAGTGTATTTGGTCGTGGTTCAAGGGGCCTTGTACCATGACGCAAGGACAATCGATTCTGGCAGAGGAACGAACATACCGAATATTGTTGCCAGCTGAAGCAGTTGACCAAGAGCTGTGATTTTACCTTTTTCGCACAAGTCTTGATGCCGGATGATTGCTTCTGCCACGCTCTCTGCTTGATCTTTCGGGGCGACTGCGACCGAGCCTCCTACAAAGGAAGGTTTTAGGTTCTGCAGAACTTCCAGCGCTTTCAACCCTCCGAAGAACTCGAAGCTCATTCTGGTGGCTTCTAGGTTGCTTTGGGTTGTTCCGATATCGTGAAGGAGGCAGGCAAGGAAGTAGGTTTCATCGGTAAAGGCCCATTCGGGGAACCTGTATCGCTTGATCGCCAGCCCAAAGTGATACACGCGAAGGGAGTGATTGTATGTTGGCTCAGGAAGATGGGACTTTGCATATTCGTCGATCCGTTGGGCGAGGGGCGTTGCTGGAGTTGGGACTTCGGAGACTGCAATGGCTGGGGCAGGTATTGCTGGCGGATCTGTCGCAAGAAGAGCAGTAGCTGAAGATACAACGGCTGTGAAACCATAGGCCGAGATTGGGTTGGATGGACACATGTTTTGGGGTTGGAGAAAGAGAAAGAGAGAGTCGAGTTAAGAAGGTACATATGTAGGTAGCGGTCAAAGTCTGGGGTTACTCTGCGACTTTTATACTCTCTCACTACTTTCCCTTCAAGATTAAGCAAAGAATGAATATATAATACCTATAATAATAAATATCAAATTGGTAAGCACATCGTCTCTATAGAGATGTAACCATGACTCACCACCGAATTGCTGACCAGAAGGGGAAGCCATTTCGGACAGTCTTTTGGCCATTGGAATTGAACCCCAAATATTCAAATATTCAACTATTTTTAGATGTAAGATGTATGCTTTTAATTCAAGGTATCTCTGTACATATGTCCATCGTTACGGGGATACTTCCAGCCTGATATTCGTCTATACATCAAGTATATTTACAATGGTTCGAATTGACGCTATAGATCAATTTGATTATCCAAATAGAATTCTTAATGCTAATATCTAATTCTATTCCTTTATATCCAAACATAAAATATCAACACCGTATAAACCCAAAGGCTAAAGCTCAAATAATCTCCCCAGCAGCCCGCCGAATCGCCGCAGTGACTTCATCAGGCTTACTGAGGAATGGGCTATGCGATGCGTCCACCGACTCTGTCCTCATTCCAATTCCATTTGCTGTTCCTTCGACCATTCCCTTTTGAACCACCAGGGGAATAGCAGCATCTTCAGTACAGTACATGTAGGTACTTGGTACATCCTTCCACGCAGCATAGGTGCAAGGGCTGTGGAGGGTCTGATAACTGTGAGGCTTCAGGGCTGCAATGCAAGTCTCAATTTGGACGGCATCACAGTCGTGGTAGAAGGTTTTCTCCGGATTGGCAGGATTGACTTCCAGCTTATCGTCGCTGACGATAAACCATGGCAGGTCATTTCCACCGAAAGCGCCAATTAGCGAATCTCCTTCCTTGATGACGAAGGAGGTGCAGAAGAATAGATGAGTAACGCCCCCAGTCAGACCATTCTGCTGGCGTGTCTTGATGTCTAGACCTTTGATGGCGTCGTTTGCAGGCAAGCCACCGTAAGAGTGAACAACCACGACGACTTCTTGCCCGGCATCCGCTGCTCGTTCGATTTGAGTGCGAATTTGTGCAACATCTGCATCAAAGCTCAAGTGATGCTCTGCAGGACCAACTGAGGGCAAGTAGACTTTGTCGGTTTTGTAGTTTGCGGCTTCGAGGCGTTGTACCACTGGATCATAGCAGTCGGGGCTATGCCATGCACCTGGAACGAAGAGAATAGTAGTGGATTCAGTCATATTCAAGGAAGAGAACGGAAGAAGTGTTGTGTTTAGAAATGAGATATAGAGATACGTGGAAAAGAGGAGAGATGTGATATTTATGGGAAATCCTCGGGGTCAACAACTCCTACCCGATATCGGGAATGTTTATGTCGGAAGACATTCGGAGTAGAGATCTACACAGGGGAAATGAACTGAATTCCCCAAACAGGATGTGAAGGCATTTCAGTCGGCAACTGAAGGGGAACACCGTTATGACCAACCGGTTCCCGTTAGTATGTATGGGGCGATTTATATTAAGCGAAGCAGCCAAGAGACAGTGGAGAAAGGGGGAAAACGTTGAAGAAACTAACTTTTTCGGTATAGAATATAGGAAATCATGGAACATGTAGATCCTATTGAATTTCAGTAAATATAGTATATATATATATATATATTGGGGGGGGATATGAGGGTTATGCAGTATGCACCTGGGCAGTACCTAGGTAGGGCTGACGAACTGCTGACTACATTGGGCAAAGGCATAGTTCTCTCGTATTTTGAACTTACATTTTTAAGGCTTAACAGGCTGCAACTATTGGAGGAAAAAATAATAAGATAAGCTCTTATAAATCTTGGACTTTCTAAAAAAAAAAACGAGTTGCTTACCCAAAATCGATTTTTTCCCTTTTCAACCTTTCAACGTATAACTTTCTTCTTTGGGATACGCCAAGATTTTGACAGATGGTTTATTGTGGAAAGCCAAGCCCTGCTTGTGGGCGTTGTCGTACCCGTCGCTTGAAAGTATGAAATAATTCCAGAAAAAAGAGAGAGAACTTCACTAAAATTTCCCTAGTGCGATCAAGGATCACCATCATGTACCCAATGCATGCGGGCGCAAGTGGATTGCCCCGGATATCGAGATCCATTAGATTGGAGTTTTCGAGATCAAAGTGAGGATATAATCCGCAAGTCTCAACAGCCTACACGAAAAAAGCGCACAACCACTAGCATCTCCACTAGCGTTCAAAATAGGACTCCACTCAGAAACAGTCTGGTTTACCCAGTTCAAGAATTAGGCAAGGCTCATGTCTTCGTGAACTACATGTCCGGGGGTCCCTGCGGGGGCCACATGTCCTATTTGCTGCCTTTGATGAAAGACACTCGGAATTCGCCGGTTTTGACCACCGCGCTGACCGCAGTGGGATTAGCGGCCTTGTCGAACATTCGTCTTTCTCCCCGAATGATGTTCCAAGCTAGGAAAGAATATACGACCGCACTATCACAGACCAATGATGCCCTCAGAGACCCAGTTCTATCCAAGAGAGATGATACACTAGCAGCTGTGGTACTACTGGGCATGTTTGAGGTAAGTGTTGAGTTGCCGATTTTATTTGTATCTCGCCTAATGTGGGTTCTCTCAAGGTAATGACATGCAGCGATGATTCCTTTATAGACCGATGGATCAAGCACATGGACGGAGCCAAAAATCTAATTGAGCATCGAGGTTCAGAACAATTGACTCGACAGGAGGGTTTGGGTTTGTTCACGAACCTGCGGGCACAAATTGTATGTTTCTCACCCATTGGACTGGCTGATTGGCATTATTCTCATATCACCACCTAGAGCATTAGCCAAATATACCAAGAGAAATACAGCTCTCCAACTATGACCCAGCTCACACAAGATGCAAAGCAATACCGAGACCCAGATGACCGAATGGTCGATGAGGTCAGCCGGGTGGTCATCCAATTGACCAACTTCTGCGCAGCCCTTAAAGATGGCAGTATCACGCAGCCCAGCGAGATCATCCGTCGTACCCTGAACCTTGACGCAGACCTCATGTCGATACTCCTTACTGCGCCTCCCTCGTGGGGGTATAAAACAGTCAAAGTACCGCTGGTGGACGGGGAGCCCGTCATCCGCACCGTTTGGGGCGATAGTTACCATGTCTATCGCAATCTTTCGGTAAGCAGTGTTTGGAACAATGCTCGCGCCGCCCGACTTTTGATGCATGAAATGCTTCTCGACGCTGTGAAATTACTTGAAAATTCACCAGGGAGCAGCAGCCTCCATCAACAGCAAATTATTGCGAGTCAAAGCCGACAGATTGCGCACCAACTCGTGGATGATATCTGTGCCAGTGTGCCTTTTCATTTGGGCATGGGCATGGAGGACACCTATGATTGGCCATCTTCCAACCAAAGCGCTGCTGGTGAATCCTATCCTGTCGCGTCAGAACAGGGAAATTCACATGGCTCATTTTCAACCACACCTTTACCGTGGCCCTCAATGCCCGCATTTACATCTGCCGAGAGGAGCTCATCTTTGGAAACAGACGCAGCATACCTTGGGGCGTTCCTACCCAACACGAACACGATGAATTCAGAGACTCACTATCCCTCGCCTTTGTCTCCTAGTTTCGAGGTATCAGGGGCTGGGGGCGTCACACTGGTGTGGCCCCTGTTAATTGCTGCAAACTCTGGATTTGCATCTCCTCAGCTACGCAAATGGATAATTGGTTGTCTTGAGAAGATTGGACATTCCATGGGAATCAATCAAGCGTTAGCTACGGCGCAATTATTGCGGGATGGGATGGATTCTCGGGCCTGGATGTCACCAGACGGCACTCCCATCCATGACACCACTTAGTGAGATGTTACTTGGAATATTGAGGGTATTGCTTATTTTCTTTCGGTTTTGATATTGGATTTTTTTCTAGCCTTGAATTTATATTGTGGTAATCAACTTTATGAATATGTAAAGAGAGATGAAGACCTCCTAGCTTTCGCGGATTTACGTACAAGAGTAGAAGCCAGGGACGCGAGAGCATTGCAGTAGCATGCATCTTGCTCATGACTACAAGGCTGGTAGTATAAGCCCACAACACTGTAATAAAACACCGCTCATGAATGATAATCCGAGTCCCGTGTCCATGTTCTCTACACAAAAGCTCAAACTGGTATGAATCTGCCTCGGGCTTCTTGCCTATGGTATCCATGTATTAAAGTGAATAGTGGGATGAGAAATGAGATTGGATAGTTTTCTATTTTTGAAACCTCAAGAGTAATCTCGCCCAAGGAAATAATTTCAATGTTATGCTTTTGTACGGAAGATAAAAGAAATATAGACCAAACGCAACGATGATAATTGACAGCAATAACAAAAGAGATCTATAGCCTAACGCCTCGAACTGACACATTTTCCCTTTCTAACTCAATCAAAAGTTTTAAACATAACAACCCAATCTGACAATCTACCTTCCACAACTAACGCCGCACATGCTGTTGGTTATAGGCCTCTTGAGCCGCAGCCTGAGCATATGGAACTTCATCATATGGAGGGCGATCAGCATGTCTATGCCGACGGCCATTTTCAACATCCGCGGTTGTCCGGAAAGTCTCCTGTTGACGGGAATCGGTCATGCCAGCAACCGAGACCGACTTGGGGGTGATCAGGCCCACGATTGTGTACATCAAGACAACGACAAATTCTTCAAGTGTAGCCATCACCAGTTGAATCCTAGTATCACCGTCGACTATCGAAAATTGGTGATTGTTCCCAAAGTCACTGATCAGACTATAGAGAATTCGAATCGCGATGAAAGGCAGCGCGAGGAGCACGCAGAAAAAGATCCGGTTTTGACTCGATACCATGATGCCAATATCCCGCACTGTGATGGTCCATAGTGTGCAGGTTGCAACATAGATGGCTAGGAAGAGGATGATTGCAACACGGGTCTTGGTCTTGCCACTAGCATGGTCCGAGATATCTGAGGAGGCCTGATCGGTTCCGCCGCTAATAGCGAGGATTAGGGCAATAAGTGCGGGCAGATGCAAGAGTTGAACAACCTTGCTGCGTCTTGATGTGGCTGTGGCTCTCTTCGAATATATTTTCATCCTGGAGAAGATAGAATGGGTCAGTGTGAACTCGAATATTCACTCGTTCAACAACAGAGCTACTTACAGTCTGCCAGTAATGCCGAAAGATGCGAATACCTGCAAAAAGATGTTGCGTTTGGAGTCTGGACTTGATGGCACATGCTGCGATGTCTCGTCAAACCTATCAGCTAGTCAATTTGATAAGTTCAATTGATAAACCAATATCTCGAATATGGACTCACACTCGTTTTAATAGACCCAATGTTGATAGTAGAAGTGGAGACAGTCCGACGGACTGCAAAATCAAGGCCCATTCTTTGTCATTTGCATTGTTTGGGTTCTTCGTGCTCAGGATCTCCATAACAGCCCCACCAACTCGGATTCCTGAAAAGATGCTCAAGTAAATCCAGCCTAGCTGCTTATGAAAGCCATGGCGGAGAACCACCCAGATGGTGAGCAAAGCCGTTGGGATATAGATAATCAGCTCTGCGATGGCGACGTGCTCTGCGGTGACGACAGCCATAATTTGGTCAATGTTTGAGGGACTTGTCAAAGAATTAAGAATGTAATATCGAGGGTTAAGACTGCAGAAAGATGGTTCTTATTGTTAATTCACATAAAACGAGAAGAGGCTTTATATACTAAATTATAATCCCCCTGGGGGTCCTGGAAAACTAGGCATTCCCCACTCAGCCCTGTTCAATTCCCAAATTAGAAGCCACAATTAAGAGAAAGAAGCTATGATCAACCATGTAGCAAAGATGCAAAGATTCAAAGATGCAAATAAGCAAATCTAAGCTTCGGAGTTTCCCGAGTTTCCATGCGGAACACCACCCGCCTTTCCTGTTTGAGACTAGCGTATGCGGGTCATCGAAAGCCTTGCCCTTTCGGGAAACCTGTAAGTTGCTGGTACGAACGCCATGAGTCAATCCTTTCGATGCTGCCTGAATTCGGTAGTATTTGAGTCTTACGAATCTAAACCTGCTAAAGAAAATAATGTAAAAACGTCATAAGGCGTCGCAAGGCTGACGGTAAACTAGCAAAATGAGCCGCCTGGTTCGAGGTAAAAATCTATAAATGCACAAAGAGCCAGTAGTTGTAATATGTTAGATGTTTAGAAAGACCCCGGCTTTTTTACTTTGAGCTTTTGAGTATGTTATCTTTGATTTCTTTCATCCCAATTTGTTTGGTCTTGGGAGTTTCAGCTACCATTGACCCCGGTTATGATTGTCGCCCAGGTCAAAAGTGCTGGCCATCATCGAAAGAATGGCAACAATTCAATGCGACCATTGATGGCCATTTGCATGAGACTGTTCCAATCGCGGCCCCTTGCTATAAAAACTCTCTCCATTATGATGAAAACGCCTGCCAAGCCGTGGAGAAATACTATGGTGATAGTATCCCGAGGGGCACGCACTACGGGCAGACATACTGGTTGAATTGGGAGACCTGTGGTAATACGGGATGTGCTTTACTAGAAACCCAACCATCAGAGCTCCTCTACAGTACATGCGCGCTTGGGAGACTGTCATCATATTATGTGGATGTCCAAGATGCCTCTCATATCTCTGCTGCTCTAAGATTCGTACATGCCCACAACATTCGCATCAGCGTGAAGAACACTGGTCATGACTTTTTCGGACGATCGTCAGTTCCTAATACGCTCGCTATTTGGACCCACAATCTTGATTCCATTGCGTTCAGCTCCAACTTCACTGCATACAACTGCTCCCTGGCCAACAGTCAGAATGTCGGGGAGCTGGGAGCTGGAGTCATCGCAACCGACGCATATCATTTCTTCAGTTCGAAGGGAATGGACATCACAGGAGGGTACGAACAATCTGTTGGACTAGCCGGTGGTTTCGCCCAAGGTGGTGGCGTCGGGTCATTCACAACCACCTATGGCTTGATGGCCGACAATGCGGTTGAATTCGAGGTGGTGACTGCAGATGGAGAAGTTCGCACCATCAATCAATGCAACGAACCGGAGCTCTTCTGGGCCATGCGTGGGGGAGGAGGCGGCACTTTTGCTGTACTCACCAAGTACCGAGTTCAAGTGTACCCTTCTCTGCCCATCCATACATACACGTTCACAGCCAATTTTACCGGTGATACAAGTGATGCAACTCAGAACGTGGCTCTGCGCGAGATCCTGACGGCTCATGCGGAAAATCAGGCTGACTGGTCGGCCCAACTTGTTACCGGCCAACTTGAATACTTCCCAGAGAAAATAGCGATCTCAATGGTATTGCCCTATGGCGATGGTGGCTCAAAGTTGAGATCAGCCAGTGCCTCATTTGCCGAATTCCTGAGCAACAGAACGGATCTTTCTGTCTCTGCCAACCATTATACCTCATACCCTGACTATGCCAATTATCTCACCGTCACTGCTGCCGATGCCAAGGTCACGGAACCGTCTGGGATCTTCTCCATACTGGCATCACGCTTGATCCCCCGCACGGTTTTCAATGCTCCTGAAACCATCGATCAACTCGTGGAGGGTGTCATACAAGGCATTGCAACCGCTAGGAGTCACCTGAATCTCACTGGAACCCAAATTGTCTTGGAGACGCCAGTCTCAAATCTCGATAAGAACCAGATGTCATCTGCACATCGAGCTTGGCGTACCGCGCTCTGGCATGTCATTCACGTCGGGGAATGGGCAAATCCTTTGGAGGCTGATAAACAGGCAAGTGTCGCAGAAGCCTTTTTGCAGATCATCGAGCCTTTGAAGAGGTTGAGCCCTGGTGGTGGTGCGTATTTTAATGAAGCACATTACCTCGAGCCAGATTGGAAGCAAACGTATTTTGGATCGAACTATCCCAGGCTTTTGGAGGCTAAGAACATATATGACCCGACTCATATGTTTGATTGTTGGAAGTGTGTTGGGTGGAGAGGTGAACACGAGTAAGTTCCTCTGATCCGCTGGGATGAGAGAAACTGATGAGAGAAACTAACGCGAACGGCTGGGAAGCCCATTCTACTCCTGCTATTAGCGGCTTCGGCGCATCTTTCATTTTGAATTGAAGAAAAAGTTGGAGGTTTGGTTGTGAACTGCAACCAAAGAGTTTGGATGAAGGAGCAAGCAAGGGGGAAGATCCTCGTATATAATATTTGAAACAAGATATGTGCCTTTTCATGGCATTTCTAGAATTTTACATTTGGGATCGTGATTATACATGCAACGTATTTTCGTCTTACACTTATCGTGTAAAATCGTTCCACATGCGGGAGAATGTCTTCCACCAACCACGTACAACAGGCTGGTCTGTGACGGTTGACATTTTGCTGACGGTATCTTCACGAGTCAGGTCCGATGTATCGCCGGTTGGGTATACAAGGTGCCCATCCATACCGTTCATCACGGAAAGCGAAGAACCATGTAGTTTAGGGGATGACGCGAGACTACTGCAGACACTGCGGCTGTCCCGTTCGCCATCTATCAGATGCCCAGCAGTGTAGACGCATCCGCCGTATGAGAACCTGACCAGAGAATCTCCAGTTAAGCTGCCGATGATGAAAACTCCCGGTGCAACCTCCAGGTCCTCAATTGCTTTCGCACGGAGGGTCTGGCCGGTGACAGCTGAATCCTCTTGATTGCCCTGCCCCAACACTTCACAGCGGAGCTCGGGATCAAGGTAATTTAGCGTGCCTCGCCGGCCAGCAGCATACACCAGGCCACGCACAGGCCGAGAGAAGACAGTTCCATCTTGGCGGTGGAATGAGACCGTCGCCAGGTCGCCGTGAACTTCTACAGCTGTCACTTCAACATTAGGAAGACCTTCATAGATGTCTTCCCAATTCCGGCTTTCAAGGAATGGCGTTGAAGTCGCACGTCGGTACTTTGGCCGCTGGTCTTTAGCTGCAGCCTCGGCTGTGAGGGCAGCTCGTTTCATAAGACGGTAGACACCGGCATACTCAGGATATGCTTGCTGGTGGCAGGCCCGGAGAGGCGATGGGCGGTCATTCGGAGACCATTTGTATATGTGTAAGATCTTTTGGTTTGGGGAGGCGGAGATGATGGCATCCGCAGCGGAGAAGCCAGATCCAATGACGAGTAGTGGGACGTCAGGCAAAGGCTTGGTCTCAAGTAATGGACGTAAAACCGGCTCTGGTGTGAGGACCTCGGAAAAGATTCCACTTGCCAGGACTAGGCGCTTGCAGTGAAGGTTATGAGAACGAACATAAAACCCAGTAGCGGTGCGGGAAATTCCCTTTAGTTCTTCCCCACACCGAAACGCATCATTGATATGCACAGCCTCGGGATAGGCAGAAAAATAATCGGCAATCTCGCGCCGTGTAGGCCTTGTATATGACGGTAGATCCCTTCCCGTTGTCCTTTTGTGATGGTCGGAAAAGGAGTACCCCGGCAGGGACAGCATTGCCGCATAACTCAATGTCTGAATATCCCAGTTCGCGCCCCATGGATCCTCTGTCCATTGGCCTCCAGGCTTCGAGGGCTTTCCAAAAACAAGATGCGAGACAGCCTTCTCAGGCTGTGAGCGCCAATTAATATTTGAGATGCAGCCAGGCTCATCCACATCAACACTTGGCCGTACAAGTGTGTCTAGTAAGACGTTCACGGGAAGGGCCTGAGTCGAGTATGATAGGCGTGACGCGTCGAAGTGCGCTGTAAGAGAGTTCACATCGGCATTCAAGATCTCTGGGGCGGCTTTCAACTTGGCGTCCAATAAATGATCAGGATGTGGAGGGTCGGATGAGTAGAAAGGGATGTGTCCATGGAGGATGTATGAAAGGATCATAGCCGACGGCCCATTGCCTGGTACAATCGAGTTTCAATCAGTTGCCATTTCACAAGTACTTCGAACAGCGCGGGGTGGAATGGTGGGGCTCAGGCAGCACAAAAGTCCCGAATGGCCTTGACATGGGACAACCATGATAGACGTACCGACGATGATAGTATCAATCTCCATTGACAGCGATGGATATCAAATAAGTGATGCAGTGTGTAGCATACTGGTATAGACATGCGATGAGGTATCCAATCAAAACGGGAGATCCTTGTCACACTGCCTTCTCACCAGAGGTCGACAGCAAGGCCATAGGGACTGTAACATTCCAGGAATTCAAGAGGAAACTGAACGCCTAGACAAAATGGGGGGAGTTCGTATTCAGTCGATCAATAATCAGAAGCTGACAAACCCTAAAGCGGAGTGGCTGGTGGGGAGAAGAAGACCGGGAAAGTCGACGATTTTCCATTTGCCGAATGAATAGGAAACTGAAGCCGAGGGAGTATTTGCCGGGGAATTGTGTCCATCATTATCTCATCATATTTTTGGGTTTGAGATAGATCATATTTGAATGTTGAAGAATGCATGTAAACTGTACATGTACATTGAAATGCCCGATGTAGTTCAGATGGGAATCCCCAGAGCTCAGCCCTAAGCCCTAGTTTCCTAAAACGGATGAGGCTGCAACGCGGCCCCGGGGAACAGCTTCAACGACAGATAACTGACGATGTCATGATTTCTGTTTTCGATCCCGTTTTCTATAACTGCAATCGCGCTTGGCCTTGAAGCTTTCCATAGGGAACGCGATCATGTATCACCTGGCCAAGTCGCTATACTTAGCCGCTACGAGCAAAGAAGGTAACTGCTTTCTTCGATCGCATGACCTTCCAAAGCTGACTATCTCGAACTACAGAGTATTCTGTTATCCTGCTTGGCTTAGACAATGCAGGCAAAACAACCCTTCTCTCCCAGATCAAGGCGCTGTACCAACCCCGTTCCGATGGCGCCCCGGCACCAAACCCCGGAAAGACCGTCCCCACCGTCGGGCAGAATGTCGCAACGATATCTCTACCAGACATGAACTTGAAGATCTGGGATGTGGGAGGTCAGATATCTATGCGCGGTCTTTGGCAGAGCTACTACACTAGCTGCCACGCGATCATCTTCGTGGTCGACAGTTCCGACGTTGGTCAAGATCCCGATATCGCACGACTGGCTCGACGCGCAAGCTCCGTGGCAGGTCCAGCACGCAACGGCACACGAGGAAGCACAAGTGCAGAGGCCTTTTCAGAGCAAAACGTCGGAATCAACGCAGCCAGCAGTGAGTTTGGGCGATTAGACGAGTGCCGTCAAGTTCTCGAGTCGGTCTTACAAAGTGCCGACGTGGCTGGTGTTCCTATCCTGGTGTTAGCAAATAAGCAGGACCGCGAGGATTGCGTGGAAGTGGTTCGCATCAAGGAAGGACTTGTTCGGAAGGTATTTGAAGGAGAAACAGGAAGCGGCGTCCGCGACAGCCGTGTGCTGCCGGTCAGCGCGCTACTTGGGTCTGGTGTCCAGGCGGCGGTGGAGTGGGTACAAAGTCGTGTCAAGTGGAACAAAGAGGGTCGGCCTCCGGTCATGCGTTGATTCAAACTTGGGGCTGTCGGCTATTCTCGTACATGATGCCGAGCGCAGCATATCAAGGTGCATAATGGCGTTTGTTCATGATTACATTTTTTTGTTAATATACCAATGGAGTCTATTTGATACTCAAGTTTGTTTAACTATCAACCACTAGCCATATCATCTAGACGGGTGAAAATATCGCATGATTCTGGCTATTTTGTTTCGTCAGGTAAACATTATGTATTGGTAATATGGATGAGAATATGTAAAAATAGACCATGCGGCACAAGAGAGCGTGAAGGGGGGATTAAATGAAGCCATAAGCTGTCCGAGACAAGCAGGATAGGCGCATAACTGAGAGCCGACCAGAAAGATATTGACAGGTCGGTCTACTCTGCCGCGAGTATTGCTTTTTTTCCCCTCAGCGAACACTTCTGGTAGTCTGGTGAGATTTACTCGCCGGTGGCTTTTTCGGCCAACTTCGTGCGATGTCAATGTTGGCTCGGGGGAACCACATCTCAAGGAAGACATAGATCAAGAAGTCAATCACGACACAAAGGCAGAACAGCTTGCCTGCCCAGACACCACAGCCGTAGTAGCGTTTCAACCGGTCAATCAGCGCGAAGCTGCGGACACGATCCCCACTCGCTTCCCAGCCCTGGCCTGGATAGTAACCATAGAATTCCTCTGGGCTAATATCACCAATAACGCCTTCGTACACGCGCTCAGTGCGTGCGGCCACGTCCCGCCATGAATACATCATCTTCACCTGATCATGAAATCGGTCCGTTCGCACTTTGTTTGAGCGCAAAGCCGTGATTGCCTTGCCGGTTGCTAACACAATATCGTCTTCTTCCGGTTTGGCGAACGTTGTCATATGCTGGGGTAAAACTTCTGGGATGCCTCCAACACGAGTACAGACCACGTAAAGACCACAACTAGCAGCTTCAACAATGACTGTCCCGAATGCTTCTGTAAGACTAGGATGGAGATAAATGTCACCTCGTACCATCACATCTCGGACTTCCTCGTGTCTGACCGAACCTAGAAGCTCGACTTTATCCTGAAGCACGTTGCGTTCCAGCATTTGCTCGAGGTCGATTGCTTTGGGCCCTGATCCTGCAATGATGAAGCGAGTATTGGGATTGGAGGCAAGAATCCGCGGAATTGAGGCGATGAGAAGATCGGTGCCCTTATTGTAAAAAAGTCGGGAGATGACCACGATTGTAATCGGGTCATCGGGCCCGATTTGTCTGGGGGACATTGGAGTATCGGCGGGGGATGTCAGGCCCTGATCAGGCGCACGAGTAGTTTGAGACAGAGGACAGAAATTCTCTGCTACCACAGCGTTTGGAATGACTGACACCATTAAGGGATCCAACGAAGCCCGAAGTACTGTGTTTTCCTTGCTGCAACTTGTTAGTTGAGTCGTGCAGTACGGCCGCGGGAAACCTACCAAGTGTGACTAACGCAAATCGCATGATCAACATCACTCAAGGTAAATTTGAGCAATTTGTTGGTCAGAATTGATGCTGCGTCAGCGAATCCGAAGAGGGAATGGTCTGTGAAGACAGTCCGCAGTCCCATACTACGCGCATGAAGAATGGCCTCTCCACAGAAGCTACTCAAACTGGCATGGCCATGAACTATCTCAATCTCCTCGCGGATGACGATATTGCGGAATATGGGGAAGAAAGAGAAGACAGTAGGGAATGTCGTTTCGCGGTAGACAACGAAGAAGGGAACGTGGTAGATCTTCAGACCGTTGGTGAGGTAGCGGACTCCGGTGCGTCCTTTATACGCGTGGGTAATAATAATGACTTTGTGACCTCGATCGATGAGTTTCTGGGAAGCAATTAGAAAGAGCGCAGGTCGAACGACAAGCTAGCGTGCTTACGGAGGACAATTGGTATATGTGACTCTCAACTCCACCTAGACAAGTCAGCAAATGTGTACTGTAAGCTGCAGGGGAAATAACTAAACATACCTGACTGGGGAAAAAAGAAGTCACTGACCATTCTATAACCCGAGCGATGTTAGCAAGTAATCACCATCAATAGAACACAAATACTGACGCGATGTTATACGGCATCGTGGCTGTTGTTCTCGGGGCGAGAGCTCCGAGGTTTCAAGTTTGCTCTTGTCAAATTTCTTTCCATGGCGAACAGATCTGCTGCTCAAAACACCAGTCCATTCAAGTCAACAGGAGACCTGGAGACATCTGTGGAAGCTGGCCCGATAAGCAGGGCGGTGATTGGGGCGGTAATGCTATTATGTCTTCTGCCGGCATAAAAGATTCGAGAAAAGGAATTTGATCCCCACGAAGCCATCCAACGCCAACTTCGACATTGGTGGAATTACATGAGAATGGTGGGCAAAAATCCAGGACTTGAGTCCTCTAAGAAGGTTGATGTGACCCACAAATCCACTCAGTCTCACAAGCGCAAGAGAGATCCCCATGGCTCTCAACCTGCTGCGACTACTCCCACGCCAACGAAGAAGCACAAGAAACGCGAAAGCTTGCCGATCGCAGAGGTCACAGATGATGGCAGCATCAAGAAGCGCAAGCACCTCAAGGATGCGCCTCAGGGATCGAATTCCCCGGAGACGTCCCGGAAAGAAAGTACTCTCTCGTCAGCCCGCAGAAAAGCGACTGTTGCAGACTCGCGCAACGGCGTCAGCGAAACGGAAGACAAATCAAAAAAGAGCAAGCGAAAGAGCTCTGGAACGGGCGACACATTGGATGATGCGGCTGCATCTGTGATTACAGGAAACGACGATGAAGAAGTTGAAGCGCCGGAAGTCGAACAACGCAAATCGAAGAACAAGCATTCGGGAATTATGTCAAAGTTTGAGCGCACCAAAACCGTCTCTAGCGCCAAAGCCAAAAAAGTTGAACCCGAAGCCGTCGAAGATGAGACACCTGCTGTCGAAGCTGTCTACGCACAGGGTCTTGAACGGCTACCTCAGCCAGAAAACCCGCCCGAGGCAGAGCAAATCCCAACATATTCATCTCTACCCCCTGGCTTGCCAATCCGTTGCGCAAATCTGCCCAGGACACAAAGAAATTCTCCGAGCTCGGAATCAAGCCAGACCTTCTCAAAATTCTCGAACAACAGAACTACAAGGAAGCGTTTGCTGTGCAGTCTACTGTCATTCCCCTCCTTTTGAAGGGAGAGCAAAACCACCCGGGAGATCTGTGTATCTCTGCGGCGACTGGATCCGGAAAAACACTTTCCTATGTTCTCCCCCTTGTTACCGCTCTGCCCCCGAGACCTGCCTCCAGACTTAGAGGATTGATTGTGGTTCCTACAAGAGAGCTGGTAAAACAAGCTCGCGAATCCTGTGAGCTATGTGCTTCTGGGTCCAAACTTCATATCGGAAGCGCAGTCGGTAATGTGGCTATCAAAGATGAGCAAAAACTCTTGATGCGCGTGGACCAGGTTTACAACCCGGCTATTCAACAGCAGCAGCGTGACGGATTGAAAGGAAACGACTGGATGAACTTGAGCCTGGAAGATTGTGTCAGTGAGGCAATTGACTCTAGTGGGTCTCTTCCTGGTCACATTCACCGATCCGAGCCAAATGTCGACATCCTTATCTGTACCCCTGGTCGTCTCGTTGACCACATTCGCTACACCAAGGGATTCACCCTCAAGTATCTCGAATGGCTTGTGATTGATGAAGCAGATCGTCTCTTGAACGAAAGTTTCCAGGAGTGGGTTGATGTCGTCATGAACTCGCTGAACAGTCGACAGGCCCCTGAAACCTTTGGCCCTGGTGGAAAGCTGTTGTCTGAACTTGGACTTTCGATTGACGCCAAGCCTCCTCGAAAGGTTATTCTGAGTGCAACAATGACCCGCGACATTTCTAAACTCAACTCGCTGCGCCTCGCCAACCCCAAGATGGTTATCATTGGGTCTGAGGATGCTGCCGACGAAGAAGACCCATCTGCTATTCATCCAGATGCTCACTTTGCCCTACCCCCAACTCTGTCTGAGCACGTTATTCAAGTTGGCGATGGATCTCTCAAGCCGCTTTATTTGTTGCGTCTTCTTCTTTCTCACATTGAGATTAGTGGTGACCGAGCTCCAAGCGTGTCTGATTCATCTGACTCTGACAGCTCTAGTTCAGATGATGACACTAGCAGCGATGACGATACCAGCTCCGATGATGATACTAGCTCTGATGAATCATCTGATGATGACACTTCATCTTCTGGGTCAGATTCGGAGTCAGATTCGGAGTCAGATTCAGATTCAGACTCGGACTCTGATTCTTCCGATTCTTCGGACTCATCTGACTCGGAATCCGATGCTATGGAAGTCGTTCCCTCGCCCTCGCGTAAGACTGTTCTGATTTTCACCAAGTCATCCGAGTCTGCCTCTCGACTTGCACGTCTCATTTCGCTTCTGCATCCCGCATTGGCCAAGCGCGTGGGAACTATCATTAAATCCAACAAATCCTCTGCATCTAGGAAGACATTGACGGCTTACCGACAAGGTCGCATCTCAGTGATTGTGGCTACTGATCGTGCCTCTCGTGGTCTTGATCTAGAATCTTTGACTCATGTCATCAACTACGATATCCCGACCAGCATCACTACCTACGTTCACCGAGTCGGACGTACCGCTCGTGCTGGCCGCGCAGGCTCTGCGTGGTCCCTAGTTGCTCACCGTGAGGGCCGCTGGTTTGCCAACGAGATCGCAGCCAGCGTGGACGGCCGGATCACCCGTACTTCGAACCTTGAGCGTGTCCAGATCAAGGCCGACGCATTGGACTCACTCAAGCCCAAATATGCCAAGGCTTTGGACAAGCTTGAGCAAGAGGTCAAGCGTGGCTAGTCTGACTTGATATTTGCGATTTATTGTATTTTATGAGTGGTTACGTGTTCTGCATTCATAGCGGTATTCTTGTATCATAATCTGTTCACAAGACTTGGAAGTCTCATGTTTTTGCGTACTCTCATTAGTTACATGGCTTCTCCCCAAAGGCCAAAGACGTACATCGGCAAAACTTCGGATATATTGTCTATTACCCGGTCATGCGGGGGTTGAACTTCGTATGAGAACTGCATTAATATGGGCCTTCATTTTAGGCTAAACTTGAGCAAATCCTATCGTTTCTTCAGCGGATGGCTTGAATAGCTTGAATAGCTTGTTTTGCCCAGACGTTAATTCTGACTTCAGGTGTCGGACTTCTTTAGGTACCAGCCCTTTTCATGAAACATGGCCGCCTTGATCCTAGTGCGTGCTGAAGCTATTGCAAGGCCGAAAAGAAGTTCGAGGAAAGCAAAACGGTTAATTTTTCTACCGTGGTATAGAGGTACCCATGCACCTCGCCCCTTGACCCCCTTGACAGCCAACGAAGGACATGATCGACATGCATCGGCAACCGGAAAGAAGATCAGGCTAAATTGTTCACTCCAAATGTCTCTCAATTTCAAAACCCCGCGTGAAATCCCTTGGGATCGACTATGAAACTTCCAAACTGGACCCAAATGTGTGGAGGCACCTCTTCATACCCCAGACTATAAGTTGATCCCCACATCATGGGCAAAGATGTATGAGTATTCATTCTCAAAGACAGACTTCTGCAATGCCTGTCACTTCACTACTCGCCTTGCTGGTTGCCTTTGCACCGATCGCGTTGTCCCAGGACAATACCAGCTATGTGGACTATAATATCAAGTCACAACCGGATCTTTACCCCGAAACCATGGCAAGGGTCGATTTCTCTTTCCCAGACTGCTCCAATGGCCCACTCAGCAAGACGATTGTCTGTAGCATCACCGCAAAGCCCCATGAAAGAGCCGCTGCCCTCATTTCCATGTTCACCTTTGAAGAGCTCGTAAACAGTACTGGAAACGTCATTCCCGCAATTCCTCGGCTGGGACTCCCACCTTACCAGGTTTGGAGCGAAGCTCTTCATGGCTTGGATCGAGCCAATCTTACCGAATCCGGGGACTACAGCTGGGCTACCTCGTTCCCATCGCCCATCCTTACCATGGCTGCCCTGAACCGCACCTTGATCAACCAAATCGGTGGAATCATATCAACACAAGGCAGAGCATTCAACAATGGGGGTCGATATGGGCTCGACGTGTATGCACCCAACATCAATTCGTTCCGCCACCCAGTGTGGGGCCGTGGACAGGAAACTCCAGGCGAGGATATCCAACTCTGCTCAGTTTACGGGTTTGAATACATAACAGGCGTTCAGGGTGGGTTGGACCCAAAGAACCTGAAACTAGCTGCGACAGCTAAGCATTACGCTGGTTATGACCTCGAGAATTGGGGCGACCATTCACGACTGGGGAATGATATGAACATCAGCTCATTCGATCTCGCTAGCTATTACACTCCTCAATTTGTCACAGCAGTGAGAGATGCGAGAGTTCATAGCGTAATGTCATCATATAACGCAGTTAATGGCGTTCCGTCATCGGCCAATTCTTTCTTGCTCCAGACTCTGCTTCGTGACACCTGGGACTTTGTCGAGGATGGCTATGTTTCTTCTGATTGCGATTCTGTCTACAATGTCTTCAACCCCCACGGATATGCCTCCAGTGCCTCGCTTGCTGCGGCGAAAAGTATACAGGCAGGGACAGATATCGACTGTGGGGCGACATATCAACTCTATCTGAATGAGTCGCTCTCTCAGGGCGAGATCTCCCGCAGTGAAATTGAACGTGCTGTCACTCGTTTCTATTCCAACCTTGTCAGTCTGGGTTATTTTGATGGTAACAACAGCAAATACCGAGATCTTGATTGGTCTGATGTCGTTACCACCGATGCATGGAACATCTCATACGAGGCTGCCGTAGAAGGAATTGTCCTTCTCAAGAACGATGGTACTCTGCCATTGTCCAAGCACACCCGCAGCGTTGCATTGATTGGACCATGGGCAAATGTAACAACTGCATTGCAGGGAAATTACTATGGCGCAGCGCCCTATCTCACCGGCCCGCTCGCTGCCCTGCATGCCTCCAACCTTGATGTCAACTATGCTTTTGGCACCAATATCTCCTCAGAATCGACTGATGGGTTTGAAGCTGCTCTATCGGCTGCAAAGAATTCTGACGTGGTCATCTTCGCCGGGGGAATTGACAACACCGTCGAGGCAGAGGGAGTGGATCGCGCAAACATCACCTGGCCTGGTAATCAGCTTCAGCTGATCGAGCAGCTAAGTGAGCTTGGCAAGCCATTAGTTGTTCTACAGATGGGTGGTGGCCAAGTGGATTCTTCGTCGCTCAAGTCCAATAAAAACGTAAACTCTCTGGTTTGGGGTGGCTACCCCGGACAATCTGGGGGTCCTGCAATTCTGGACATCCTCACCGGAAAGCGGGCACCCGCAGGTCGTCTGACAGTCACTCAATATCCTGCCGAGTACGCTCTTCAATTCCCTGCTACCGACATGAGCTTGCGCCCCAAGGGCAGTAACCCTGGACAGACTTACATGTGGTATACAGGCAAGCCAGTTTATGAATTTGGCCATGGGCTATTCTACACAACATTCAAGGCCTCACTCGCTCATCCCCATGGAATCAACAATGGAGCTTCCTTCGACATTGCGAAGCTTCTCTCGCGCTCAGATGCCGGACACAACGTGGTCGAACAAGTCCCATTTATGAACTACACCGTCGCAATTAAGAACACCGGTACTGTCACTTCTGACTATACCGCTATGGCCTTTCTCAACACAAAGGCTGGACCAAGCCCGCATCCCAACAAGTGGCTGGTTGGCTTTGATCGCCTCGGTGGAATTGAGCCCCATGCCACTCAGACGATGGCAATTCCAATCTCACTGGATAATGTTGCTCGCACTGATGAGAATGGTAACCGCATTGTATATCCCGGCAAATATGAACTTGCATTAAACAATGAGCGTTCGGCCGTGCTGTCATTCACTTTGACCGGTGCTGCAGCCACTATTGCTACTTGGCCAAAGGAGGAGCAACTTGTTCTTCATTCGTGAATTGTGTCTCCCACCAGTGTATATTGTAGTCGAATACAATATATGGATAAATACATCTCAATGTTTTGATGAATAGTAGCAACATGAAAAAAGCTCGATCAAGAGATCATCTTATATACAGCCCTCACAATAAGAGAAATAAGAATAAAGGTTACCACAGCCGCACCAGTCTTATGACCATTATCGATATGCATGGTTGGTAGGTCTTGTTAGTTATTCGATTTCCGATGTAATATTGTTCAAGGGGGATGTGTGAGAAATGTTAGGTTTGATATGTTAGACTTCGTATATCTCTCCTACACCGAACCCTAATTTCTGGGCGATTCGGTGCTTAATGAGGTACAGCTGTCTAGCATTCAGATTTTGGATTCATTGGCTATTAGACGTACTCCACAAGGCACTTCTTGCATTAGTTAGCGTGTGTTGAGAAATATAACTAACTAGTTAGAGAGCCAAGTAACTAACTATACCGTTGGTTGTCAGGTAGAACAAGAAACAGTGCAAAATCGAAAGTCAATTGGGGGCGATGAAGACCATAAAGACCATATTATAACCTGTGTCTTTCGATCATATGGCATATTTGGAACATGTGCTGGGTAGTGACAGGATGAAGAAAGTGAAAGAGCAAATGGATATTCTTGCCTGCAAATTCAGGCAAAGTCGGGATAATTCAGGCATCAATGCTGACCTCAGGATGGAGTGATATCATTGGCCATTCCCTTCGATCTCCCGATAACCAGAGAAACCCCGCGGCGAAGCGCCGTTTTTTTTATTTTGCGCGTTTCCATGTTCATGTCTTGTTAGGGATTATGAAAGAGAGCTCACCCAATGCTCAGCCCGTACCGGGTCCTCCCTTCCCTAGCAACTTGTTTGCTCCGTTGAGGGGGCCTTTAGCTGGAGGTCGCCAGATCACCCGAAACCGCGCGAGCTACAGCTGTCACACGTGTCGGCGTCGGAAGGTCAAATGCGACAAGGTAGATTGATCCGATTGCCAATACCAATCCCCGTGTTTCAAGCTAACATATATCCTTCTAGATACATCCGATATGTGGGAACTGCGTGAAGAACAACACCAAGTGTATATACGATGTGTCATTCCACAAAGATGACGATGGGCGCGATGGCTCCCCCCAAAATGTACATGGCGTCAAACGAAGGAGAGAGATGCCCCGGACATTGGAGGAGGATGTCGACGAGCTCCAGTCAATTTACGGACACTTGAGGCGGGCAGAGTCGACAGGTGAAAAGCCCGACCCAAGTGCCATTGAATCACGACTCGACAAGCTTATGTCAATGATTGAGCGCCTTGGAGGGAGCGATCAAACCCTCGAAGATCTGGGGATGCAGACAACGGCTGCAGATGCGAAAGTGGAACCAACCCAGTCAGATGACCCACGACCGAGCAATGATCTGAACGGAAAAAAAGCACCGTTGAGATCTAGCAGCCCACGCCGCATTGCTGCAGAGTTGAGCAATGATGAGTTTCCAATCCCATCTGGTCAGGCTACCGATCTAGTAGACCCAGTTGGCAGTCTGAACTTGGGCCATTTGAGCCTAGAGGACGGTGGAAGGTCAAGGTTGGTCAAAATTACTTCATTCGAAATTTGAAGATAAAATGTTCTAACTATAAATAGATATGTTGGCACCACATATTGGGCTTATATCTCTGGCGAAGTATGTCGTTCACTGGATTTCCCCATTGTCAGACAACTTTGGCTAACTCGCATCTAGATCAATGAGCTCAATCAATTGCTGAGAGACCAGCATAACTCCCATCATCAGTCTGCTACTGAAAAGAAGAATGAAGACATAACAGATTCGCATGCCGATGGTCGACAGTCATGGAGAGAATCCACAGGCAGCTCGACACCTTCAATCACCCCTAGGTCTTGTTCCTTCCAACAATCTATAATCTTCCCTTCGGGTGACTCTCCCTCGGTCAGTGAAAAAGTGGTTGATCCAGAAATGCTTGATCACATTCCGACGAGACGGCAAAGCCATATTCTTTACAAAGGATACATTTCCGGCGTACACGCCATCAGTCCTATCATTCACCCTCCAACTATACTCAAACTCTACAATTCCTTCTGGGATTGGTATGACTACAGTAGTTATTCTGGAGAGCCGTGCCCAAATCCATCATTCATTCCATTACTGTACGCGATATGGTATGGTGGCTCGGTGACGATTTCGATGCGAGCAATCAAAGCTGAATTCAATGTGTCGTCGCGGTCAGCCCTTTCGACAATATATACTGAAGAAGTTACGAGATGGCTTACGAATATCAAATTCCCGCGTAGCCCTTCACTTTCAGGCCTCGCTGCTTATCTCATCGTGCAGACAATTGTCACAAAGGAGGAAGAGCCTTTAACGAGCAGTCTCTTTGTTAGCCTCGCGATGAGGGTTGCACAGACCATGGGCCTCCATCGGGATCCAGCTAAGTTTGGTATAGAGCCATGTGAAGCTGAGTACCGGCGCCGGTTATGGTGGCATATTATGCATATGGACTGTGTCGTTGCGATGTCGAGCGGTCTGCCTCCACTTGTTGGTGACGAGAATTACTGGGATGTGTGCGAGATAAGCGAAATGAAAGATACGATGCTGGGTACCCCTGCTGCACAGTCCTATATGAAACTGGTTGCTTCACAGGAGCGGCTACCTGATAATCCAGATGATCCCACTATTTGTGGTGGACCATCAATGGTCAACGTCTATTACCTGACTGCAAGAGGCAAATATACCATGGCTCGTAGGTACCCTTTTTCATTTCAAAATCCACTCACTAATTTTTACCAGGCGCTATTCGCCAAATATTGAAAATCCAGCTAGGAACAAAGCCGCTCACTAGGCAGGACATGGAGGAGCTCCGGTCCATACTCCTTGACTTGCAGCTGAAACTGAATTCTATCGTCAACAGGATTCCAGAGGGAAAGGATGTTGATGACCTGTCGACGCCAGGTCGAGCTTTTTCCATGTCCAAGTCCCCAACCGATAGTCGCTCTTCCGACACTGAGCTTCCAGGCGAAGGTCCCACCGGATGTCCAGAACAGTATCACTCAGCAGTTCTTGTTTGCTTCCATAAGTGGGCCAGGATCATTCTTTCTTTGTATATTGACAAGGTGCGCTTTCTCTATACACTGGTTTCGTACCCCCAACTGACCTTCTAGGCCTTCTGCGTGGCCTATCAGCCTTTTCTAAAGAACGCTCGCAGCCGGATTTGGCCAGCGGCACGCCAGAGGTTTGCACACACCATCGGCAAATGAGTCTATGCGCTAATATTGATAGTGCACTTCGCCATTGCCATGGTTTCATGGAAAAATTCATACAACTTGCAACGGATCCTGACTTCCAGCCATTTCATTGGAGCTGGCCTGGGTAAGCTTTTCCGCTAGTATGGTGGCCAAGAACCATGGGCGACTGATATTTCTTTTTTAGCAATCATCAGCCAATGCATGCTACTATGTATGACTCCATCATCGGGTGTTGGTAACCACGCTAATGAGATATAGGATCATGCTTATTGACTTATATGAGCGACCTTACAGCCCGGAAGCATCTAGGTCCCGCGCGTTCATCGACAGCATACTGGCGCTTTCTGGTCCAGATGGAGGTGTCGTAGGTGGTGAAGACGGTGTCTCAACACAGCGGCCATTGAAGGATGGTGGCCGTGAAGCCTGGGATATGATCCGCCGCCTTCGCCAGAAGGCTTGGCAAAAGGCTGGCCTCAATCCTCAAATACTCTGGACCGAGCAAGACCAGATCCAGGCTGGGGTCGCTTCGCCAGTTGACCTTGGGGATTGTGACTCTCCTTGCTCAGGTCCTTCTCACGCTGGGTCTCCAGGTTCCGCATCCGCCGGCCATCCCTCGGCGCACAACCTCAACCCCAACGATTTCGTCAAAACATTCCACAACATCACCAGCTCCCATACGTTCTCAAATCTTGTTACCCCTGATGCCACTACGATTCCCCTACGATACCAACACCAACCCCAGGATAGATCCTTACCCCCAGTCTCACATTCCCAATTCCATTCTAACCCCACCGATAATCCCATACCTCCCCGTATTGGCGCCTCCTCGCCCAATACGGACTCCTTGTTTGGTGCACCACCGACACAGTCTCCCGCATTAACCACTCCTGCCCCACGTGTTCAGCATTTAGATCCCGATACTTCTACTGCTGGTAGCATGCCCTTCGTGGATCCTGCGTCTCCTAATGTTTTACCCATGGTAATTCCTACACCGCCATCGATGGTTGACCCCAACCTCAACTTCGACTGGGACCAGTGGGATGCTGTGTTCGGGCAACATCTGCCTGTCGCAGATGATCTGATGGAATTGGATCCTGTTTCCGGTCTTGATTTCACCCATGTTGGAGCTGCCTTAACATTTAATGGCACCAGTCCCGAAATTCCTACTTCATATGGCAATGATCTTCCACTTCCAGGCTCCTCCCCAGAAGGGAATTTCTCGTCATGGAATGGGGACAATGGAGCTGATTGGCCGGGATATTCTTAGTATGGATACATAGTGTAGAGATACGATTATGGGCGATCTGCCCATCTGCAAATATATACATCCACATACTTATTGGGTTTGCTTTATTCATTTCGTGGCAGAATCTCTTTTTGGAGAAGGACAAGAGGGGAACGGTAATGAACTCCCACACGTCAAAGGTGTTACTGATAACTACTGGAAAAATAGTGCAAATAGACTACATAGCACAAGCCATAAAATAAAACATGGCAGATGATTTCATGAAGCGTAACTCTTGACGATCCAGTGGATCACTAACTCGGGATACAAAAAAAGATTGCGAGAGGGTTATTAGAACAGACAGGCCCAGGGAAGGGGAATAAGTAGCCGCTGCGTCTGAGCTGTAACTCGCAATTCTTCTACCAAGACATTTGTTCGTGTAGGGTGCGTGTGTTTTTACTATCGCCTGCTTTTTGGGACAAGAGTTGTTTAAACCTTGATGGGCTTGAGACCGTCGGCCCAGACAGTAGCGTAAGGGGTGACACCATCCTCACGGAAGTCAATCAGGACATACCTAGGAAGGGTTAGTCGGATATTTCAAAGAATATAGCAAGATATGTGAACTTACATGGCGGTACCGTCAGTGGACTGGCCCATCATCACATCGTAGTTGTCCCAGTTGGCAAGGATCATCTTCATAGCGCCAGCGGCCTTGGTCTTCCATTGCTGCTCAGCCTCCGCGGGGTTAGCGGCCTCGGCGAACTTGGGCGCGGCATTCTGGTGGAGCTTCTTGAGGTAGGCTACGTAAACAGAAGTCAGTAATTTGCGACCCAGTGAGGAATAAAAAGTGAACATACGCTTCAAGTGTCTCTTGTAATCATCCTTGGAGGGCTTGGCACCGTCCTCAGACTTGAGCCAGACCAGACGGAACTGGTCCTCAATATCGTGGACCATAGTGGCCTCACCCTCGCCACCCTCATCGTCAACGTCCTCAGCGGAGGGGTTGGCACCCTCGAGCTGGAAGTCCTCGTTGGCACGCTTGAGGTACTTGCGGCAGTCGCACTCCCACAGAACATCGAAGTCCTTGTTGGGCTTGAGGTCAAAGGTATCGGCGACGATCTCGTCACCGGAAACGATGTCCTATAGATTTTGTCAGTTTGGATTCTAATCAAGACTCAAGTTATCTTTTGAAACATACAGTGTAGATAATCATTTTGGCGGAATTATATGTTAATAAGACGAAGGGTGAGGAAAAAAGGTAAAGGTGACAAGGGAAGAAAAACACTTTCAAGGTGGGGGGGCGAGGTTTTTAAAAAAAAAAAAAAAAAATAGAGCGGGGGGTTGTTTGTTCAGTTTGTACCCAACGGGTATCAGGGAGTCTGGGCCACCGCCACTAGCTCTACGTTAGCGCAGTATTTGGTACTTCAAGGATACTTCAACTTCGAATTACCATTTTTTAGGGGAAATTTGGCATATATATTAGTATTAAGAACATTGGCCTATGATCAATTGTAAAGCAACAATTCGACTGAACTGATTAATTAATAGTTCATGTTCATTTGCACTGTTATAACCAATTTACTTCCTTTGACGACTACCCAAAGTCGAAGTATATAACTGAGTCAGCATCAGTCTAGGCAATACCATACCATACTGTATTTGACCACTTTTCCCCATAGACATAACCAAAAATTACCGTTCACATCAGTATGGTTTTCTCTTGGCTCCGGCTCGCGCCACCTCCGTCTCCTGATCTGATCTGTTTAATCTTTTATGCTTCTAAGCATTCCCTATCCTTTCCTTCATCATTACCTGATTCTCCTTCTTTTTTTTTTTTTAATTACTTTTTGTTACCGGCCAGCGCCGAGAGGTCTCTTGGCTGATCGGAAATTCTGTGTCGCGCCTACCCGTCAGCATCCGGACTTGGGCGTGGGCAGTTGACACTCTCTTTTCTTGAAACTTCTGACCTCGGACCATTTTAATATCCCATATTAATTCCCAAGATCCCTTCTTCATTGGATTCTTTGTGAAAAACTCACGCCAATCCTCCGTCATGGCTGCGAACGCATCCGCGTTCGACCTTCCTCCCCTACCATCCTACACCTTGACATCGCGAGAACATTTGCTTGCTCCTCTTCCTGACAATATCCTTTCACTCATATTGCCCGTCGTCGCTTATTGGGGCTTGTCCATGATCTATCATTACCTCGATGTCAATGATTATTTCGTCGAATACCGTCTCCACACCCCCGCAGAGGTTCTGAAACGAAACAAAGTGACCCGCTGGGAAGTGGTACGGGATGTGGTCTTACAACAAGTGATTCAAACCGTGGCCGGTTTTGCTTTTGTATACTTCGACGCCGAGGAAACGGTTGGCAGAGAGGAATATGATGTGGCCGTGTGGGCGCAGCGATTGCGGATCGCCCAAAAGGCTATCCCGTCATTATTAGCTCTTGTTGGAGTTGACGCTATTAGTCTTGGAAAATCCGTGTCCCAAAGCGGTTACACCATGTTGGCGGGTGCTCTGGCTGGCGGATCATACCCCGATGTGACCCAGTCCATCCTCGATAACGGAGTCGAGGCTGTGGCGCCCGCATTCACGAGCTGGGAAATGGCAGTTGCCGGTTTCATATATTGGTACTTTGTGCCAACCCTCCAGTTCATTCTGGCGATTTCCATTGTGGATACCTGGCAGTACTTCCTCCACCGCGCTATGCATCTGAACCGGTGGCTCTATGGTATGTCTTTTGACGTTTTGAAATTGATGGTTCCATACTAACTAGCTATCAGTGACTTTCCATTCCCGCCACCACCGCCTTTACGTCCCTTATGCTTTCGGCGCCCTCTACAATCACCCATTTGAGGGATTCCTTCTGGACACGGCTGGCACTGGTGTTGGATTCTTGGTCTCCGGCATGACCACCCGTCAGGCCATGTGGTTCTTTACAATGTCGACTATCAAAACGGTCGACGATCACTGTGGCTATGCCTTCCCCTGGGATCCGCTACAGCATTTCACTTCCAATAATGCCGCGTACCACGACATTCATCACCAAAGCTGGGGTATCAAGACCAACTTCTCCCAGCCTTTCTTCATCTTCTGGGACCGTCTCCTTGGCACTCAGTGGACTGGTGAGGTCAAGCTGCGCTACGAGCGAGCTAGAGAGAATGCCCAGAAGCAGGTGGATCTGGATGCTGCCCAGGCGCCTGATACACCGGCTGTGACTGAGGAACGTGAACATGAGCGAGTAGTGGTGTCACCCGAGGGACCTGCGACCCGCACTCGGCTGCGCCGAAAGACTGTTGATAGTCTCAAGGGCCCGAGTCATGGGGTTCCTGGAAGTGTTCTCCACAACTAAAGCCGTGATGAAATGAAGCCTGTGCATGTGTTTTTTTTTATGCATCCCCCAACCCCGTCCCTGGAGCTGCTGGCCGTCTCCGCCAGACTGGATGGCTTTTCTGTCTTTTTCTTTTTGTATATGGGATCAATGGCCCAATGTATTAATACTTCAGAATGGGCCAGTCAATGTGTTTGTACATGGTTCGCTCTATGACCTACTGTCAATAATGTCTATTATTTGCCATTTACATTCTCCTCTGGGTGTTCGTTAAATACATTTGCAAATATCATGAATTATTATCAAAAACACCCCGAATCTGGCGAGATATTGGCATATACCAAAACAAAACAAAGAACAAGAAACAAAGCACCCAGATTCGGGGACAAAAGATCAAATCCTATTCGACTCTTCACCCAGATTCCAAGTAGTCCTCGCTGTTGAGCCACTTTCCGGCTTTCTCCGGTCTTCAACTTCATCACTCCACTCAATTTCAGTGGAAGATATCGACGGGGAACGACACCCTGACGGAGCCTCGCTACTCCCGTGTACCGGGGATGGGCTGCTTCGTGAGGGATTTCCCAACCCCTGGTGCATCTCAAGCACTTCGTCGATTTCCTCCAAAGTTCCCGCGAAAGTGCTTGCGGCGCTAGGTGACGGGGGGCTTACAGGTTCACTGACAGTATTCGCACTCCGCCTTTCCATATTTATTCCTAAGCCTTGATAGTTGTCATCGGCGAAATCCATGAATCTAGTGACGCGATCCGAGTTCGGGTCCGAGCGTCGATCTCGCTTCATGTGGTATGACGTTCTCGCGGCTTTCCTGGAAGGGCTTGATGTCGGACGATACATCCTGCGTCCTTCCGTGTCAATGTCAGTATATCGGGACGACGACGAAGATTTGGGGGCATACCTTTCTGCGGGGTGGGCTAATGCGAGTGGTGGTGGTGGCTGGGTATACTTCTTCCTTGGATCATACTCACTAGCCGTTCTATGGCTACGTGCGCTTTTTCTATTCTTGACACTGTTGTCAGTCATGCCATGATAGGTGTGCCTTCTATGTGAGGGCTTGGAATCCGCATGTGCCGGGTCTTTGTACCAGGCCTTGCTGCAGACCTCGCGGGTGTCCTTCAAGATGAATGCAAACTGACTAGATGTGCCGTATAGCTCATCCACTTCATCGGGGAATAGGTCAATGCAGGTGTCGACGAATTTCATTAGTCTTCGTGGGGCATGGTTGAAACGAGTCTGCGTGCGAGCCAGCAGGGCGATTCGAAGATTGCGCAGTGCATTCTTGTCGCTCGCAACCCGAGCTACCATACACCCTTGACAACAATTGATCTCATAATGCCATGCTTCGGGGATAGCCTGGTCTTTTGAATCGGGTTTCTTCCACATGCCCCGTATAGCCTGTAGTTTCTGTAGGATCAATATATCGAGAGGCTTCAGCAAGTCCGGGTATGCTTCAAACATGCGAAGGTGGTGACCGACCTCCCTCTGGAAAAGTTTGAACAAATCAGCTATGAGATCTGCATTCAGGCCCTGATGGGCATCGCACAAATCCTTGTTTGTTCTTGACCAGCGATCACGGCGCAGATTCTTGGGCAACTCGTGGATCATACGCTTGACAATCTCCTCAGTGGGTCTCGCTCTTGTGATGTCTATGTGTAGGATCTGTGTTAGCTTCTTCAGTTCGTCCCTTCTCAGGTCAGTGACAAACCGGGTGTCTCTTTGTCCTGAGAAAATGGATGTACGGCAACCGATGGTATGTCGTCTGTTTTCGAACCATCCTCCATCTTTCCCCATTGTTTTGGTCGTGTTAAGGAGTGGGTTGTGGTAGTCTGATATAATTCAGATGATAAATGCTTGTCCTAAGCGAATGTAATATAAGGTTGAAAGTCAGTTCCAGGTTATCCTTGTTTGAAATAGGATATACTCACTATATTGTCTTCGTCTGTATCACAAAGTGTGTCCACGGCGTCTTGCTGAGCTGAGCAAAGGGTTTAGGTCAGTCTTGATATTCTGCTTAGGAGGAATATTTCATCTCAATAAGGATACTTATATACTCCCGATGAAGTGGACTGTTCTGGAGCTTCATCGTAACATAAACTCCACCAAACAATGTCTTTCAGTCCACAAAGAGAACAAATGTCTTCTTGTGATGTCCTATTGATGTTTGCTTCTGTGACCATCAAAGAGAACGATGCTATTGATAGTATAGCTAGATCACAATGGATTGTACTATTAAAGAACTAATGAATGGTCTTTGTTACTTTCGTCTCATTCAATATATGAAACTTGCCATGTCTCTCATCCTCTCATCCTTTCGTCTCATTTCTTTCTTCGTTTTCTGTCTTGTTCTCTGTCTTAACGATATCTATCTCTCTACCTCAACATTTCCACCATGGGAAACAAAGTCTCGGCCATTGACTCCCGAGTCACAAAGAAAGGAAAGAAGCGCGTCAAGACTCTAGGAATGTTCAATTATCCAAACGGACGAAACATTCGGGAAGAATACCGTCGAACTGGAGGTACCCAATGGGTGACTGTCTTCTTCAACTGGGCTGATCACAAGTACAACGACGAAGAGTTGATGGATCTTGTAGTGGCTCGCATCAACGCCAGAGATGGCATGATTTCATCCGAACCCGTCCATCACGACATCAAATGGTGTCTATCTTTACGTGTTCCAGGATACTGGAAGCCTACCGATATCTCGATTGCCGCGGCCGCCAAGGTTATTGCACAATGGCACAAAAGTGAAATGCGCCATGCAGGGGTGAAGATCAATCGACGATATCTTTTCCGTGACAGTAATCGAAAAAATCGTCTTGTTCGTTAATATTCTCTCTTTTTCCACCATTGTGATCTATATCTAATTGTACTTTCAGACTCATATTTGCTTCGGATGAGAGATGAACTTTATTTCCCAAATGCAAGAATTGAATAATAATAATCTCAAATCAAAAATAAGACTTCAAAGTCCCGTAAGGAGAAGTTATAAAATAGCCCGGGAGATCTCCCGAGGTGAAGGTATAGGCAGGCGCCAAAAAGGTATCACATGACAATACCTTTTCTTCTTCTTCTTCTTCTTCTTCTTCTTCTTCCAAGGTTACACTTCTATACGTTCCACAATGACTTGTCCCGGTAAGGAGGGTACTCCGTTGCCGTACACTGCCTCACCCATCAAGTTACTCTGGGGCGACTTGGCCCTATTTGTTTCAAAGCTATGGGCACTTCCAGGTATCTTCCTGCCCCTGAATCTAGCTCGCACGCATGAGTGGGACGAATTCTATCCCTCGTTACGCAATGGAGCTACCGTGTTGATCCATGTATTCCTCGTGGTTTATCAACTTGTTTTCCTGCTCTCGTTGCCGATCATGGTTGTCTGCTTGATTCCAGGTCTATGGATCCTTGCTTATTCTGTTATCGGTTTCACTGTCAATTATGCGATTGTTATGTTGTTGTTGAACGGCTTCCGGCAGGTCCTGGTGTCCCAGGTTCCCGTGGTCGAGCGACCAGGTCATGAGCGGGAACGTTGGCTATACATAAATGGAATTGGAGCTGGGTAGGAGAGGCATCCCCGTTACTCCCTGTTTTCAGTTGCTGACTCAAACTACCTGCAGGCATCACTGGGTACAGATGAACGTCGATCAACTGTCATACATCTTTGGTCGAAAAGTGACGGGTGTGCACAATCGCACGTAAGTAACTCCTTGGATTCCAGTTTCACAAACACTAATGAGATTTAGCGCGGGAATTGTCTTTGATCTCATCGAATGTCTGATTCAAAGAGATTTTGCATACGCTACTGGTGATATACGACGATCGTATGCCTTGGTCAAGGAAGCTCTCTTGGACCCAGAATGTGACAAGGTGGTTCTGCTTCTTCACAGTCAAGGCGGCATTGAAGGAGGACTTGTCGTGGATTGGCTTCTGGATGAGCTACCACACGATCTCCTTCATCACTTGGAGGTATATACGTTCGGGAATGCCGCGAATCACTTTAACAATCCGCGATGGACAAAGCTAGCACGGCCACAAAGAATCTCAACACCTGATCTAGTGCATCAATTTGGCCAATCGATCGGCCATATCGAGCATTACGCTAACGCAGCTGATATTGTGGCTCTGGGAGGTGTGCTCCACTTTGTGGACATACCAAATCGATATATGGGCCGGCTGTTCGTGCGCCCAAATTCAGGTCACCTACTCAACATGCATTACCTGGACAACATGTTTACCCTAGGCCCTGATATGAAAGTCCTAGACACCAATCCATTCATGGATATGGAAGTCGAGCCATGGGCAACCGCCGGTATTAACGGATATGATGGCCCTCCGCATCGAATCAGATATCAGCCCACTATAGCCCGAGACGAGGCATTTCTCCCCGCCACACTAAGCCTGCAACGATCACAAACGAATGGTGTGAGCCGAGTACTGCGTGTCAAGGACTTCAGTCGGCTCTGGCAGTATAGAAATGGAGGACACCCGAAAGACACAGAGGCACAGCATGATAATGACACCCACGAACACGTCCATTTTTAGCTGTTTTGGTACAAGTTTACCCCTTGCATAGACATGTGATATATCTTTATTTGTTCCCTGTCCAATGAATCCACTGCAACCCTGCGAAATAAAATCAACACCAAAGCAACACTAGTAATGAGCAAGCTGACCAGGTCACTAGGTCAAAGGTAGATATGTGATAGTCACTATTAGTCCTATGGTCATTGCAACATACCAGGGGAATCTAGATGTAGCCAATGGTAACAACCTAAGTATGACCTGGTGACCTGGTCACTTATAAGGCAATCAATATAAATTGCCTCGCCTGTCACCAGATCATAATAATCCCTATAGTCTACTAGTAATTACTGATCCGCATGAGTTGCATAAGTAGATTAAACGCAAGTCTATAAGTCCACAAAGCATGGACCACTTTCCCTTGATTACCCCGGATTTCGGATGGAGGCCTCCGAAGTCCGAGAGGCCCAAATTGGGTTCTTTAAACCTCACTAGGAAGCTGATTGAAACTTTGTCCTTGTCCATTTGTGCTTCAACAGCCGGAGGTAAATAGGATATGCAACATAGCAATTTAGGGGACTCTCGAAAGCTAGATGGCGATCGATAGAAATTACGTTCTACGGCCTACACATCCAGGCCACACCAGGACAGCCCTAATTGATTCCAGTTTGCATTGGATCTCAAGGCGTAGGGAATGTGCTTCTCAGCACATACTTATAACCTTGGAATTATATATTCGCATAAATATATGGTCATGGAACTACCAGGTAGAGGCACGATTTAAGGATGTACAATAAGATCAATTCAGATGGAGGTCCGTGGTATCAAGGAAGTATTCCTTTCTCGAGTGCATCAAAAATCAGGGAGGAAAAAGGAACGCCCATCGCCATACAATGCAAGTGGAACACGGAAGAAAGGACATGCTAAATCATGCCCTGATCACCTTTCTCTTCTCCTTCTTTTTCTTTTCAGGACCTGCCCCTGAGGGCTCGCCACCAATTCCGCCCATTCCACCCATTCCACCTAGTCCACCCAGCATATTACTCAGTCCGCCCATTCCACCCATTTGACTCATCATTTCAGACATGTTCGGCATTCCCTCCATACCCTGCATACCCTGCATCTCGGCCATTGCGTCCTTGAGGGGGTTGTCACTGACACCACCACCACTGTAGGCAGGTGAATGGATAGGTAGGATCTTCCCGATCTTCCAACCCCGCGGGGCAGCAGGAGCGGGTGGAAGCTTCTCAGGCATGGGAAGGCCACGGATTCGTAGCCGGTAGGGTGATTTTTCGGTAGTGGGGTTAGCCTTCAAGTACTGTGCGACGAGAATATAGAGGTGGTGCTCTAAGCAGCAAGGTCAGTCCAAGTCCAACAGAAAAAAAACCATTCACTCCACAGATATCAACCACGTACTGTTCTTGATCTTCGGGTTGGCTAATTGACCATCCTCGTTCTTAACCTGCACACGAACACGACCGGGATTTGCCCAATCCTTAGGGTGCAGCTTCTCGGGTTCCAACCCAGCATTCAAGCCAAGCATCTGGACGGCATCGATGATATCTCGCGCAAGAGGGTTTTCCACTGCGAGCTCCACACCGACTTTGCGGCCCTCGGCGCGCGATCGGGTCTTGTCGAAGTACACGGGGTACAAGCATGAGAAGTGTCGGGGGATCTCGCGTTGGGGCTCAGGCGCCGGCATGGATGGCATGGATGGCATGGGCATCTGTTGTTGGGGTTGAGGTGCAGCCCTCGGGACATTTACGGGTGCTATGATGGCATTGCTGGGGAGGTCCTCATCGGAGTCGTAAGAGGGGGCAATCTCTTCTGGGTCGGAGTCGGATACTTCCTCGATTTGGGCGTGACGTGACATTATGAAGTTGAATGGAGAGATGTCTGGGGAAGGCGGAATTGTGGCCAAGTCAGAGGGGCAGAATGAAGTGTGCGGGCGGTGGGACGTGGGGATGGTCTGTCTTGGAATGTTAAGTATAGTACGTAAGCAATATAGTTATAATTTGGATGGTTAATGTTCAAATTACTAAATCCCATTCCGTTAATCCTTATAAAAAGAGTACACGAGGCTCTCAGAATGGGGTTTTGGCGCAGTGATACGAGGAATCTACAAGAGAAGGGAATGGGACGAGCTTTTCCCGTAGTATACAGACTCCTTCCCCCAAGTGTTTACATTCTATAGGCACAGACCTAGATTTATGTATGTACATTACGATTAGATCTGAAGCACATATTTGGTGGCCGCTCTGGGACATATTGAAGGGTGTCATGGGAGAAATTTGGAAGATTTTTCTTCATTTTTTCGAAGTCTACATACACAAACAGAAAGCCATCAGTAGCATGCATACAATATATCTTTAGCTTATTCTTTCCTCAAATTCCGCTGGTGCTGGTTCCATGTCCGCAAAGTTCCAGAATTGCGAGTGCTGTAAGATCAGCGCCTTTCCATACACAGCTTGAATAATTCTCGCCAGCTTATCGCCCATGTCAGAGAGAACCAGAATTCGAAGTACACGGGGTACAAGCATGAGAAGTGAATAAGGTATGGAAATATGAGTAAAGAAGCCTCTGAAGAAGCAGAAATGTTATGTCTATCTATCTATCCATATATATATATATATTATAGGAGTTTTATAGTTTCAAACTGCAGTTAACGATGTAATAGGTTTTTTTTTAAAGAAATGTTAGTAACCGAATAAATACGCTAAAATAGGAGAGCTGAAATATAACTTTAGTTTTAGTATGTTATTTGTGTGTTATTTTTAGATAAGAATACGATGTTTTATTAATAGATAGATTTTATAGCCTAGCATTCACGTAGTAAATTTGGAAGCCATGGATTATCTGATTGCTTATTAAGTACGAGTGGTTGAGTAATCATCCTCTATGAAATACCTACTCACCCTAAGCATAAAGCGGTTAGGAAAATCGCGGTGGACTAAAATCCAGTACATACTATATAACTAGTATAAGCTAATCTAAAGCTCCTTTCAAAGATAGATAGACTGGGCAGATAGACTCGGCAAATACCCAAATAGGAAATCAAATCGGACTCCAAAAGTCCGCCCCCCGGGGCCAATTGAGGGCTCGGCTTCTCCCCCGGCATGCCGAACCCACTTAGCCCCGCATATCCCATTGCCTCGGGTGAAACATTCAAACCACATATAACCCGTTTCATCTCATTCTTACTCTCACATTTCTTCAAATTCAACCATGACTGGTACGTCGATTGCAATCTCTTGGATTCCTCATTCTGATATACTTCCCAGAAACTAAGACTAGTGCCATTCTTCACCGGGACACACGTTTTGTCCCAAAGAAAGCCATTGGCGGCAAAGGGTGCTATGTGTTTCTAGAAGATGGGACCAAATTCCTCGATGCCACAGGTGGCGCAGCTGTATCCTGTCTAGGACACGGTAACGAGCAGGTCACCCAGATGATCAAGGATCAGATGGACCAGATATCCTACTGTCATTCTGCTTTCTTTGGAACCCAGGTAGCCGAGGATCTTGCCCAACTGCTAGTGGATTCTACTGGGGGAAAACTCTCCAAGGTCTTTATAACCAGCTCGGGTGAGTCAAGGCAGCCCCTCCAACCAAAATTTTCACTCCACACATACAGTACTGACGATACCCAGGGTCTGAGGCTGTCGAGGCTGCACTTAAGCTAGCACGACAATATTTCTTGGAGCTTCCAACTCCCCAAACTGAGCGTACCAGGTTCATTGCGCGTCTTCCATCCTACCACGGCACTACGCTCGGGGCCCTTTCAGTTGGTGGCCACGTTCAGCGTCGACAGCCATTTGAACCACTTCTCTCCAACAACGTCTCCCATGTTTCCCCATGCTATGCATACCGTGGAAAGTGGGAAGCTGAGTCGGATGCAGACTATGTGGCACGTCTGGCAGCCGAGCTAGACGCTGAGTTCCAACGTGTCGGACCCGAAACTGTGTGCGCATTCGTTGCAGAGCCAGTCGTCGGCGCGGTATGACTTCCTATCTTGAACTCCTACACTACCAGATCATCCAACTTATACTCTTTAGGCTCTCGGTTGTGTCCCCGCAGTACCAGGGTACTTCCGTGCAATGAAAGCCGTTTGCGAGAAGTACGGTGCTCTCTTGATTCTTGACGAGATTATGAGCGGCATGGGCCGTTGCGGGACCATGCATGTCTGGCAACAAGAGGATATTATCCCCGATATCCAGACTATTGCAAAGGGTCTGGGTGGTGGCTACGCCCCGGTGTCGGCCATCTTGATCAGTGACTCTATTGTGCAGACTATGGACAAAGGCACTGGGCAATTCCGCCACGGACAGACATACCAAGGCCATCCGATCTCATGTGCTGCTGCGTTGGCTGTGCAAAAGACTATCCAGGAACAGTCTCTGCTGGAAAATGTCCGGACCATGGGTGTTTACCTTGAGAAACAGTTGAAGCAGCGATTTGAGAGCCATCCTCACGTGGGAGATATTCGTGGAAAAGGATTGTTCTGGGGTGTAAGTTACATATTTCCTGTAGTCGATATTATACGACCAACAAAAAAAGTGTTGCTAACTCGTTCCAGCTTGAATTTGTCAAAGATAAGGCAACGAAAGAGCCATTTGACCCCAAGGACCGTCTGTCTTACCTGATTCAAGAGAAGGGTCTACAGCCGGAGCACAGTGTCTCGCTATATGGCTGTTCTGGTACCGTGGATGGAATTAAAGGAGATCATCTTATCCTCGCGCCACCTTATATCGTGTCGAAAGAGGAGATTGATATCATCGTTGACACGCTGGAGAATGTGATGAAGGAGGTTTTTGCCTCTCTATAGAGCGCACACACACACACACACACTCTCTCTCTCTCTCTCTGTCTCTACTCCAAGAGTCCACGTCTATAGCCTTGGAATGTGCAATTATTTAATCAATTACATTTTGTCAAAAATAACGCCGGGAAGAAGTAAGATGAAGGAGATATAGAAACGTCAAATCATGTGAATGCTGGGATATTTCATTATTATACAGATAC